CAAATGGGTTGACTGTTTGATGATTCGAATTCAGCTGTTAACTGAGCCATCAGAGTTGCAACAAGCTAGGATATTGAGTGATTGTTGGGACAACTTTTAATTATTTTACGTGCTACGTTTGGCACACACAATGCCATCTTCGAGTTGGGCTGCAAATGCATTTTGCATAATTTGTTTGTGCGCCGAGGCGTGCGCAGGCTTCATCATCGTCATTCAGAAGCCCATTCCGATTTCGATTCCCATTCCCAACCCATTCCCGTCGTCATCGTTGGAGCTTATCATATCAATCTCCTGGCTCAACCCATTTGCTGACTGTCAACACGGGGAGGGGGTGCAATTGAGGAGTTCTGGGGCGACACTCTATATGTGTATACCTGTGTGTGCTGTGTGTGTGTGTGTGTCAAACATCAACCCTCTCTTGGCCACACACACTTACACTCTCACTTTAATTTATGTGCCACGACCCTCCGTGGCCCAAACAATGTCACTTGGCTTTTGTAAGCTCACGTGTTACATGCAAATGCAAAAGCGCTTCCTGACTTGCCTGCCTGCCTTTGTTTTGTCTCTTCTTCGGCGAGGGTTTAAGTGTGGGTAAATATTGTAATGATGTATGGTGATATCCTTTGTGCCAGTGCCAGCCCCCTTCTATCATCAGTTGATTGAAATCACTCCTTATCCTATCCACAAGTTCCCCTACCAAAAGCTTTCCTCAAGTGCTTCCAACCACTTGAAGACATTTTTTCAAAAATGCTACATTTTCGCAAACATCTCGAAAACATCTCGCTTAATGAAGTAACAACACGGTTGAGCAAAATAATAAAAAAAGTCATTAAAAAATGCTAAATGCAAATGCCAGGCAAAAATCAATAAACAATCAACGGCAGGGGAGTGCAGAGAAAATAAAAAATAAAAAAAGGATGAAAATATGCCTGCTGCAGGCCTCAAGGCTGCAATTATGGTGAATGACGTTTGCCATGTTGTCAAAGGAATTGCGGCAAAAAAATAACGAAAAGTGAAAAAAAGAAATGCTGCAGATGAAATTGAAAAACATGTAAAATGCGTTGACGATTGCGTTTTTCAAGTGCAGCCGAGAGCCGAGAGTCGAGAACCGTCGTCGCATTTCAACTCGCATTCACATGAGTTCGCTGTATACCAATTAAAAATGCAGTGGACAACGCCCAAAAAAGTATGCTACAAGATGGGCAGTGGGCGGTGGGTGGTGCAGGAAAAGCTGGAAAAGCGCCCGCCATGTGGCGACTGCTGTCAATGACAGGGCAAATAAAATGCAACAAAGCTTGTTGTAAAACGCGAAAAATGAAAATCAATAGTGATGCCGCTCGGCCGCTCTGCATACAAGTGTAGGTACATACATGCATATGTATATCGCAGCTATATAACGCACAATTCATACGATGGTGTGGAGGGTTTGGGCCTGGTCAGCTGCTCCTGCTGCTGCTGCTGCTGCCTCCTTTTACATAGGCCCATCGTGGGTGTTTGCCATAACAACAACAGCAATAATCACAGCGAAAGGGACGGGGGTGGTTTAACAACAACATAAACACGGGAAACGGAAACGGACAACGGGTGAGGGGTTGAGGTTGGGGAAGGGGGTGCAGCTTTCGGGCAGGACATTCCCGGTCCATGTTGACGTCAGTCATAGAGCGTGCAAATGTTGACCTACATACAAAACGTTGAGCAAACAGGCGCATAAATGCCACGTTAAACAACTGCAACAACACGGCCGCGCCCTGCAGATAAGTCCGCCTTTTTGCCCAGCTGCCAACGCATTGTTAGAAATTGTCGGAGGACATGGCCAGCCGGCATAGTTAATAGCCCATAGTTGTAGTCATATCCACAGCCACAGCCAAATCTATAGTTTTGCATATGCACTGGCGAACGAAAGTCTGAAATCGAAAAGAAATCACTGTACCACTTTACTAAAGATATCAATACATTTTAATTAACTATTTTCCATTCTATGTATTTTTAAAATATTTTTAAAACCCAAAAGACTGGGAAAAATGAATTTTTTCAAAGTCTTAATGACTAATCATCACAATAAATTAATTAAACATTAAAAGAAATTTCTACACAATGATAGTAATTATTTTTACACATAGAATTTATTGAAATACTGTTATTAATATAGTTAAATTAATTTTAGTGACTAGCATTTTTTTTGTGCACTGCCATTCTTGTTATTGTTTTTAATACTTACCAGCATCATAATTGTTATGTAGATTTATAGAATTGGGTTGACAGGCCAACGGTGACCAGTGGCCAGCATCGGATATGAACCGAACCCAAACCCAAACCATTGAATGCATCCAAACAATGCCAGCCTGCATTGTGAGCCAAGAAACGAATGACCAACTGAACTGAATAGAATAGAATTTTAAAGGAGGAGTCTCGAAAGTAACTTTTCTGACCGAAAATTTACGGCCCCGGCGGGGAGTTACCTTTTTCTTTTGGCACGAGAGTGGCCAAAAGTGCCAAGGCAGCTGGTGCGCCTACCAACCCACCGAACAACGGACCCACCAATATTCCAATCTACCAATCTACCAGCCACCTGGCCACGTCTAATGATGACAGAGTGGGGCGAGTGGACCAGAATGTCCCAGAAAGTCCCAGAACAGTGGCCATAACGGTTGGCGCTTCCCTGGTCGCCGGCGGTGTAGTTTTTGCTGCCCGGCGACTGCATTTACTCCTGTTAACGCTGCCAACGTGTGCAGACACGCATTGGCAGTCAGTCAGTTTGTTAGTTTGTCAGTCTGTCAGTTAGTAAGTTTGCCAGAAAGCCAACCAGGCAACCAACAAACAAACAAGCTAACGCTGCTTTAGCCAAGGAGTGTGGTGGCCAAGGGAAGGAAAAGAAGGGGGAACCCCAATATCGAAAGTTGATATACCCTCCGTATCAAAAAAAAAATTATAAAAAATATGTTAGCCAGAAAAATGTAAGAATAAAAAAAAGGTAAAGTAGAGTTTCAAGAAATAATTGTGGACTAGGTAAAATATTCTATTATATCATTCGCTTTAAGCTTTTTATTTTAGTTTATATATTATATATTGAAAACGTATATTGTAAGGATCTAGCTGAACAATTTAATTGTAACCTTTTTATTATATATTTTTTTTAGGTATTAGTTTATTAAGTTACTTATTAATATTTTCCTAGCGCGACAAGTGATTACTTATATTTATTGCGCTAGATATATTTGACGGCATAAAAAAATTGAGGTCTAAATAAAACATCCTTATTTAAACAGAGCAAAATAAATAACAGTATTTTAGCCAAATATTTTATATTATCAAAAAGTGAAGGCCAGAAAGGTATGATATCGTTTTCGTTCTAAATTTATTGGGTATTTTGTATTCCTACTTTATAACATACATCTCTTGAAGTTGTGGGCTTTACCCAACGCGAGGGTATAAACAGGGTCTCCCTGCAACTTTTGTCAGCACACTCACACACACAGGCACAAGCGCTCACCGGGACAAAACTCAATGAGTCAATGACTTTTTGGTGTCGCTCGTTGATGCGCAACGCGGTCCCGTTGTCATTAGCAGCGACACCAGCACCAATACCATCACCATTACCATTGCCACCACGGACACCGTGACGCGCACAAATGCAAGTCACAGGCATTTGCACAGATACAGGATACACAGATGTACTGGATCCTGGCGTGCACAGGACTCATGAATATGGTTACTCTTACTCTTACTGTTGCTCGTTGTTTGCTGCCTGGTGTTTGGTGTTTGGGCTTGTTTTTCCCTCGGTTTTAGGTGTTCGGCGTTGCTGTTGCTGTGGGAAATGCTAACGGGTACGAAATAAATTTGGCAGGCAAACACGTTTTGGCTTATGTTTTATTGTTGTTGCCTTTGTTGTGGCTGCGGCTGCGGATGCGGCTGTGGAGACCACTGTCCTTGGCACGCCTAATGTGGGCCAAAACCAAGCCATCCACCACCCCTTTTTCCCTTTTTACGCATTCACGCGTCCTAAAAACAAGAAATTGGCCGGCGCTAAATGACCACAAAAAATCGGTGCACTGGGAGTAAATTTATTAATTTTGCATTTGTATTTACATTTTAAAACCATTTCCTTAAGCTTCTAAAAATAATTATATAGTTAATAATTGTTATTTAATTTCCAAACTTTAAGAACATCCATATACAAAGGCAATTATATCTATTATTTTTCATTCAAGCCGTTATAACCGTTATCCTTTATATTCCTTTATTAAAATTTGTGGAACAATTTTTTTTTGAGTGTTTTCGATTCGGAAAAAAACACTCTTTAGGCTAAATATTATGAATCTTGGCAGCTGCCTGAATGCGATGTTGTTGTGGCTCTTTTTCCTGGTACAAGTAAATACCCCGCCTTGTTGGCCATAATTTCCCCTGATGCTCATTAGCAGAAATGGCCAAAAAAGTAGACAGCATTTATGCGACGGCAGGAAGGGACTTAAGTGTGAAATTGCTTTGCATAATGCCAAGTAAAATTATGCGGGCAAATATTGAGTCCATTAACTGGGCTGCCAGAAAGCGAGCTACCGATTATTGCGTTATTAATTGAAAGCAACATTATTGGGGTGCTTTATTAATTGAAAGTAAATGAGATTGTTAACCCATTCCCAGCACGAAAAAGTCATCAACGTCGGAGAGTTCATGATGCCTAATCTATGCCAACGAAGATGAAGCTGGCCGAATAATTGAAACATTGAGCTAGGCACTCACGCATGTGGCTAAACCGCCCAACCACCCAACTGCCACCCATTTATATACCCATCTTGGTCCAGTGTAAACACAGCTGTTTCGAAGGCTCGAAACGCTCGAAAAGTAGTCGAAAGTCGTGCCTAACCACAGACAACAAATGGTGGTGCGCAGGCGCGGAGAGTGTCCGCTTGGTGGGGCTGCCAACTGCACCACTGAAACTGAAATCGAAATGGAGCCGAGCTGGTCGCCGCATCCGGCAGTTGCTGTTCGAGGCTCGAAGGATACGCACGGCTCTGGCGGACGACGGATTGGACGGAAGTTGGATTGAAAATGCATCGGGACTGAGTGCGAAAGTGAGTGCGCGTGTGGTGAATTTCCGCCGAAGAGAGTCCGTAAGAGCGAGCCGAGAAGCTTCCCTACTTGGTCTCCGCTCCTAACTTGGCCAACAGTTCGCAGTCAAGTCGAATCCTTGCTGGCAGTCGGTTGTCCTGGCGGGAGTGCTTTTTTTCGCTTAGCAGAGTGTGCCGGCACCGGGCCATGCAGTCCCTCTAAACATAACGCATAACAAAACCACAAGTCATCCGAAATCAACAAATCACAAATCACCGAAGTGAAAACAAATCCAAAAGATACAAATGTGCCAAAGAATGAGAGAAGAGTCAAGTGTCTGAAATGTAAATCCGCTCTAAAGTGAAAGCCAAATCAAAATTGTACAAGTCACTGCCCACGGAAAATCCGGAATTCCTGAATACAAAAAAAAAGCAGAGCTCAAAAACCCAAAAAAAAAAAAATATTCAAATTCAAATTCCAATCCAAATCAAAATCAAAACAGAAGCCGGAAAACATGTGGATTAGTAGCCGCTTTTTTGTGATTTTCCTGCTGCTCCATCTCGGTAGGTGCCACCTCCATTCATCTCTTCTCTCCTCTCCGCGCCGGGAAAACTCTTAAGCCGGGCTGCCGGCATTTTAGGCGCCTCTTCTAGGGTTTTCCTAAGTCGCTCGGCACGCGCCGCAAAGTATGCTTAGTGCTTTTTGTTTTCCCACCGGCTGTGCGTGTGATTTTCCTACCATAAGTCCCAACAGCTGTCGGCGTGTTTTCCTTTCCCTTTTCGGATCTCGGTTTACGCCTCCGAAACGGAACTTATTATTAAGTCTTGCGAGTAAAACAAAAGGATTTGGGGCTTTTGCGGGATATTCATGCCGTCTTAGGGGCAGAAAGGAAAAAAATAAGTTGGCCAAGGAATTATCTTCAGCCAAGGCAATTACTCACTTTATTATCATTCAAAACGGGAATCTTCAGTGCCGCATAGAGACTTGAATTTATGGTGATTCATACGAGTGAGGAGGTGCCATAATTTATGATATATACGAGTGTCTCGTCTTTCGTCCAGAGCTAAGTGCAAATGACTTGGTCGCTTTATGGGGCAGCCAGGACCAGAGACCATAAAATTGCCGGCAAAACTAAAGCCCAAATGCCCCTACATAATATGAAATTGCCTTATGATAAAAACCAGGCGTCAATTTATGCCACACAAACGACTGCCTCAGTTCCTCGTTATGTGTGCATACACTGAGAAAATAGCTAGTCAAAAAGAAATAGCGGCTTAAATAGCCTTTGAAATCAGTAATGTTCTTATTTCATTAAAAATATTATTTTGCAAATCAAATAACATAAAACTCACCTAAATATTCTTTTACGTAAGATCTATTAATTAATAAATTTAAATTTCTGCATAAAATTGTCATAAAATCTTTTTATTCCAATTTCTCAAACATTTTTACACTTTTTTGTCATTCCTAAGCACAATTGATATTCTTGAAATATTTTTCTCTGTGCATTTATGAAAGTGTGTGCGGGACAGCCTAATGAAATGTGTCAGGAGCAGAACACTCGATCGACCCACCGACCTTTTCATATCCGTAGAGCTCTGTGTGTGCGGGGGGCGAAAACCTCTTTTGGAAATTTGATATTTTCCAATTTTCATTGCCCAGCTCTGCCATTCGACGGCGACTGGCTTACATGTCTATTTGCTACCAAGAAAGAAAAAAAAAATTATCAAAATGCCGCACAGATATTTCATGTTTCATACTCACCCACAAACATATATATTCGCACCCTCGACGACGCTCGGAGCTGGGAGCAAATGAAAAATATGCAAATGAAATTGTTGCTCAATGTCTAAGCGCACACACTTTTTACCCTGGGTTTTGTGAGAGATGGCTCACAGTTTTCGGTGCTGTTATTCCATTTCCATGCAGATAAACATAAAATATAATACGTTATATAAAATCAGCAGCACCGACAACAACAACAATGCCACAAATCCGATTAGGGGAGAACTGGGGGGATAGGATTGGGGTTGTGATGGGAAAATTATGAAAAATTATGGCCAACGCCAAAGTTTCCAGCTCACTATGATTGATTATGTTTTAAACCGTTTATGACAAACGCTTTAATTTGTTGCAGGATTAATGAAGTGCAAGGCACAAAGTTTAAATTAAATGTTCACCAGATGGCAATCTAACTTCTAAAAGCCGGATGGATCAGAAACCTTAGTTTCTGTAGTTGGCATTATTAATGACATAACCTACCACACTATAAGTTTGCTGAACTGCTACTGACATAAAAATGGGGGTTACAGTAGCCGATGATATTTTAATAAAAGTCAAATAAAAAAATTTCTGTGAGCATTTCGTCTTTAAATTTTTATACGCTTGAAATTCAATTGATTTAACTTTCTTGCCAGTTCAATATCAACTGTGTTTAATCAATTTTATTAAAAATTTTTAAATAAAGTGGAGATTATATTAAAATTTAAGGAAACTAGTGAAAAGGTAATATAGTGCATACAATTTTGTTTGAAATATTTTATACAAAGTGGGTTTTACTTTTATTATTGGGACTTTTAATAAAATAAAAGAGAATAATACAGTTCTCAATTTTTAAAGCAGCCGCTCTGAAAAATACTTAAACTATAATAATTTTTTAAATAAATGCAACTTAATATTATGTTAAAGTCTGTTCATAAATCGTTTTCTTTTAAAGAATACAACCCAATAACCAGCTGAACTAAATATGAACAAATATTTGAAGCTGTCTACTTTGTTTGAAATCAACGTGGACCGTTTAGATTTCCAAAATCTCACTCCCTGCTTCCTCAATATATTCCATTTTATTTTTTCTCTTTTTTTGCACAACAATTCGGCCAACAAAAGATTTTCAACATCTTATTGGACCCGTCCTGGCCCTCAGCCCACCCGATTCCTGTGTGCACTTTGGGCCAACTGGAGCACATCTTAGTAGAACTCCGGCCAAGGCAGCAACAAAATCAAGTTATTTACAATTATTATACGTTTCGTGGCTGTTGTTGTTGTGGGGCTGCGCGTTGGTCTGTAAACGTTTTAACTTCTTTCAAGTTTTCCTCTTATTTTCTTTTGGCCAAGCAATATTGCGTCGATATCTTTGGGTGTTTGGGTTACGCCTTCCTGCCGCCTGTTTTTGCGCATAAAAATTGAATTTCCTGTATTTTTCGAGCTGATTGCTTACAAGGTTCGTCCCCTCATTTCCGGCGGAGGCCCGGGAATTTCTGTGGTCTTAAAGTTCTCCTTTTTTTTTTGCTTTAATGGGTGACTTGGTCTGTGCCTAGAACGTGGGCCATTAGAAATATTACCACTGCATTGGCAGAGCCGAATGCAGACACATTGCAGCCACACAACATGCATCACACCCGCCCGCCTGGAGGCAACGAAATAATTTCGAAAAGTGCCAAAAGGGCATAATCCAAACAGCAAAAAAAAAACGTTCGAGCAGCAGGAAAAAAAAGAAATAAAGAACACACACACGGAAAATAATGTCTGAGAAGCTTGGCAAAGTAACCCCTCAAGACTCGCACAAGTGGATGGGAAACACATTCGGAGTGAAAGGAGTGAAATGTACGACACAAAACGAGCGGAAATGCGAGCCAAAGAGGAAGGGGGTTTTTTGGGGGGTTTGGGTACCGCACAGGGGGCAAAAGGGGGCGGGGACGGGACTGGTGGCAGTTGCACATGCAGACGTAGAGCCAGAGTTCCATGACTGCTGCAGGTATTGCAGAAAAACCAAGCTGGAAAAACAATTTGGAAAAGAAATTTGTGGCAAATGGAGACAGTCCAAATGCGCTTTTGCATTGGCCAAAGAATTCTGTCTGAATTGATTGGAAAACACTCAATTGTATCGAAATAGAGGTTGTGTATTGCGAATATGCTAATAAATCCAATGGTCACTTATCACATAAGCATTTTATTCGCATTTATAAATAATTTATTACGTTTTGGTCATTCTGAATTAATTAGAGCAACCACAAAACTATAAATAACTGATAATACTGCTACAGATTAGTATTAAAATAAAAATTGTTTTTATAATATTTGAGAGATATTTACATTTTTATAATTTTAGTTTCATGGGAAATGGGATTTTAATAAAACATAATATAATGGTAGTACAACTTATATAAGTATATCTAAAGCTTAACTTTTTAAAGCAAGGTTTTTAGCTAAATCAACTTTAATACCTTGTCAGAAAATGTCGAAAAAGCAGGAGCTTGATTTCTGAATTCGTCATTGGAGCATTGGAATAGGCTGAGCGGCAAGGAAAGGAAAAGAATCCAAGTCGGAACAAAGCCCACCCACACATCCATACATTCAGGACGTTCAGGAAGAACTCACGCACGGGAATACGGAGGGGATGGACTTTTTGTTTTCGCAGGAAAGAATAAAACCCCTACAAGTGGATGTATACACAGGCCGACTCACATGCACCCGACCGCATGTACACACATGGGATCCTGCTCTAAGGCACAAACTCGTAAAACATACCCTTTCTGCCAGAAAGCTGAAAAAATGAGAAACGAGTGCCGAGCATACTCAAGACATACTTGCAATAATTTTATGGCCTGGCAGAGGCCTCGTCCTTATCCGCATTCTGGACCAGGAGCGATGGTTACACAGGGGAAAATAAATAGAGCATAGGCCCTGAAACCGATTTCTATTAAATAATTACGATAAATTAAAATATTTTGTTTTTATTTAATAAAAAAAAGGGATTTTTCTGTACTCGCAGTACAGAAAACTATAGAAGGAAAAAATTTTAATATATTGAACTACTTTTTGAGTTTATTTATTCATTAGTTTTATATATACATTATTTTCAGTGGACTTTAAGTCAAAAGATAATAGTAAAATATTCATTTTAAATTCAAAATTTTAAGTTTCAAGATCAATATTTTCAAGACTGTTTTTTCGCCCGTTTTTTCTGTGTGATCCTTGCCGCTGGAGAAGCAATGAAGAGCCATGAAATCAGCGGGGAAAAGCGAAATGGAACCATTTCGGAGAACGAGGCGATGAGACAGACGGAGACGAAACCAGAAAGCAGTTACATAAAAATCCATGCTGTCGAGCATAAAACAAAAAGCGCCTGGCCGGGCACAACAAAAAGCGTACAAAGCCAAAAAGAACAAAACACAGAAAGGCAAAAAAGCAAAAAAAGGGGAAAAAATGGGAAAAGAAGGAAAAAAACAAAACCAACAAAAAACAACTCTAATTGCAGACACAATGACTTGTGGGGGCGGGGAATCGGGAGAGTCGGAAGAGTCGGGAGTCCTGGGCAGGACGAATGCTGGAGATTGAACGAGTTGCAAGGATTTGCACAACGCCGCAGGGAAAGATGCCCGCATCGGTGGCAGACAGACAGCCGAGGCGCATTCATGTGGAATATGAAGCGAAATGTCAATTTGGAGAAATATATACATCTCAGCACTCTGCATATATGTATTTGGGTCTGGGGGCCATTGGGAACAGAACAGAAAAGAACAGAACGGTACAGGAAAAAAAAGATAGCCCCAACTAAAGACGAAATTGTTATTCTAATTTAGGATAAGGCTAAATCTGTTTGCTCGCGAAAGGGGCTCTCTGATGAAACGAAAACGGGCTTCGAATGCGACAATGGCTGGGTATTATAAAAAATGTAAATGCTTATTAAAGTGCAAAAAGGTCTCAAGGGATTTGAGCACCCAAGAAGGCCAGCGGCCTTTTATGAATTTTTGATATCTCTCAGGGATTATTGCTTTTGTTTATGGCAGCTCGCAATTTTAATATACGATTGTGGAGCATTTTCCTGCATTTTTATGCGGCTTCTAAATTATGTATGGGCCAGTAAAAGATTTTATGCTCATAAATGCATGTATTCAAAAGAAAACCTAGAGCAGGCATTTCCAAATTCATTTATTCAATGCAGTTACGCCTTTAAAAGCTTTCACTGGGTCTTTTAAATTGAAAACCCTATCTGATTTTAAAGGCGATTTATATTTTAGTTGTGTAATACACAAATTTAAAATTTTGGAACCTTTTTAGTCGTCTAAGTTTACATTTTACTAATTTTAATAATTAACAAGAAATATGGAAAATAACTATTTTGTATTTATAATTAATTTTTATTACCTACTTGAAAAGAAAAATGTTTAAATAATGTTGTATTTGTTTAATGCCTAAACGTTAGAAACAAATTGTTAAAAAGAGTGTATTAGGATTTGTGAAAATGAAAATAATTTGCACCGAAAATAAGAAAAGTTTATAAGTGAGGTGAACATTTCTAAAATGCTACTTTAAAAAACACATGAATCCTTTTAGGACTCCCATTCCGTTGGGAAAATTCCCATTTGTTCTGAACAAGCCCTATTATATTTTGATTTTGGTTGAGGAAAACCCTTTTTGGACTAGCCTTCAGGTATAATATTTACTCATAATATTTTACTCATTCCAGATACCACCTGCAGTGAACCGTTCGAAGCCCACCTGCGCGGTCCCGGATTTGTGATGGAGCCGCCCGGGCGGGTGGAGTTCTCAAACTCCTCGGGCGGCTGGCTGGACTGCTCGGCCTCCGGAAGTCCGCAGCCGACGGTCGACTGGGTGCATGCGGACGGCTCGGCGGTGACCGAGATCCATGGCGTCCGTCGGGTCCTGCGGAACGGAACCCTCGTCCTGATGCCATTCGCAGCGGCCGCGTACCATCAGGATGTGCACAACACGATCTACCGCTGCATCGCCAGCAATTCGGTGGGTCGCATCGTCTCGCGGGACGTGCAAGTGCGGGCGGGTGAGTGGCCAGAGACTAAAGGCGGGGGACAGCATTAAAAAATATATCTCTGAACTCCTGCAGTCGTGGCCCAGGCCTACAAAGTGGATGTGGAGGTGCTATCTGCGTCGCGGGGCTGCACCGCCATTCTGCGCTGCGTGGTGCCCACGTTCGTCAAGGAATTGGTGCGAGTGGTCTCGTGGGTTCATGAACCCGCTATCTACATCTATCCCTCGTTGCAAGGCGGTAAGTCACCCGGGGCGTCCTGCTGTCGTCCTTTTGCCAGAAACCGAAAGGAAACGAAACGAAGCGGAGCTCAACTCAGCTCAGCTCAGTCTGCATCCTTGTCCCTGTGCCAAGCAAGCCAACAAAGTGCATTGTTTATTTGCAGTATTTGCCTCACATGTTTGCCTGCTTAACTGCCATTTTCATCCGCACCTGCACCACTCCTCGGGTCCTTTGGTGCATAATTAACATTGTCCTTTAGCAATTTGAGACGAGCCTTTGGCTTTCCCATCCCGGTTGTCTATAGTACAAAGAGCATTTTCTCTCCTTTCAAAATTCATTTTTTTTGCCCGTCTTTTGTGGCTGGTAAACTATTCGGAAAGGTCAAGAGTGTCTGGCGGAAGATTTAAATCAGAACCAGGCGACAGAATGGAGGCATCCATCTTGATTAATCCTGTCAAGAGAAATGTCACTGTGGAATTATTTCTTTGGTTTTTATTTGTTTATTAGTGGCATTCTCAAAAAAAAAAAAAAACGTGTGCTGTGATTGGTTTAATCATAAATTCTTAATTGAGAGAAAACGAGAATAAATCTTCTTGAATTTCAAGAGCAATTTTGTCTCGAAGAGAACAATCAAGACTACTTTTATCACTAATTTAAAATTCATCTCGAAAATCAAAACTGAGAATACTTTTGTCATGATTTTGGGAACATATCTTGGTATCCTATTTTCTTGGTTAATAGAATTCTTTAACGTGTTTTCACTGTACCTTTACCCAACTATATTTGAAATTACTTGGTTGGTTTTTTGAGTAGGTTTCTGGCACCACTTCCTCCTAGGGTAGCCTTTTCTATTTCTCTTTCTTTTTCTATCTCCCAGATGGCAAATTCCACCTGCTGCCCACCGGCGAGCTGCTCATCCACAATCTGCAGGAGAGCGATGAGTCGCAGTCCTTCCGCTGCCGCAGCATGCACCGCCTCACCCGCCAGGTGGTCGTCAGTTCGCCCACCCGACTGCGTATTAATTGTGAGTATACCCAGACCAAAAACCGAAAAACCCAAAGAAAACCGAAACGAAACCAACCCAACCCAACCAAACCGCACCAATGTCACATATATCTCCATCATCTCTATCATCTCTCGCCGCAGCGCATCGCGGCATCATTTCGCCGAGCGTGGTGGAGCACACGGCTCATGTGCAGGTGTCGCAGGACGAGGGCGCGGTGCTCCTGTGCGTCGCCCAGGGCTGTCCTTCGCCCGAATACAGGTGTGTATAGGATAGGTGCCGCAAATCGATGGCATCCAGTGGCCCAACCACTCCCAAACGGACTACCCCATTCACTCACTCACTCATTCATTCGCTCGCTGAGAGCTTTAGCACACATTTCTGGCGAAACTTTTGACGTTGACAGGTCCTGGCCGCACAAACACTATCATGCTGGGCTATTAGTTATTAGTGCACTGGGGAAAACTCAAGGATCTTAAGTCTTTGCCTTGAGAACTCTTTGTTCTTGAAGTGCCAAAAACTGCAGTTCTTTAGAAGTGTTACCATGCATACATAATATCAAAATTTATTTTTAATAATTTACCGCGGAAGTCTATTAAATATAACATTCCAAAATAAACTACAGTCTTTAATAAGTATTAAAAAATATATTTCTAGTTTTTAGAGTTTAATTGGTTTTTAGTTTTTAATAAATTCAGTAGTCGTCATTACCGAAAAAATCAAAAAATTCCTAATTGAAAATCATTTTTCCCCGTGCAATGGCAATAATGCCATGCTGGTGTGAGTTAATTGGAACGCATACATCTATAAAATGTGCGACCAGGGCATTTAGTTTGCCAGCCAAATAAATAAACAACCGCTTCGGGGGTCAGAAGAGGGCAGTTGAGGGGGGTGAGGACTGTGAGCTGACGTGCACATTATTCTGTAAAATGTGTCTAAAGAGTTGGCAATGTGTTGCCTTAATTGAAATGTGAGCTAAAAGCGTTAGTTAACTTTCTCGACAGCCGACGGGTCGTATGCGTTATGCAGCGTAACGTACACCCTTGTTCGGCAACAATGGCCCAGGACCTAGGTAATGATGTGTATACAGTAGGGATAGAAAGTCTGCAGCCACATCGAAAACATATACACGATGTGCCCATAATTACGCTTTGATAAGCAGGCGAGTAATGTAAGATCTGAGGGGTTTGGATCGGTGGACGTGGACGTGGCACAATGTCAGACTGCTGACAGAAAACAAAAGAATCTATAAGCAGCGGGATGGGCGGGCTCACATATAGATAGATTGCTGTGCCAGGGGAAAAAAACTTGTAGCCATTTCATAATTAATACAACAGAGCGGGACGAGGTCCTACGAGAAGAGGGATAATGAGCGAGGCAAAGGATTAATGCAACATTAAACAAAAGGGACCACCAGGCACAGACATCGGGGGATGAAGGATAGGAGATATGGGATAAAGAATGCCAAAGGTATTCGCTCCATCAGGTCTTGAACTTTGCTCGGTTGGCTGATAGTTCCAATGAGAACACCCTTTCAATATTGTGCAAAACTTTGACAGCCATCGGATGCTAGATTTTCTCGGGGAACCAGATGGTCCGTGATAAATGGCCTGCAGTCGCCGAAAAGCTGAACTCCATTAATTTCAGTCAGTCTGGGAATGTATTCTATGCTCGAATTACAAAACGAAGCTTTTAATTATAAATGTACCTAGTGCGCACAGAGGGAAGTGCAATCAGATATTAAGAGCTTTAAATATTTAAATTCAGTTTGATTGCTAGTATAAAATATTGTTAGATGATTCAACTAAAATATAGTACAACATTTTAAGTAAAATTCTTCATGTAAGTTTTTCTATTTAATTTTTATTTCTTGTGCATAAAGCATGTTTCCCGACTGCACTGAATAATGGAATAGATTGCAATAACCACAGATTCTCGTTCCATTCCTTTTTAAAAATTTTCCAATTGAAATCGCGATTAATGGAGTCGATTTACAATAGTCTGATCCACATAAATCTTACATTTCCCCCGTCCCCGCAGCTGGTTCACCCACAATGGAGCCGGACCCCTGCCCGTACTGAGTGGTCCTCGTGTCCGCCTGCTCGGCCCTATCCTGGCCATCGAGGCCGTGACCGGCGAGGATTCCGGAGTCTACAAGTGCACGGCCGGCAATGTGGGCGGCGAGGCCAGTGCCGAGCTCCGGCTGACGGTGGCCACGCCCATCCAAGTGGAAATCTCGCCGAATGTCCTCAGCGTTCACATGGGCGGCACCGCGGAGTTCCGCTGCCTGGTCACCAGCAACGGCAGCCCGGTGGGGATGCAGAACATCTTGTGGTACAAGGACGGCCGCCAGCTGCCCTCCTCGGGACGCGTGGAGGACACGCTGGTGGTGCCGCGCGTGAGTCGCGAGAACCGCGGAATGTACCAGTGCGTGGTGCGACGGCCCGAGGGCGATACGTTCCAGGCCACCGCCGAGCTCCAGCTGGGAGGTGAGTGCACAAAATATTGAAACACTGGGGAAGGAAAAGTTGCAGTTTAAGATTTGATTTATATAATAATTTTAATGAAGATAATTGGTACTGACGTTTTTTATTTCAATGTTTTTCCTTTAACGACATCTTAAAACTATAAATAAAGCAGCAGAAAACTGTATCAAGTGCCAAAGAAAATTGTTTGATGCTTCAAGTGGATCCCAATAATAATGTACTAGTTTACTACTACAGAAATTTAAAAAAATATATATACGATTTTTTATGTATGTATTTAATATTCACTTTTTTTTACCAAAAATTGAAACCCAAAGGTTTAAATACGATTAAAGTAAAAATCCTTTCTACAAAAAAAGGAGAGAAAAATTCCTTACTTTAAATCCCTAATTAAAAAAAATTCATTTTGTCCAAAACAAAGCAACCAAGTGTCCCAAAATGGAATGTCATACCAAGATGAGTTTTTTTTGAAAAAAAGTGATGTAACCCCTTTTAAGTATTAGTATTAATTTACAAGTCATTTTTCTTAAAGATTTATTTTCAGTGTATTTTATACAACATTTTCTTGTATTTTAATTTCGAATTTATAAATCTATTGTTTTCTAACTTATAAATCCTTCTTTCCTCGATTTTTGGGCCCGTAATCCTCAGTGAATTGGACTAGCTTATCGTTAAAATATTAATGTGACCTCTTGCCACGACATTCTCCTTTTTCTCCCCAGATGCGCCGCCCGTTCTTCTGTACAGCTTCATCGAGCAGACCCTGCAGCCGGGACCAGCTGTGAGCCTCAAGTGCTCCGCTGCCGGCAATCCTACGCCGCAAATTTCATGGACACTGGACGGATTTCCGCTGCCATCAAACGGAAGGTAATTGAACTTGTTGAAAGGGGGCGAAAAGGGGGATGAAACTGGGGCGTAAAAAGGGGGTGAAAATAGGGAGGGGTTTCGTGATGGGCTTGGCAATGGCAAACGGCAGAGGCGGCGCTGTGGGCGCCCAGTAAAAATTTATCTCAACTGCGGCTCCCGACTGTGGCTGCGGTTGCATTTATTGCACTCGTTGTGTGTGTGTGCCTTCCGCTTTTCCCTTCATATTTTCCTTTTTTTCCATTTTTTTTTGCGCTTTCCTTTCAAAAACATTGCCCCACGAATATATAGAAAAACATATACATATATAGAAAGTGGCTGCCGACTGCCGCGCCTACAAAGGTGGGTGGTTTGGGTCGCCTTCGTCTGCTCCAGCGTTCATTCACTCCTGTTCCTGCGACTGTAAATGTATCTGTATCTGAATCCGAGTCCGTAAATGTATGCATATATGTGTATCTGTGTTTGCGTCTGGCCCAAGGTTTCGACTTTGCCTTTCTATTTGTTAATTAAGCCTGGTCGGCCAAGCGCCGGCAGTAGCCTTACGCATTTAAGTGCATTTTTAGCTGGCCCGCTGCCAACTAAATTGAATCGAATGCGGCTCTTTAATGACATTGACATTTGCATTGGCCGAATAAAATCGAAGAGATCGCATCAAATTGAATCCAGACTCCACAAATAGTTGACGGTTGGCTCCAGTGTGCAGGCAAATAAAATGCAACAGCGAATCGATTGATTGGCAATTCGGTCTGCGACATTGTCAGTGGCATTCATTTGATTTTTATCGTACTCCCCGTACCTGCTGGCAAACTCTATTTTCATCTTTTTTTTCTTTTTTTTTATTCCTGCTTCATTTGCAGTTCGTTGGCAGCTGCCACTAATTGTTTGAGTTACGTCTGTAATGATTTGCAAGTCAAAGTTTTCGCCCCGTCCCACTGTTGACTTCTGTTGTTGATTAAAAATACCATCATCACCATCAGGAAAATCAGGAAAATCATCAGCGTTCTATTTGCACTCGCTTTTTGGCTGTGGCTCTTGCTTAGTGGAAAGCAGTAAAATAAAAACTAAGGCAACCGTGTCCTGATTGTTGTCCTGCGTCGCCCAGCTGTGCAATATTTTAATTAAAACTTATGCAATATGTCGAGAGCAGGAGACGAGATCCCATCAACTTGATAGGATAGTGAGCTTTTAAAGACTTTAAGGGATTCGTTTTAAAAATACCTCTTAGTTTGAGAAAAATTGTAAATAATATTTTAGATTTCTGTAGATAACTGAAAAACTGCAGAATTTTTTTTCTTATAAAAAAGTGTTAAAAAATCTGTAATTAGTTTACGAGATCGTCCTTAAAGGTCCTCAGTTTCAACAGGAAGACATCAGGCTCCATTAGTTGTAAGCCATTTAAAAGTTCATAAAAATATGACTCGATTTTATGCATGTAAGGCACTTGAAACTGCAACTTGGGGCTCTGGACGACATCGCCATGAATTTGCTTTGCTCAAGTGGTCATCCTTGCCAGGGTCCTTCGGTCCTGACCACTCACTCCACCACTCCAGTGCAAAAAGGTCCAGGAAGATGGCTTGACCACAAGGCAAAATTGATTACAAAAATTTGTGTGTTATGTGGTCGGTGTGAAAATTTGCTTTCGGAAACTTGTGCGGACATGCAGACGCCGGTGGCTTTAATTTAAAAGTTATCTGAGCAACACAATTTTGACACATAATACCCGCAGGCATTATCCTGGCGTCGCTGGCAACCTAATTTGCCAGGATGCCAGCATCCTTCGCAATGCTGCTGAAATGCTCTTGCCGTTTGCGTTGTTATTGCCGAGTTTTAAGTGGTTTACATTATTCGGTTTAAAGGTATATCAACTTGGTAAGTGTATTTATTTAATACACAGACGAGTCGGAGTGGCAGGCAGACAGACAGACGGGCAAACAGGCAAGCGGAAAAGCGGGGGGAAATGGGGAGTCGGAAAAGCTAAGGAAAGGCGGGGGGCAGACGCCTCGAGGCGGAAATTAAATGATTGCGCGCACGAGGTAACGCAACACTCAAACGCTCATTTTACGCCATTTTCAAAAGTTTGTCTGCGGCGCTACCAGAAAACTCAGGCCCACACAGTTTGAGGAAGCGTCTTCCTCCTGTTTTTCGCCGGCATTTCCCCTACAGATTTCCTCAGCTTTTCCTGTGGAGCTGCTAAGACGTCGACGGAGGCGTGTGTGCGTGATGCGTTCGTCTACAACTGCAGGCGTTATGGAAATGTGTGTAATTTTGGCCTAAATGAGAAAACGCTTAAGCTGCAGGAGGAACGCTTTTTAAGCAATATAATGCCATGTGAATTAGAGTGAACCCGGGTTTTAATTAAAAATTTTAAGTCTACTTAGTGCGGCCTAAAACAGGGGATTTATTTAACACATTCGTTACTTATACAAAAATGTATAAATATTTTGTTACACCACTTACATAAAAACGTTTCCATTTGGGAAAAACAAAAAAGGTGATCAGAAAAATAATTATATATAATTTACGCTATTTATTTAAGTAAATTTTTATTTATTTTTAATGATAGGTGTTTAAGAGTTTATTTTACAAATACACCCTTATGAAGGTCCACCCTTTTGCGCTTAATCTGTGCCTGCAAACTAACCTGATTGGGATGTAAGTGCAAACTCGATTCGGGTAAATTGAAATTCATAATTTTTCGTAAACTTTCGCCACGAAACTTTTCGCAAGTGGCACCTACAGAAATTCTTGCTGCTGTTTCTTTTTTTGGCTGGCTGGAATTAAGCCACCCACAGAGCCGGGCACTCACTCGGCAATCAGCTAAAACAGCACACAAAAGCCGCGCCAAGCTATTAGGTTTATATTGTTGCAGCCAAAGCGTTTTACGCTCCACACATACAAACACTGGCAAACGAACACACACACAGTTAAACTTCTGCAATGCCGTTTAAGCTGGCAGGCGGATGTGGGGATGCGGATGAGGATGCGGATGTGAGCGACTTTGTTGCAATTTTGTCCTCGCCATTGTTTCAATGCGCTCAAGTGCTGCAGTCCACGACTGAGTGTCTCCATTTTTACCCCACTGTGAGTGTGTGTATTTCTGCCAGCTTCATTTTCATTTAACTACAGTTGCTGTTTTTACAAGCCTGGGCACACTCCATAAAGATTTTTCGGCTTGACTTGGCCACTCTTTCTGGGGAAATCAGCGCTCGCTGTGCATTCATAAGCCCCACGCCATTCGGCCATTCCCCTTTGGGCCGCAGGATGCGGCTGCTGCAAAAGTTAATTAAAATTGTAATTACTTTGCCTCCGCCATTATTGTTCCGGCTCCAACTCCGACTTCCGACTGCGGCCGTAATGCCAATTGAAAAGTTGCCACCGAGCCGGGCCACAAACTAATGAGCCGGCGGGTGTGTGCTGGCTTAGATCTCCCAGTTCCCTTCACAATCCCCAATCCCTTTCTCAATCCCAGCCATATAAGATGCCGCAAAAGCCGATTGTGCGAGCGCCACATGGCGTATGCGTAACAATGTTGCCTGTAATTAATGTCTGTGCCAATAAAAGGAGGCGAGGCAAACAATGGAACCAACGCAGAACTTAATGCCAACTTGAGCGCCTCCATGAAATCCTTTCTCCACTCATTATTTGTGCCGAGGCGTAACGGCCGCATTAAGTGGAAGTCGTTTCGTGGGCGTGGCACATGACATTGACAGCAATATGGAAACTATGCTAAGCCCCCTCCGACAGCTCGACTGACAGCCTTCATTACGACTAAATATGGCAACGAAAAAATAAGAAAAAAAAATGCGAAAATGCGAAAAACTAGCGCAGAAATACGACAAAAACAAAATGAAGCCTACAGCCAAAAGGGATTTGGGTCAGGCTGCATTTTTGAAGTGTGCCTAGCTGATGAGTATGCAAGTGCAGTGGTGTGTGTGTGGTATGCTTAAATATGCAGCTTTTGCAGCTCGAAAACAAGAAAACCATTGTAGAACACCGCACATTGCGCATACGCCGCGTGCAACCGCTGAAAATCGCAACCAGCCCAATATTAATGTGTTCTCTGTGCTCTCATCCAAAACCTTCATCTTTTTTTGCCATTGCAGATTTATGATCGGACAATACATCACCGTGCATGGCGATGTAATTAGTCATGTTAACATAAGCCACGTCATGGTCGAGGATGGTGGCGAGTACGCCTGCAACGCCGAGAATCGAGCGGGAAGAGTGCAGCATGCGGCGCGCTTGAATATTTATGGTATGTTGTGTTCACACTTAAAGTCGAGGCTTAGACAGATGCATAGCGAAAAATACTATTAATAAATATTATTTAATATTATCTTAAAAGTAGAAACAATTAGCCAAGGTTTAAAGTATTTATTAAGCTTAAACTGTTGATAGTTTAATTTATAAACATTCAAATATTGCAATAATAGTTTCTTTAAACTCGGGAATCATTTTGAAAATATTTCAGACTACTTTTGTACATTTTCCCTCTGTGCAGCTACAAATATGGCCAGCTACTTACATATGCACTTAAACGTTCGCCCAGCTGGAGGCTGGCTCCTCTTTCTTTTTGGCATTTGCCTACTTTTGCCTGATTTTGTTTTACAACACGTTTGCCATGTTCTCAGTTCGGTTCCCCCCCGGTTTGGCCCGATCCTTTGGGCCGTTCCGCCTCCCCTGCAAGTTTACTTTTGTGCCTTTGCAGCAGTGAAGTGTTGTTCGAGGCGCACACTTTTGTTGAACATGGCTTTCGGCTGGCTGCAGTGCTTTTCCCCTTCAAAGACCCTCCTCCAACCCCCCCACCGATAGTCCAGAAAATCCACCCGAAAAGCCACCCAGCTTCCATTTTCCCAGCTCCCAGCAGCGCGCGCAACATCTGCCTTGTTTTTGCAAGAAATCAAATATTTTTGTGTCGCCAGGCAAACAAAATGGCGTTGCCAGCGAGAAAGGAAGCAGGAGCAGGAGTGCAAACACAAAACGACAGCGGCGGCAAAAACTGCGCCATGTTTACAAAGTTTTGCAGTGAAAAAGTTGAAAAATAAAGTCAAGTAAATTCACGAAAAATCCCTTCTCGACTAAACGATGCTCTGCTGGTTGGATACGAGAAATAAAAAAAAGAAAATGGGGAAAAATCTCAGTCCCTGTTCGACATTTATCACTCAAATCAAATAAACCAAGGGATGCCTTTTCCTTGGGCCAAAGTTAAAGACCCAAGTGATTCGGTATGATAATCAAATAAAAAGAAAAAGTATGTCAGAAGCACTACCTTCCCTTCTTCCATTCAAGTCCTTTGACAATTTCCGCATACCCTGCAAGCATTGTTTGCCGACGGTTCGCAAAAAGGAGCAAATGAATCCCGCTGCCACCATCATCATTTAGTTTAAAGCTCGGCGATGTCGCTGATTGCGCGACTTGGTAATGGCGGTGATTACAAAAATCTCCATCCACTCCGCCGAAAACACGGACACAGAGACCACGTATGACGTGCTCGAAAATTATGCATATTCCGCAGAAAAAAAACAGTCAGCCCACGAGGCAACCAAAGGCAACCCGGAGGCAACCGCTCCTTCAACTGCTGCCACCGACCGACAGTTGCTGCATTATTTCCTTCCACGTTCCCGAAAAGTGTTTTGGCGGAGGGCACGGGCACAGGAGACAGGACGAAACCAGCCAGGATATGCATATTACATTGTGCTCGGCTTCCTGTTGTCTGCACAGAGAAAAATACTAGGAAAATATTTAAAAATGGCAAATATAATGAAAAATTTATTTAAATTAAAATTGTTAGAAAATATGAAAAATAAGAATTAGAAATTTTGAAGAAAAATTATCATATAAAAAATTATTTATAGACATTTAAAGTCATATCTCAATTATCCTCTGTTGGTCAATCAAATAATACCTTTTCATTTAGACTAAAAATAGGGGAAAATAGTCGTTATGTTGTTATTTAATTGGTATTTTATTATTTATTTTTCTTAATATTTTTTCCCAGCTTAGCTGCTCCTTGTGGAGCCCCTGCTTTCTCCTGTATTTGTAGTTGTTTACTGCATTATTAAAAAAGCAACGTGCGCGCAAATCTGTTAAGCATTTACAATTCCCCCCATAGCTCTCCATCGCAGCCCCCTTAAACCCACCAACTGATGCCACTTTTTCCGTGACAGGTCTTCCGTACATTCGACTGATTCCGAAGGTAACCGCCGTCTCCGGCGAGACATTGAATCTGAAGTGCCCGGTGGCCGGCTATCCCATCGAGGAGATCCACTGGGAGCGGGGCGGACGGGAGCTGCCCGATGATATACGGCAGCGTGTCCAGCCGGACGGCTCGCTGACCATCAGCCCGGTGCAGAAGAACTCCGATTCCGGGGTGTACACGTGCTGGGCGAGGAACAAACAGGGTCACAGCGCCCGGCGGAGTGGCGAGGTGACGGTCATAGGTTAGTATGTGAGACGAGAAACTAAGAACCCAAAGAAAACCCAGGAAAAACAAACAAAAAACGAGTACAAAAAAAATAGATGAACAAGAGGAGGTCGAGGTTGGTTTCTTTCACAGCTTTTTCAGCAACGATGACATCAAGCGGCGGGCTACGAAACGAAGTGAAAATTGCATTTTAATTATTAACAGCAAACTAAGTAGTTTCCTATGGCGCTTCAAGTTGTCCCAACCTTTTTGCCAACCTTTTTGCATAACTTTTCTCTTACTTTTTTCACTTTTTGCGATTCTGCTTAATTTTGTTTTGTTTTGGCTCTCAGCCGGGTGTGTGTACAAGTTCCTTTTTGCCTCTGCTGTAATTAAATATGCGCAATAATCTAAGCTTAAAAGTTGGTAAATTAAAAAAAAAAAGCGAGAAAAGGAAGCTGAAGGAGAGCAACGGCAAGCGGTTCCGTTTTTTTCATTAGTGTTAATGTTAATGAATTCGCGCCCTAATGAAGCGCCGCGCTGATTAAATTTTCATAAATCGCAAACCTTTTTGCCCGGCTCCTTCTGCTTCCCCCCTTTGGCTCATCAATCCTTGGCTGATCCCTTGCAGTGCCGCCGAAGCTCAGTCCCTTCCAAACGAGCATCCTGCAGCTGAACATGGGCGATCGGGCCTCGCTCACCTGTTCGGTGGTGAAGGGCGATCTTCCATTGACCATCAACTGGCGCAAGGACGGCCGCCCCATCGATCCCACCCAGCACATGTCGGTGAAACAGGTGGACCAGTACAACAGCATCCTGGTAATCGAGAACCTGGGCAGCGATCACACCGGCAACTACTCCTGTGTGGTGCGCAACTCGGCCGCCGAGGTGGAGAACTCGCAGGCCCTGCTGGTCAATGGTAAAAATAACGATCGACTTGAGTCCGAGCTAGCCAGTTATCCAGTTATCCAGTATCCGTAATCCCGTTTAGTTGCAAGTAGTTGAGTTTCCTTTCGTATGCACTTTGATTCCATGTACCATGTAACACAGAACCATTGAATTGCATATACCTATACTTTATATATTCTTGCTATCCTTTGTAAATGATGTTTCCACTTTCGGAATGTTTGTACAAGATTAAGTAGCGTTTTCATTCGAATGTGTTAACAAAACTGCGAAGGTTTACAGAGCGTACAAATTGACAATCGAGAATCAAGAATCAGCAATCAACAATCAACGTGGGAATCTCGCAGGTGTCGCCGTCTCCTCTCACCAGTGCCAATCTTAACCCGTTTCGCCTGATCTTTCCTCTTGCAGTGCCGCCGAGCATAGAACCGTTCGCCTTCCAGGAGGGCTTGGCCGAGGGCATGCGGACGAGGACCGTCTGCGGGGTGTCCCGGGGCGATCCGCCGCTGAAGCTCATCTGGCTGAAGGACGGTGATCCGCTGCCCGACCTTTTGGGGGCCAATGTCACCATGCTAGACCAGTACAGCTCGCTGCTCAGCATTCCATCGCTGTCGGCCACGCATTCCGGCGAGTACACGTGCGTGGCCAAGAATCCGGCGGCCGAGATCAAGTATACGGCCCTGTTGCAGGTCAAAGGTAGCGTACTAGCGTACCCATCACCACAGTTAAACACCAGACACGAAAAGAGAAAAATACTAAAATATCAGAGCCTTTGGTTGTCGAAGCTATCATTAAATAAAAGTATTTCGTAGAAACTTGAGGGTTTCAAAACAATTATTGAACCGTCTATAAGTATGCAATACAATTTTCGTTTACAAAACGAGGAAGGCAAATAGTAAGAAGGTAAAATTAATTGCATACTTATAGGCGCAGAATAAATGTTTTCAAGTCCTTAGTGGCTTTTTTAATGAGGACCATAAGTGATAATATTAAAGATATATTTTTTAAACATTTTAACGACTTTACCAAACATGGCGATATTTTTTCTCTTCACACACAATTAACAAAAACACACGCATACAAAACTAAGCGAACTTCACTTGCCCCTAAATAACTTTTTGCTTTCCCGCTGATGTATTCAAGAACAGCTTCTTAATGGTATTTTCAGTTGTTGATGATATTTTTGGTTGATTTTTAACAACAAAGAATAACAATAGGCTGATCCAGCTTTTTTTGGGCTCTCGATTAGCTCCGGCGCAACTGAACGTTGCCCAGCCCGAAGGCCCTTTGATTTTTTGACTCTCACTAAGAAAAAGAACTCCCCATAACTCCATAAAAACGTACCGCTTAAAAACCCCGAAAAACCCTACTAATCTACAATTAAGAGTTCCCCGCCACCCTTAAGTCGCTTTGGCACGCTGTGGGTTTTTTTGACAACCGTCTCACCAGGTAAACCGTTTTAACTGCACTGCTTCTTATGCGCTTCGTAACCAAAAATCTAACAAATTACATACGTATCAAGCTTATGAATATCTCTTTTGATTTGCTGCATATTATTTGAACCGCTTCTTACACGAAAAGTCGGGTTTTTTAGATGCATAAATTATGTGCGCTCTCCGGGCGAAATTCAATTGGCGGTCCCTCATTTTCGAGAGCTCGGAGGGCGCACAGCATTCGTGATTAGCTGTAATTTATAATTTATACAAATACTCTTGCATAAACATGGAAAAATAAGCTGCTTTAAGATTCATTTGCCTTATTCGCTATATCCTTTTTTTGGTTGCCGGCCATTGGGCTGCTGCTCGGTCTGCAGGATAAATGCAGAAACTCCTCCGTTACCCTTGGCTCCTCTCTTCATTTTTGACTTGCAGCTTCCGAAAACTCAACTTCATCTACTATGCTCAATGTGCTGTGCTTAATTAACGAACGAATAAACAAGGCGAGCGCTGAAAAAGAATGAGTTCGCATAAAAGCCAACAATCCACCCAAAATCCGCCGAAGATGCTATGAAACTCGCGCTTACGCTTCAATTTGGTTTTGGCCTCTCTAATCGCTTACTATATTTCCACACCGAAACAAATTTATTGATCATTAAATTTAATTTAATTGATACAAATTTTAAGTACAACCAATTTTATTTAATTTAACTTTTGGTATCTGGAGAATTTAGTAAATTCAGTAAATTTAAATAATTTATAAAAATAATTCTAATAACTTATAATTTATAATTTGTCGAAAATTCTAATCTAAAGATGTGGAAAATAAAGTTACAGTTTTAATACCAGCAATTTGTTTCGGTGTACAACCCCTTTCGCTTGTGTGAGTGCCTGATTGCCTGTGTGTGTGCGTGTGAATGACAAAACGCTTAAACATAATCCCATTGCAGAGCAAAGTGAACTAAACCACAAAAATAAAGAAAATAAATTAAGGAGAACGAACCGAAAATAAATGGATAAGAAACTTAAAGCTTCGCAGTATTTGCTAATGTAGTTGAGAATGAATGTTTTTATCTAGAAGCGGCCAGCGAGCTGCACTTTTTGTTTCTGCATGCCGACTGTACATGGTAGAAATGCAATTTTTAGTTTGCTCTGTGCCATCTGCATGCGCGTAGTGCTGTGACAAATGAATTTTAATTTCCATTTATTTATGATTTGCTTGCTCTCTCTTCGTTTCGTCCTCCTCGGTTCTTAAGCTCTGGTTTTAATTCGTTTTTGGGTTCTCCTCCTTTCACACACAGATTGCTCCGTTAAGCTTTTTCCACCCGATTTCGCCAGCCAGTCTCGGGGGTGGGCAATTATATTTATTTTCATTTGCCAAGCAAAGCGCTTGACGTACACAGTTTTCAAAATTTAATTTATTTATTTTGCCAATGCCCCATTTCCATTTTCCATTTTCCCGGGCTGACGCTGCTGTGTTGTTGTGTGCAAAGATTTTTTCCGTATTCGAATTAGACACGCTGTCCCCAAGAACCCCACGAACCCCGAACCCCAAACGCTTTGTACTACTGCAAAATAATCCCTGAGAAAAAATACCGTCATAACCAGAAATCATTTTAATTAATACTTTGCCCTGGGCCAGATGTTAATTTCATTTGGAGCTCTATAATTTGCTCCTTGTTCGGGTTTAATTTTTAATTAATATTTTTCATTTCGTTATTGCTGCACAAACAAAGGCTGGCAATTAAATGCAGCTGCTAAGTAAACAGTTTATAATTTATTGAAAACGCCAGTCCACTGGAATGGACAGGAGGTGTTTTGGGGGGTGATTTTTATTGAAATCCCATTTTATTGTTTTCGCTTTTTTCGTGTTTTGTTAGCTGCGTGTTCAACTATAAAACTCACACTACGTTCACATTTATGTTGCGCATTCTATAATTTCTATGCAAATATATTTTCAATTTCGCTTCTGGCATGCCTTTGTTATTTAATTTATGCGCCGAATATACCAGAACATATTAAGCCTTTTTTGCGATTTTTTTAAACAACCATCAAAGTACCGTGAGGCACAGAGCGTGGGCGAATCAAAGAAAACACACAAAAGAGAAAGCGATCAATTTGAATAAACGAAAAAGAAATAAAAATAAAATCCTTGCACACCAACAAATGAAATCATAATTAATTTACCCCACGGACATTCCTAAACGATTCCCCATAAACATGAAAACCTGAAAGAGTAAACATTAATTTTTGTTCCATTTTTGACTGAGTTGCATATGAAATTCTTTTTGTATTTGATTTTGAAAGCAAACCACCCAAAAGCAAACTATCCTTTTGTATATTAGTTGAAAAGTTCCTACTATATTGCTACCACTATTCAACCAGTTTTTACATTTGTGCTAGGCACAATGAAAATCTTAAGATCGTAAACAGCAAAATTCTTTTATGCCGTTTTTTACTTTGCCAGAAATCTTCACTTTTCCTCTCTGTCTCTGTCTCTCTCTCTCTATAACTCTCTCTAAGAACCATTACTCTTACTGTATGTCTTAGCAGTTTTCATTTGAATTATTCGTTCTGTGCTCCCAGCCATTTTCCAAGTAAACTAACTAACTCTTCATATCACGCATACGCCCCGTAGTGCCGCCTCGCTGGATTGTCGAGCCCGTGGACGCGAATGTAGAGCGCAACCGCCACATTATGCTGCATTGCCAGGCGCAGGGTGTTCCAACACCGAGTATAGTTTGGAAGAAGGCTACAGGTAAGAATCTTTTTAAGGGTAGTAAATACTTTGAATCAATATTGCATATTTCCAAGTTTATAATTTTAAATGTAGATATTAAATTAAATATTTTAAATCCCAATTAAAGTAATTTATTACTTGTTAAAGTGTTGTTCAATTGTTAAAAAATATTTTAGATTATTTCATTTGTACAAAATTATACAAAAATGTATTTTAAACATAAAAAAATTATATTGCATTCTTATTTTATTACCTGAAAATCACTAATTAGTTTTATTAATTAAAAATTAACAATAGTATATTTTAATAAAAAGGATATATATTTTGAGTGCAGATATCGCAGCCGGATTAACCCACTTTCCACGATTTTTCAATGACACTTTACAGGCAGCAAATCGGGCGAGTACGAGGAGGTTCGCGAGCGTCCCTTCACCAAGCTCCTGGGCAACGGCTCCCTGCTCCTGCAGCACGTTAAGGAGGATCGCGAGGGCTTCTATCTGTGCCAGGCCAACAATGGAATCGGCACCGGCATCGGAAAGGTCATCCAGCTGAAAGTGAACTGTGAGTATTTCAGCAGAGAGAGGGGGAAAGCTGCTCTGGCAATTTGGTTAATTGCTCTGCCTTGGAGGCCCTGCGGGAATCACGGCCGTAATTAAAATGGGCGAAATGCTTGCCATTTTCAGCCTCGCCGTACTTCTCCTCGACTTCCCGCTCCGTGATGGTGAAAAAGGGCGACACGGCGCTGCTTCAGTGCGCCGTTAGTGGCGACAAGCCGATTAACATTGTTTGGATGCGCTCGGGCAAGAATACGCTGAATCCATCAACCAATTACAAGTGGGTGATTTTGCTTGAATTCTGGAGAAACGAAACTGAATCCTTCTTCATTCCCCTTCAGAATCTCGGTGAAGCAGGAGGCCACGCCGGACGGAGTGTCTGCGGAGCTGCAAATCCGCACTGTGGATGCCACCGACAGTGGTCCGTACTTCTGCAGGGCCAGCAATCTGTACGGGAACGATCAGCAGCTGGTGCAGCTGCAGGTCCAGGAGCCACCACTGCCGCCCAGCGTCCTGGAGGCGGCGATGATCAGCAGCCGATCGGTGAACATCAAGTGGCAACCGAAGACTCTGGGCACGGGCGATGTGACCAAGTACCTGGTGGAGTTCCACGAGGCAGATCGTACGTTAACAAGATTTTTTAGTAGCTTCAGATATATCATATAGGTATCATTTACCATTTAAACAAGGTTCTCTTCCACCAGCCTTGTTTGTGGAGCAGTGGCAGCAAATAGAGGTCAAGGATCCGCCGCATTTCAATGCCCTGATCGAGAACCTCAAGCCGGCGACGCGTTACGCCTTCCGTGTGATTGCCGAGGGCTCCGCAGGACGTAGTGCACCCAGCCAGGAGCTCATTGTCCGCACAGAACCACAGCGACCAGCAGGACCTCCCCTTAGCCTTTCGGCCCGACCTCTGTCCTCCACCGAGCTGCTCATCAGCTGGGTGGCTCCGCTGCCGGAATTGCGACATGGCGACATTCAGGGCTACAATGTGGGCTACAAACTGTCCAGCTCGGGGAATACGGCCTACAACTTTACCTCCGTTTCCGGGGACTACGATGGCGGCAATGGAGAGTTGCTGCTCAGTGGGTTAGCTAAGTTTGCCAGATACACGGTGGTGGTGCAGGCCTTCAATCAGGTGGGACCGGGACCTCTGTCGGAACCCACAGCTGCTCAGACAATGGAAGATGGTAATAAATGGGATGAGTTTTTATACCCCTGCAGAGGGTAATATGATTTCAGTTAGAAGTTTGCATGTCATAGCTATATCCCATAGGAATAATCGGTAAAAAAAAATGTAAAAAAATTATGTCTTGGGTGTTTTTTAACATATAACCACCTTCTTTTGGAAATACCATTTTTTATCTAATTCTGAATTTCGAATTTAATTTTATCAAAATCGGACGACTATATCGAATATATAATAGGAAAAAATTATTGCTTCGTTGGTTTTTTCGTAATCTTTTCTATTCTGGGATATGACTCTTTTTAAATATTTCCAAATTGCAATTTTAATTTTATTAAAATCGAACTACTTTATCTTATCGGAAAATTAATGAGAAATAATAGGAAATTTAACATTTTTGCGATTTGTAAACTAATAGGAATGATCTGCAAGGGTATATAAGCTTTGGCTGGCTTCATTTTTTGTTTATTTATTATTTCTAATTTAATTATATTCTCTCCCCTCATCCAGTTCCCAGTCGCCCGCCGGAGGATGTGCGCTGTGCCGCCCTGTCTTCGCAATCACTTCAGGTGTCCTGGCAACCACCGCCAATCTACCACACTAATGGCCTGCTGCAGGGATACAAGCTGATATTCGAGCCCATCATCGACGACATTCAGCCCAGCAAGGACGAGGTGGAGTCGAGGAAGACCACGGCACTCACCATGGTGCTGACGGGATTGCGCAAGTATACCAATTACAGCATTCAGGTTCTGGCCCACACACGAATGGGCGATGGTGTGGTCTCGAAGCCATTGTTTTGCCACAGCGAGGAGGATGTGCCCGAGGCACCGGCGGACATCAAGGTGGTTTCCAGCTCATCGCAGTCCCTGTACATCTCCTGGCTGCCGCCCACCGAACCCAACGGGGTGATCACCAAGTTTAGTTTGTATACCCGCGTGGTCAACGGTCGCGAGGAGCTGAACAACGAGAAGCGGAGCCTGCCGTCGCAGCAGGCTTATTACGAGGCGAAGGGTCTGCATCCGCATATGGAGTACCAGTTCTGGGTGACGGCCAGCACGCGGGTGGGTGAGGGTAAGAGCTCGCGGGTGTCCTCGCAGATCACCACGAATCGGGTGCCCGCGAGGATCATCTCCTTCGGTGGTCCCGTGGTCAGACCCTGGCGATCCACGGTGACGTTGCCCTGCACGGCGGTGGGCAAACCGAAGAGGGAGTGGTTCAAGGCGGACGTGGCTTTGCGACAGGGCGGCATGCACAACTCCCAGCTGCTGGACAGCGGGGATCTGATCATCTCCAGCCTGCAGCTGGCCGACGGAGGCAACTACAGTTGCCAGGTGGACAATGGCATTGGAACGGATCGTTTGACGCACACCCTCATGGTGCAGGTTCCGCCCACGGCGCCCGTTTTGTATGTAACCAGCGCCACCTCGAGCAGCATTTTGATGCACTGGAAGTGCGACTTCACGGGCAACGCACCCATCACCGGCTACACATTGTTCTATAGGAGGACCAATGGAAACGCAGAGGAGATGCAGTTGTCGCGACATGCCTCCAGTCACGAACTGAAGGGCTTAGTGTGTGGCAGCACGTACCAGATCCACCTGAGTGCCCAGAACAAGGTGGGCACCTCGCCCACCAGCACCATGCTCCATGTGCGCACTCAGGGTCAGTCACCTGGTCATCCTGCCTCCACCGCCCTTCTGGCCCCCAACTCGACCTCGCTGCTGGTTCGATTGCACTCCTGGCCGGACAATGGCTGTCCCCTGCTGTACTTTGTGCTGCAGTACAAGGCGGTCACCGAGGATCCGGACGCCGAATGGGTGCTGGGTGAGTTTTGTTGTTTAAATTCAACCGTTTGCTCATTGTCCGGTTAAGATATAGTTAACTGCCAGATAAATACAGTTAGTTTACAGATTAAGGTTAGATAAATACTAATCCAATAGAGTAATAGATTAACTGAATGTTTTCGTAAAATCATTTTAACCCTACGGCAAAAGTTAACGGGACGGGAGAATTCGGCCCCAAACAATATTCAATTTTGTAACATTTCTGCAGTTTTTCTTTTTATTAAGAGCTTTCTAAATATATACCTGTATCTAATTATTGCTAAAACTTCCCCATTTCAATAGAGTAAAAGAGTAACTGAATGTTTTCGTAACAAAAGTTAACTTGACATTGAGAAATCGGCCCTAAATAATATTAAATTTCATGTGTAATATTATTTCTGCATTTTTTCTTTTTTTTTAAGAGCTTTGTAAGTTTGACATCTGTACCTAATTATTGCTAAATCTTCTCCATTTCAGTATCCAATGCCCTGAAGCCACAACGTCGCATAGTGGTCAACAATCTGAAGCCATCGACCCTCTACCAACTTCGCATGGAGGCGCATAACGTGGCTGGAATCTCTCAGGCGGACTTCTCATTTGTGACCCTGACCAAGGACGGAGATCCACCGCCGCCGGAAATCGTGCATCGTGGCCATCGCGGTCAGACCACTGTGATTTTCGCCAATATGAACCTGCTCATCCCCAGCATTGCCGCCGTATCGGGATTGTTCTGCACCATCATCATGGTCATCGTCTGCTACCGACACAGTAAGCATAGCAATAAAGTCCTAACCACATTCAATGACCCACTAATTGACTCAGTGCTTAAAAATGCACCACCGCACGCAGAGCAAGCCAATCACATTCAAAAGGAATCACTCGAGAATCGAGCCAACTCAGAGGCTGCCCAGCGGGAGCGCTACTATGCCACCATTCACAAGGTGTCCATGCAGAACAACGATAAGATTCCAGGTGAGTGACTGGCTAACAAGGGGTGGCGCAGAAATCTCGGGCATAAAATATAAAAGCTTCAATAGCCAATTTCTCTGCCGCTGCGCTGCCAGCTTTTCGGCGAACACGTACTCTGTAAAGCAGAGTAACTGCAACTACTCACACAATCCCAATGCGAGTTTTCATCGTATGTGTGCTGATTCTGCTAGCAACCACTGGTTTAAAGCCATTAAAGTAAGATAAAGAAAGAATAAAATTTATTTGAAAATCAAACAATAATTCCAAGAATCGAAATCTCTTAACATCTTGGGAGTTTTGACATACTGACTGACGGGGAAACCCCTTGAGATTTCTGTAACACCCTTGATGGCTGCCTGTTTTATCCACTCGATCAGCAACGCTAACCGCCCGAGGTCTTTTCGCAGAAACCTCCGAGGACATCTCGCCGTACGCCACCTTCCAGCTGTCGGAGGCTGGGGGCAACATGTCGCAGCCGCACCACGGCGGCCCGGCCAACACGCTGCTCCACTCGTTCATGTACCACGAGCGGGCCTTGGCCGAGGGCTGCTCGTCGCCACCACCAGCCGCGGTACTGAACCCACCAACCACCACCCATCACCACCACCACCACCAACGTCCACTAAAGACAATTCATAATTATTATCAGACCTCACCGTTCCATAATATCGTGCGTTTGTTTATTCATTTCTTTGATTTAGCTCTCTCTCTCTACTGTACTCTACTCCTCCATTGATCCGTGTGGTCCTGCCACAATTAGTGTTTTCCTAAGTGTACTACGTGCTTTTTATGTTGTTCTCTGCTCGTCCATTTGTTTGTGTTTGCCCTTCAGTTCACGTTAATTGCAATGCCGTAAATCATGCGAAGGGGATCCCGACTCCCCGGATCCATGTCACCAGTCTGCCAATCTTCAGTTCCTACCCGTAACCCTTTCTTTTGTTCGAGGAGCGTTCCATCCCAGGGCGCTTTTGTAGTCGCTAGCTGCCGCATAGCCGCAGGCAGTTGCAGATCCAGACTAATTTCCCGCTCTGTTCCATGTGCAGTCCAAGAACCGGAGGCGCCACTCGAGGAAGACGGAGCCGGAGAGCGAGGAGTCGGAATCGGACCAGGACCAGCTGACCTCCAGTCGCACCGAGTCCTCCAACCAGCACGAGGGCAAGATCAAGCACAGTAAGTCCAAGTTTGGGGGAATACCTTTAAAATATTGGATGCAATTGATCAGATCATCAAAAATATAGAAGTATTCTTTTGGTTTCCATCTGCGGTGAAAGCTTTGAAGACATTTTATTTAACACAATTTTGGAGTGAAAGAAATAAAAACTAACCTTTACAAAATTCCTGGGACTTTTTAATTAAAAAAAATACTTTTTTTTACTTTAAAATTAATTTATATATAATAATTATTTTGAAAAGACTTTCACTGCAGAAATTCCTTGCTCTCAGTTCCCAGGCTTTTTGCTTTAGTTAACTTTAGCCCATAAAGTAAACTGCCCGCTGAACTCTCTTTTTGTGTTGCTTTGTTTTTGCAGACTCTAGACTAATACAACACTTTCCAAACCACAATATCTCGATAACATATCTGTAGTAGGCCAATCAGACACAGCACCAAAAACTCTACACCAACAACTAAGATCAGGCCAACAAATAAGACTAAGCCACCCGATTTGTAATTCGTAATTCGTAAATCGTGTTAGTAACAATAAGTTAGCAATAAGTACTTTTTTATTTAGTGTTCCCCCCAGCCAAAAAGAACTCTCTATCAGCCCGCTCTTTATTTTTCTGTTCTTTTCTTCCCCTCTAACATCTCCGTCTGCGCTGCGAACCACCATTGATATTGATATTGATCCGTTGATCAAACAATCCGCTGTTGCGAATTGCTGTGATTTGTACCATTTGTCGCAGGCATCATCTACCACGGAGCACAGTCAAGCACCTCCTCCGATCTGTCACCAATGTCCGAACAGAAATCATTGCCCCGCCGCGGTCGCTCCAGGTATCATCATCAGCAATATCAGTTTTCCACCAATACCACACCGCGCCACCACAACAGCAACAAAATGAACAACAACACCACCAGCAACACGAACACCACAGCCACCAATACGACAGCCACACCATCGACATCGAGCAATTCGAACAAAATTCTATCGCCGCGCGGCGGAAATCTGAAATCCATATCGAGCACCTTCAAATCGCAAGACTCCATACAGTGCCACATACCCACATTGGTCAAGTCGCCATCGATCAGTACACAGCAGCAGAAACAGTTTCACAAGCAGCAGCAGTTGCAGGGCAGTAGCACGAATCCCCAGCATAGTAGCACCTCCAATTCGAACAGTAGTAGCCTGAAGCAACAGCAGCCCCTCCTGATCACGCCCAAGCTCCATCAGCTGGATGGGTCGAGTCCCGGCTGCCAGGAGCTGATGGGGCTGGACGGGATCGGCAATGGCCACAGCCCGTTGGTAGCCTGCATGCCGCCCTCCTCACAGTTCCGCCCCATTCCCCACAAGTCCATAATGCCCGCGCATGAGCCACCGCACCACCACACGACCCACCAGCAACCACATCCCCACCAGCAGCAGCTGCAGCAGCAGTCGACCTTGCTCAACCCCTCGACGGCCATGCTCTCCTCCAAGTTCTTCACAGCGCCCACGCTGCCCAAATAGGATACGGCCAATGGGGGGAGTGAATACGTTGGTGGTGCCATGGAGGCCATGGACGGTTTCGGCTACGACAGCGGCGAGATCTCCTGCACCTACATGGACCCGATAGATCAGACATGAGACCTGGCCTACGGTGAGGTGTGCGGTCCCCCCGAGGGGGCCCGTTAAGGTAGCTTTTCACGACCTGGTAGCTCAGCTGAGATCAGTAACTATCTATTGGATAAATATTACATTTGGATGAGTTTTCTAATAAAACGTCTGAAATATTTAAAGGTGCCTAAAAGTATGCCTTGAAAAATAGAAAGCATAAATCGTAGCATACTTTTAGACACCTTCATAATTTTTTTAAAAAATCTCTATAGAGATCTTCTTGAGATCTCCTTCATATCAGATACAAAACCTCAGCTGATAAACCAGGTCGTGAGAACCGTGCCCACCCACGCACACCCAACCACACAACCAGACTAGAACTACACCACTAGGTCTTTAACCGAATGAATGCTTGAATGCTGTGGTTGCAATCCGAAAAAAACTCCAACTCTGGACCCTTTCTTGTACTTGCACCCCCGTCACCCCCCAACGATTGCCACCCACCACCCTCCCACCCCCCGAAAAAAAACACGCATCCAGGGCCGGCATCCTGCGCACGCTGCATCCGCTCCAGCTGCAGGCCGAGTGCACCACCGGCGCCTTCCACCGCACCGAGGACGGCGGCCTGGGCGAACGGATCGAGCTGGCCGAGGTTGAGGTCGATGTGGACACGATTAAGAAGCTCAAGCTGGGTCAGAGGTCATCGCTCTGGTCGCGACCCTCCTCCACCACCTCCCAGCTGCAGCAGGAGCACCACCAGCAGCAGCAGCAGCAGCAGAAGCACCACCAACAACAGCAGCAGCACCACCAACAGCAGCAGCAGCCACAGCAGGCACCACAGCAACCACACAAACGAGCGCATTCAAAGTCACCGCAGCCACAGCAACAGCAGCCATTGCAACAGCAACGCCAACAACAACATTCACCCGCTCCTGGCCAGAAATTGCTTAGCGAGAAATCGGATTATTCGATATCCGTCTGAGACATTGGTAAGATCTGATCGCAAGATCAGCAGATAGGATGAGGCCAGGCCCCCCGATAGCCAGAAATTTAGCAACAGCAGCCGGGCCGTTTTTGTACATTTTTATAATGCATTTGTTACCTAACCACCCAGCCCCGCCCCCCACTCCACTCCACCACTTTCGGAACAGCCCTGAACCCAGTAATACCCTCCTGCCCTCTCAAAAAGAAAAAAAAGAAGAGAATAACACTCAGTAAACTTTCGGACAATCAGTATCAAAATTCTGCACCAACCATCCAAAACCAAAACCAAAACCAAACATACCGAATCAAAACACTTCCCATTATAAAACTCCTGCCCGTATTTATAGAGGTCATACTACATCTAAGTATTAACGATTGTGCATGCTATAATCCCACGTATAAGTATGTGAATGAATATGGCATGTGTCCAAAAAGAACCCAGGTCAGTTGTCGAACTTCCAGAAATGTTGTATGTATATATACTAACGTAGTCTCTTAAGTATCCGTAACGACTAATGCGTATATCACTCGAAACTGTAACTCAAACTACTAACTGCAAAACTATCGCATACTATCGTATCGTATCGAATCGAATCGAACTGTTTTTCGTATCGTATGTAGAAAGGATGATCTTCTAGGTGAGGGTATCTCTAAACATAGTACTACTCCTACAGTAGGTCTATAAGTTTCGGGTTCGTAGTGCACCAGGGCGAAGAAACGAGGAATTTAATCTTGAAATTTCAACTAAACCAAAAACTCAGATATATGCTGTGTACAAATTTATATGAATGTATATTTAAATGTGTCCGTGTGCGTGTCTACCTTATGAGACAGACAGTCGTGTGCTCATGTATATACGATATTATATACCGAGATATACAATTGAAAAGAATACTCATCTAGTTGTTAGCGAATCGCCGTACATGTAGAGTACTGAGCATATTTTGTAAATAATCAAAAGTAAACCCTCAAAGGACTGACAATGTTGCATGACTCCGCTGAGAGAACTCACACAGAAACAAAACAGAACACAGAAGTAAAGCCACAATGAAAATGTTAACTAAATGTATTCGATATAGCCGATGTACACACACTCGAATATGTCGCCAGCTGAATTTGAATTCAAAGCAGTATTCATAGAAAATATGACATTATAACGAAGTAACCACACTTTAGTGTTTCCATTACAATAAACAGTCATTCGTCGAGTTGTAGATAAATGTTTTTAAAAACGAAATAAGGAAAGAAACCAGAATGAGCCTGTAGGAGAATCAAATACAAGTCGTAATCAAATTTCGAATTATCACAAACACTCAATCAAGCAGCAGAAAAGGAGAAAAAGCGAAAGCCAAGTTAGGAGCAGACAAACAAACTACAAATTAATATAACTCTTAGTTCGTATCGAATAATCCAAATAATACGAGTACATAGCTGTATTTTAACTAGCCTACAAAAAGCATAAGGAAACCCATTAAACAGTCATATAAAGTCTAGGAGGAGCAGAGGTGCGAATCGAACCCGTTTTGGAAACCATGTGCCAAAATTTGTTTTTAGACAAAGCTCTCTTAAATTACGAGTAAACAATAAATAATGCAAGCCATGAAAAGCGAGTAAATAGCAGCCATGAAATATGAACATACAAATTAGAGACACAGAATCCACAAAATAGAGTCGCAGATTAAGGTGTTCACTTGGGGGAATTTATTGGGCCCAAGCCCCAGCGTAATTCATTTGTCTCTTATTTCAAATAATACGAAATTCACCAGCCAGCAGCACTCTTTGTTTATATAGCGATTGCGGCAGTAACGCCGCAGCGATTTTAGTCGGTTTTTATATGCATTTATTTGTACGAAGCAATGAAATGGTTTATTACATTTAACATCGAATTTTACGAATTTATTAACAAACAACAGAAAGTTGCGACTGCAAGGAGCAACCTCACAGCAAGTCTACAAATCAAAAGAAGAAATTAACTTAATAGATCACAATCAAAACGAGAACAAAACCAAGTACTTATACGAGAGGAAGAAACAATTTTTATGTTTAACATATAATTAGCACAACAACTACAAAATAAAAACTATTAATGTAAAAACAACGGCATTTAAAAAATATAAGAAATATTTAAAAATAAACAAATTGTTGTTTTATTTTGGTTTCAGATCAATTTTTCAGAAGGTGAGAAGAAAATAATAAACTATATAAGTTTATTTTAGGTAAAAGGAGATGTTTGTTGTTTTTCTATCCAAAAATGGTCCCAAATCAAAAGTACGTACTGTATTGAACAGCTAACATACTAATACATTGATCCCCCCACTAATTTTGATAACGAAATTATAAATAAAACACACTTTAAAATTTGTATATAATATTTTTAAATTTTTTTTTGATTTTTATTTCTGTGCACACTTAGGGGATAAAATGGGTAATGGATAATACTGAATGATGCCAGATACTCACACTGAAATCCGAACGGGCAGAGCCAGGGGCAGTGCTCGGGATCGGGATCGTCGTGGATCGGTGTAGGACCTGGAACGAGAACGCCCATGAGAACGACCGCGCGAGTGACCACGGGAGCGACCGCGGGACCTGGAGCGATCACGCTTGCGATCCTCCCGAATGTGTCTCCTCCTGGGCATGATCTCCTCCTTCTCGGCGAGAATCAGCTCGCAGTCACTCTGGCCGGAACTGGAACTGGAAGATGAGCTAGAGTGATGGTGGTGACCACGATGTTTGCGTCCACTGTGTCGACTTTTACCTCCTTCGGAACTTCGGTGCTTGGATTTGGTCTCCTTGGTGGAGGCCTGAGATTCTTGCTGCTTCTGGATTTGCTTCATTACATCGTTCAGCATTTTCTGAGCCATATTGGCCTTGCGGATGAGCTTCTCCAGCGACGGGGTGGCCATGTCCTCCACTTCCACCGGCGTGGCACGTGGCAATTGACCGCGGCAGCCTTGACATGCCTCGGGCACCGGATTTGCCGCAGTTTGCTCACGTGCCGCGTTATCAGATTGCGACATTTTCGCACTAGTTTACACCTGCCTCGATAAGAAATTCACTTAACACTTTGCTCTTTGGATTTATTGCTGCCGCTGGTCTGGATTTAACTGTTGCAACTGCTGGTATTGCTGCGGGAACTACTGGTGTTGCTGCGGGATCTGTTGATGTTGCTGCTGGAACTTCTGCTTCACTGGAACACTTGATTTCGACTGGCTTTTCTGGTATTTAGCTGCTCAGCTTTTATAGGCAACTTTGGCGCCAAGCTTATCGCGACTTTTGGTTTGCAAACATTTGCATTTGTTTATCAGACACATACTTATACAAACGGGCGATAAAGGTGACGTCATCCTGGCTATTTTTAGACAAAGCGCTTTTTATGGGATTGGGAAACTACTTCTAATAATCACGTGTTTTAAAAGTTACATAATTTCAAAGCCAAAGGTAACCTCAAAAATATTTCGCAATCATATGAAATCGGTAAATTTCAAAATATTGGAAATATAGTAGGTTTAAGTCATAATTTACGAAAAAACAAAATACTTTTTTTAACAAAGAACCATAACTGGTAATGATTAAATTGTATTTTGAAAAACGTATGACGTCATTATAGTATATTTATTGCATGGAACTGGGAAATACGATTGATCACATGATTAAAGAATTTTATGTATGATTTTGTATGGAAACGTAACTGCAAATATTTGTTTACGAATAATATTTACTTTTAGTACTTAGATCTAAAAACGTATTTCAAAAATAAAAGTTTCATAAAATAAAAAATAATTAACATTTATTTCAATTGACATCTTTTTTTAGTTCTATAAAGTTTTTAAAAAATAATAACATCTAATTTGTCAAAAATCATTTTATAAAACCTTTTTAAATTTCATTAAATTTAAAATATTCTATAAATAAGAAAATTTGTAAATTTTAAAACTTTTTTATAAGTATTATAAATAAAATCACGTATAAGATATTGTATAAGACAGTTTGGTATTTAATCTGTAAGTTGTTTGGTATTTTAATAATCGTATTTGAAAAGGGCCCGCCAACAATATGCTGGCGAACCCAAAACCGGTTTTCGTTGATTCTACTTATGAATGAGGAATTTCTGAATGAGTATTTAATTATTACGAAAAACATATGTTTTCTAAAATAAAAGACAACAAAAAACCTTATAAAGAAATGCAAAATTTGAATTTCATCTTAAAGATACTTTTCATGCAACCGACAGATACTTTTAACAGCGGCTGATACATAACAGTGAGATACACCAGTCTGTTAACATAGTGAGAGAGGAAGAATGCCCGGTTTTGGTATTTTTACGTTACATTTATTCGGTTTCTCTAAAGATTCAAAAATCTATATAAGCAACCAGCACCTTATTCTCTCTGTAATTTTTCGAGAGAGCGCTGCAGCGCGCGCTGTTTTCGGTTCCTATTAAAAATAATTTTAAAGAATTATCAATATTTCCTTAAAGCCTGCGGAGTTGCGGCACTCGAACCGATATTTGCAAAGGAACCGAAGAGAAAATCGTCGTGATAGTGAGTTTTTGTTCGTCTCCAGAAAATCAACCAAAATATGGATACTTAAAAGAAGTATAACGATGCATATTGTGACTTAGTAAACATAAATCGATTTAATTAATATTTAAACTTGTTGTTTTCGCCGAGTGGGCGCGTTTTGTTACTTAGTCGCTTTTCGATTTTCGTTTTTCCGACTTTCCTGCGCGCGGAACGGGTTTTCTCCACTGAAGCCTTGCGGTGTTTTTGCTCCCAAGCAGCAAGAAAAAAAAACAAGGCTGAAAAACTAAATTAAAGCGACAGGCTGGCATTTGCGGCAAATTAATCGATGTGCGGCATGGACTTTTAATTCGCAAATTCACCATCGATTTTTCCTTTGAGCTCAGCTGCAGTGCGCTAGTGTTGGTCCTCACGTGTGTGTGTGTGTGTGCGAGTCCTGGCAATACAAATAAACAGTTGAGTTAGGTAAACGGAACCATAAAAGGAAGTGAATAAAGAGAGAGGAGAGGGAACGACAGAATAGGACGAGTCCGAGTCCTTGAGTGATCCCTTTTTTTCAGCTGCAGCTGTCACGAAAATTCGCGCGAGTGTGTGTGTGGGAGAGAGAAAACGAGAAGACCGGTGATAATTTCTCTCCCTTTCGTTCTCTGTGTTTGTGCATTCAATTTGCACAAAACTCAAGCGACTCGCCAAATTCGCAAATTTCCGTCCGCGAATTGCCATCCATTATTTTGCACTCCCCCCAAGAGAGCGAGAGCAATAATAGAATTATCAGGCAGCGCTGAAAAAATAACAAAAAAAGCGAGGAAAAAAGAGAATGCCCTGGGAGGCCGTAATGCCGCGACCCTCTGACATTTCCATCGTCGCCCACCAAAGGAACAACAACTGAGCAGCAAAAACAACAGTTCGACAAACAAACAAACAAACAAAACAGCGAACGAGCGAATCAACGAACGAAACTCCAGCAGCCTCAACCGCTGGCACAGTTTTCCTCCTTTAACTCCAACTCCGTGGGTGAGTAACTACAGTAGAGCTACAGAAAGAAGAACATTTAAGGGATAAAGTTGATTCCAATTCAAACTTCTTAAAATATTGTAATATCATTAGCTGAAAAAACGGAACAATGTCTAATTGATATAGTTTCATATCATAACAAAATGGTAAGATTTCATATCAATATGGTTCAAAATCATATGTTCGGAAATATCATTTTGATATCATTTTGAACACAGTACAGACCAAAATTGATATGAAAAATTACCCGATTGATGACTACCTTTGGTCCTTTGGTGTTGAATAACTCCTACAAATAAATTCTGTTGTACTTTGCTGACTAGATTTTAAGATATGAGGAAAGTCCATACAGAAATGCACATCAAAATGATATTAATTGTTTATAACCCAGACGGCAGTTTAACTTAATGAATCTCCACCGTAAGTCTTTGGCGGGTAGAAAGTGGTTATCGAATATGAGCCGCGTCTTAAGTTGAAACCACATTGGTTGAGGGGGTGGTTGTGGTGGGTCAGAGGTGGCAGGCCTCAAGTCTTGGCGTCGTGTGGTTTTGCTTTTTAGCTGAAATTAAAAAGGTCAGGACCGTCCGACTTGGGGCTTCCGGATTTAGTATCCTAGCCACGTCGCCCGCTTCATTATGCAGCGTTAACTTTGTATGTATATGCATGTGGCAAGCGATGAATATAATTTCAGTTGCATGACTTCGCCGATAATCGATTTTGAAGCGACGAGGCAATCAGGAAGAGTGCAATTTGATGTCAGTCCGTCATTCAGTCATCCAGTCACTCAGTCAAACAGTCACAACCTGACACACTGGAAAAAGTTATGCTGCAATATGGGGGTCAACATGGCATGTTGGCGGTAGTGAAACAAAAAAAATCGATTTACTTTTTTAGTAATCTAGCCCCAAGATCGTATCGCTTTATAAGAAATGATTTGTTTCTGATGACTTTTAAAGTTAGCCATATTTTATGAATGGTCTAATTTCTCCCGGTGTATTCCGGTCTGCTTAAGTAGAGTTTACCATATTCATAAGCCCCGATTGATGGAGCGGACATTGCAACCGTTACTCCATAATGCGACAATTTGCGACTTGGAGTTGGGGGAGGGTATAAGGCATAATGCAGAGTGAGTTGAGGAAAACGCTAATTAAGCATCAATTAATGCAGTTTCCGCTGAGAGTCGTAAGAAACAAGCCTCCGTTCTTTTTCCTTCCACTCACATCGTGTGACACATTTTGCTTTCCCATACGCCTTTCGCCGATACGACTTATCAGCACTTTCCAGTTTTAGCACTTCTTACCACTTTGGCTTCCCCGAAATCACCACCCCCCAGATAAGCACTGCATTTTCTATGTATTTCCCCCCATAACCGACATATAAATGTCCGATTGGCGAGTCTCTCAATAATAAAGGCAATAATTTATGATAAACAAGTTTATAAAGTGTGCGAAATCTAACAGCTCACTGATTCGAGCCTGTTTTTTTTAGCGACACTCTCTTCCCCCCAAAACTTGTCCAAATTTTGCATTGTTTATAATCAGTAACGGTCTCACATACGGACACATGTCTGGTTGTGGTTTTCAAGGTCAGTTGAATGGCCAGATTTGCTTCGTTTTCGGTTTGGTAACCCTTGAAACACGATAAACGAGGGCAAACAGGACAGAATTCAGGCTGCAGCCTCATCTCGTCTTTCCCCAGACAATAGCCATTCGGTTATTGCGTTTCAGAGGGTTATGCCTTGGAGAACGGTTCTGAAAAGCCTGCCTGGAACCTTGCCAAAGCTCTCGAGACTCGCGTTGACAATGAGCGAGGCTCTCAGGCGAGACTTTCAGGCGTCTCCAGATGCTTTCCATTCGCTTTGTCTCAGTGCCGCTTTCGACTACTTGTGCACTTGGAGAAAATATCTTAAATATAAACCTGTAAAACTAATAATCTGACTCTATAAACTTGATAAGAATAAAACTTTCAATTTATTTGTCATCAATGTAGCTTATCTACTTGACATATTTGGTTCCAAAAATATATTGCTATCATATCGAATACGTATCTTAATGATAAATGATAAAAATGTATATTGATAGCCAACAAATATTATTATCGGGGGATTTCTGAAAGGGTAGAAAGCCTGTAGACCTCTGGTTTGGGAATTCCTTAGAATTAAATTCGATAAAATATATTTTTACCCATATATAAAATAGGTTTGATTTTTTCCCTGTGTCGTTGGCTCGGTTTTATTGGATTGCCTCCAGTCAAGCTCAACTCTGAGCGGCGCTGGTCAATGGTCAAGACTGCCTCGTCCCGCCCCCCGCTTTCCCCCTCCCTGCCACCACCTTGGGGCGGCGGAGAGTGTCGTGTGGCGCATGCCGCTGAAAAACTCCACGGAGCGTGAAGTACACCACTCATTGTTTTTACTCGCATTGGTATGAAAACTATGTGTATTATGGCATGTCGTAAAGAGCCATTTTCTTGATACCCAAACTGTTAAAAGACCAAGTTGCCATAGGCCAAGTATCCGAACATTGCGATGGAGATCAAGCCGCAGCCGCAATCTCGACTTTCTCCGACATATGACAAATAATTTTAGTAGTTGGCGTAATTGCCAACGCAATGAGTTGTTAATTAAGCCGGAGAGTTTCACAAAGAGAGCCACTGCAGCGAGTGGGAAAGGAAAGAGAAGTACTAGTCACCATTTCATTCCGGTCTCCGCCGGTCTATTCCGGTTCGCATTTGGACCAGGCCAACGAACGATATTCCGCCCTCAGCAGTTCCGCACATCTAAAACAAATCAAGTGCGGTACATTTGTCACAACAGACTCCATTGGCGGAATACATTTCAATCGCTGGCTGCCTATTAAAAGTTATTTATAGGCGCCGCGGGAAGCATGATTAATGCGGTCTTTCGGATGCAAAAAGAGTTTCAAGATATGAGGGTTCTTCAAATAAATCATTTTATTCATGTAACTAAAATGGTGCAGTAAAATAAATTTTAGGGAATTATTTGGTATTTCTTGGGATGATAAGAAAATCAATGGGATGATAAAAAAAAATATTTAGCAGAAAGGTTTTCTAAGATAATACTTTAAAATCAAATATAGAATTTAAACAATATTCAAATATTTTTGTAGTCCAGTGTAATCCTCAGAATGTAAAGTACTTTCGAGCTCTTCGAGTTGCCTACTTTTCACTGTTTCCCAATCTGCTTTTCGAAAAAACTTTCCAGCAAATGCAAAGCGAAACTTTTGCGTGCCGTTGCCGTTGACTGAGAAGCCGCCAAAAATTGTTTATAGTTTACGGCACTAAACAAAACAACAGCAACAACAACAGTAGCACAACATAGGCGTCTAAATCAACAACAACACACCAGAGGCAAACTTTAAAAACTTCAAAAGCGATGAGCGATTCAGTCGGCCGCTTCTTCCTGCTACGCCGACTACTCGTATTATTGTTTCCCAATATCTAATGCCCAATGCCCAGTACGTCCATTCCCGTTACCCGTTACCCAATATTCCCGATCCCCAAAAGCTGTGTTCGTGATAGTCAGCTGGCACGCCTATCCAGGTTTTTAATACCCCGCCCCTTTTCGGTTTTAGTTCTTAGTTCTTGATACTCCAAACGGCGGGAGTTGGCCCCAAAACAAATTGAAACTGTTTTGAACAGAAAAAATGAAAAATGAATAAAGCAAAGCCGCGAAGAGGAGACAAGGGAATCGGCTAAAAATTAGAAAATCATGCTTACAATTTTCTGGTCCGCGCTGTGTGCATAATGCGCGATAAGTCGGCAGGTGCAATACAGAACGAAAACACCAAAATATAGGCGAAGCCAGATAGAGGGAAAGAACCCGGAAGAGTCGGAAAGTTCTTCGACTTACCCCACAGCCCACAGATATGACTCCTGCCCCTTCTCCGAATAATAAACTCAGAGCACTGAGAAAAACTAAAACTATTTTCCAATAAATTTCTACATAAGGCATCTTATGAAACCATCATGAAAAGTCGATTAATGAACCTAACTTTTATGAAGATAAGATATATGTTCCTTAGTCTTAGCTTTGAGAATTGAGTTGTAATTAATTTTAAGATAATTTCTCAATACTTGTAACATTTTGTGTTTTGGTTTCGAAAGCTAGTGTAAATAAAAATTACTTTTTTTTACTCTTGTCCACAAAGTATATGCATTTCAACCAATCTGGAAAGCAAATTAACTGCAAATTAAATTGTTGATTAAAACTTGTAAAAACCTCAGTAGGCCTTTTAAAATAAAAATCTCAAATAATGATTATTTACGGTCCCTGGTAAATATTCCAGTATTTTATTTTCTGTGTGCGCAGTTTTGAATTGACGTCCGTCCCCCAGACGAAAACTGTGCGCACAACTTGCAACTGCAACTCATTATAACTGCATCGGGGGGCGGAGGGGATGGTGTTTGGTTATGGGGAGGGGCTCGGCTGTTCAGCAGATGCGGGCTGCAACTAAAAAAGGGGAGGGAGAGGAAGGGGCAGGGGACACCGACCGGGGGCAACTCGATTGTAATTCGCGGCACAAATGTTTCACTTCATTTGAGTTTCGTGGATCGCTGGCAGCACAGGAAGTGCTTTGACAAACAACAAAACGGTTTTCGGGGAGTGGACTCACTTCTTTGGGGCGTGGCAATCGCCCACGCACGACCACCTGTTACAAATACAGTTACACAGAACGTGGGCCTCCAATAATACCCGGTTCCATATCAATTAACCATCGCCAGAACTAACTCCCTCCCAAAATGAAGCCCTATCAATTGAGTTCTACGTGCCGCGAGTATCTGGGATTCCAGTTCCAGCAAGTGGGCATTGAGATGGGGTTCCGCTAATCCCCTGCCCCAATCTGCGACACAAAATAAATTGCTGTAGCTACTCACTGTATGGGGAAATAAATTGTTTTCAATGCAACTGCCACAACAGACGGACTGAAACGAGAGGAGAAATTTATGCAAGTGAACGTTTGTATTTCCCCTTTTTAAGTTCAGGAAAAAAGTCCAGAACATATGGCGCAGAATCACTGACCAGGGAACTACGATCGCATAAATAATCAAATACATATAAAATATGAGTTTTGAGAAAGAATGATAACGCTTGATATTGTTAAGTTTAAACCATTATATGCTTATATTTTCATAAGAAGAAACCCTCAGTATAGAAAATATATAATCAAAAAGTGTACATGGCCTTATAGTCGTGTAACGCGCTGTTTATGCAGATTCTGCTCTGAATTGTCATGCGATTTGGAGTACATATACTCGTATATCTGTTTGTATGGGAATGCATAATTGAGGAACAAATTGCTGAGCGGTTCCCAGGAAATCAGCTTGACCGTGGTCGGAGATGCGATAAGCCGTTGAATTCTGCGAGATATACAAAATCTGGTTTCGTTTTCCGTAATTCCGATAAAGAAAGGAGCCACTGCCATATGGCTTTCCTTAATCCAGCTTATCTTAACGACTCAAAACTCTCACCCAGGAGTGCGTTGTAAAATCAGCGAAATCGTTGAGATAAGGCCGCCTTCTGTTCAATCACTGGATGCTAATCCCCGATGAATGAAAGACATGAGATTGGTGTGTGACCGTTGACAGTCACCGGCAGACGCATCTGAGACATCAAACGCCGCAATTAATGCCGAGCGAAGCGTTAAGCGCAGCACTTGTGGCACTTGCATCTCTTGCAACTTTTCCCATTTTCCATTTCCCATCCGCGCAACCCGGCTAAGTGCAATTAACTTGGCAAAGTCAGCGACATCGCGACGTCGCCGGTGCCTTATGGCTATACAGTATATTCTTGCTCTGTCGAGCGCCTTAATCGAATTAGTGGGCCCCTTGGAGAGGAATACTTTGCCCATTGATTGGAGTTAATGTGCCGTGACGAAATCGCCCTCAAGGGTTTCTATTCTCAGTGTAGGTTTCTCTGTGTTTATAAAGCTTTCGCCTTGAACTATTATTCGCTAAAACATTGTTGCATCTTGTTGTATCTTCCAGAGAGAAAAATAATGACTAGAACTGAAAGCAAAAATATGTATACAAACTCAGTTTTGTGTATTTTCTACCTTGTAAAGTAGAAATTTTAATCAAACACTTTTAAATTATTTTTTTAATACTTTTCTTTTGATTGATTTCAAAATATTTAAGAAAATGTTATAATATTTGAAACTGGTTGCTTTTAAAATTATATAAGAATTTGCTGTTTTAGGGTTTTATGCTTTGAAGTCGTTTTTTTGTTTGCAGTGCATAAATTCCGCGTCAGTTCCGGTTTATTCTCTCAATTCCGCCAAGCGCCTTGGCACCGACAAAGTGACAGGCTCGACTTCGATAAGGCCTCAGTCTCAGTTTTAGATGCGAAACTCGTTTTTTTCTTGGCATCTCTGCATCTCGGCAGACTTGCATCTTTCACTGCCAGGGCCATGGCTTTTCAATCGATTCGTGGATTAGCGGCGACTTCATTCCCGTTTGCAGTCGCAGTCGCAATCCCGATCCCGACTTCCCATCCTTTTCCCTTCTCTTCAATGGCTCTATGTGTATCCAGTATTCAGTGGATACTTTGTGTGTATCTCTGTGTGTGGACATGTGACTTGGCTTCGCCTCTTTTAGCACCCTACTGGGGGGAGGGAGGGCCCGCTGAGGAGGCTCTTGGAGTCTTCCCCATCAGCGCTTTCGAGTGGTCTTCATTTGGGGGCTGTCTCATCTAGATGTCTAGTTGGGAAAACGAGCCAAGCCGGCTGCAACGTCTCTTTAAAGTCAACTCGAGCATTGCCCGAGTGGCGGGCACGACTTGAGACAGCCTTTAACATATCGTAAACAAGGTCGTTTGCCAGGATCTTTCATTCTGGCTAAAGAGAAAATTGAAAAAAAAAAAACGGTTAGTGGGGAGGTGGAAGGGCATTTCTATCAAACCGGTTGGCAATTGGCCAAGTCTGGGCGCTCGCAATGTACGGTAATTCGCCTCAAATAAACTTCCAATTTGAAAACTGAAAACTGGAGCAACTTCATTAAGATCTCCCTTCGCACTCAACTCCACCGTGATGAAATCTTCCAAATTTGCCCAAATCTCTGGGAGATCGCATAACAAACATGACGCTAATGACGTGTGTCTAACCGGGACTGTAATGTAAGGCCAAACAAGCTTTAAAAATATAGCAGCTTAAAATTTCCATGTGGTGAACCCTCAATACCCTCACTCAACTTTACTTTTACAGGATTTGAAGTATCTACGATAGGATAGTTATTTTAAAGAGATTTTAATTTATAGAAATTTGTATAAGAGTATCTGTTTAATTTTAGGATAATAAATTAAAACTTACTAGATTTTTTAAATCGTTACTAAATTTTTTTGTTTCCTCATAAGTTAATAAATAATAATATTAATTATTTTCTAAAAATTAACTTACACCTTTACTCAGCACCATTCCCAACTCTTAAATTAAAAATCCATTTTCAATAGGCGCCAACATCTACGACCTGGTCTTGTATGAATCTTAATGTGAGTCAACTAGAATGATGATGGCTATGATAGGGTGCGAATTGCGGAGCAAATTTCTGGCACAACAATTGGATGCGAATTTGGAAAGTTCCGCGATGATGGCCCACAGCCGTCTGCGAGGTGGGTCAACGTGCCACAACAGCCACACAAAATGTGTGCTGGCAACCTCAGGCATTTCGACGATGACGACCCCACGAGACAATGAGTGCTCCTCATAATTTATTTACGACAGACCCAGGCGATGGCCCACTTCGCTGGGACGTCGCCAGGTGCACATTTCGTGTCGTGTCGGTCTCCTGTAAACTAGTTCAAGTCAATCACAGCCTGGGGGCCATCCGATTTGTCCTGGTCACGATGCATCCACCAGTCCGTTCGTCCATCGTCCATCTGTTTTGGGTTGCGTGCCGGGCAACTTGACCGAAAAAATGAATTGTATTCGAAAATCCTATTTTTGCATTCGGGAAAAGGTCGGTGGCATGCAACTTGTTTGTGTCGCATGCCGAGAGAATGGGAGCGGGAAATGGGGAATCGGTGCGAAATGCCAGCATCCCAAAAATACGCATCCCGAAATGTGGGTCGCCCCAAGTGAATCACTGCACAGAAGAAAAGAATTTGCGGAAAATAAATAATAATAACTTTGTATTATTAGTCAGTGGGTTTATTTATACTATTTTAGCGGTGTAAATAAGCTGAAAAAAATTAATAGAACAGGATTATAATTATTTACCTAAAGATTTTTTGTAAAATTCGAACAAAGAAATTATTGATCAGATTGTCTAAATTCGTTGGAACTTAAAAAAAAAAAAATTAAGATCAATAGGAACTAAGACCTGAAAATTTACAACCACTTGTAAAGATTAAAATAAAAGTACATATTATCAAAAAATAGTTAAAGTTAGTGGGTAATTAAATTAGAAACCAATTTAGCTGTAACTCTACGTACGTAAATGATTTTCTTTAGTGCTCTGACTAACAAAATTCCTTTCCTTTTCTTTATTTTATTATACCCCCAGTGGACTATCGCTCGGCCATGTCCGCCACTCTCTTCGAGATGGCATCGCAGGCGGAGGAACAGCGACCGATTGTCTGCCTGGAGGAGCAGCAGCTGATGGTGGGCATGAGCAGCCTGGAGCTGAGTGAATCCGTAGTGACGCCGGGCAATTGCGATGGCAGCGACAGTGGGCTGGATGTGGCCAGTTGTTGCCTCTCGCGGGTCACCCTGCAACGTGGACTGAGCAGCACGAGTGGCGGCTACACGAGTAGCAATGGTCTGGAGGAGATCTACGACAGCTGTGAGCTTAAGGTGACCACAGTGGCCCAGGAGCCCAGTGAAACGGGCAGTGAAAAGACCACACCGCCGCCTAGGAGAACGGGTTCGGTGAAGAAGAAGGTGGCCATGTTCGAGCCAGCGGAGTCAACGGGTAGTCCGGCCAAGGATCAATTACGCGGCAGAGTGGCCAACCTAAAGAGAGCGGAGAGCCTGCCCAGAAATACTGTGGGGCCAGGAACACCTGGCACACCTTCCACTCAAAGGGAAAAGTCGCGCCTTTCGACCTCCTCCTCCTTTCGAGTGCCCAGTTCCGCTGCCACGCCCACCTCGGCGCGCCTGGCCCGCCCCCAGAAACCGGATACGCTGCCCAATGCCCTGAATCGGGCGCAGTCGGTCCAGCGGCTCAGCCAGGTGCAGCGAACGCCCTCGTTGAGTCGGGCCAGGACACCGGGAACGCCCTCGGACGACGGTCGTTGGCCGGCGAATCGGGGAGCGGCTCGTCGCGGAATGTCGGTGACCCCGGAGGTGACGGTTAACCGAATGCGGGGAAGTCCTGCACCGGGAGGAACCCTCCCGCGTCGCCGGAAACAGCAGTCGGTGGAGGATCTCACTGGGGGACGGCTGTCCAGGAGCAACTCCATTAGCCGGGCGGCCGTCGTGGATGCCCGCATGACCTCCTCGGTGATGGTGGTGCCCACAAGTCGCCGGAGTTTGGCTCCCGCCACCGCCAAGGTCAACTCCCTGCGAAGACCGCAGCCGGTGACTCCTAGGACTAGAATCTATCACGAAACTGCTGTGCAAACTGCCCTGACCAGTGAGGATTTGGAGCAAGTTTTGGGCGGCGGTCTGCTGCAAACGCGAGCCTTGGACGCCGTGGAGCAGCGGCATCAAAGCACCCAGGCGGAACCCGACCAACGAGACCTGGAGCTGGAGCAACTGCGCCAGGAGGTGCGCCAGCTGAGCGGGAAACTGCAGCGGGAGCGGGAGGAGAAGCTGGCCATGCAGCAGGAGCTGCACCTCAACACCGAGCGCGTGATGGGCATGCTGGAGCTGGCGCGAGTGGTGAGTGCCAGTGCGGGAACTCCGACGTCGGAGGACAGTGGCGATGGCAGCGGTCATGACAGCCTGCTCATGCTGGAGTCCCAGATCCAGATCAGTGGCCATGAGCTCTTCGAGCGCCAGCAGGAGATTGGCCAGCTGAGATCGATGTGCCGCGCCCTGCAGCTGGAGATGCGCAGATCCCTGGCCACCCAGCAGCTGCTCCTCCAGGAGAAGGCGGCCATCGAACAGGAGTCCAGTGAACTGCAGGACTTTCTGCAGCACGAGAAGGCCGCCCAGTGCGATGCTCTAAGGGATTTGGAAGCGGACTATCAGGCGGTCAAAGCGCAGTTGGCCAATCGCGAGGAGGAGGCCAAGGTCCTGCGGGATGAGTGCCGACATCTGGTGCGGCTCAATGAGCAGCGGCGCCAGGAGAACCGGCTGCTGCAGACCAAGTTCACCGCCCTGGAGAACAAGTCGCGGGAGCTGATCCACCAGCAGAATGCCTCGGTGGCCGGAGCATCAACTGCCCTCTCGGGATTGCACTCTCGACTGGATGGTCTGGTGGAGCAGCTGGTCTACTCATACAGTATTTCCGAGCAGGACTTGGAGGTGGGTTTTTTATTCTATTTATGTCAGGGTTCGGAAAATAACACACTGTAAAAAACTTGTGCTACTAATATGTTAAATGTCAAAGTGTTAAAAAAAAAGTTATTGACTTGTGTGTAAAAAATTGTATCCTACGTATATTAGAAACATAAATAACACACACATCTCATTTGTGTTATTTACGCGAGGTGTTTTTTACACAGCGTGTTTTTAACACAATGTAATTTTCTTTTGTGTTATTTACACGGCGTGTTTTTTACACAGCGTGTTTTGAACACAATGTAATTTTCATTTGTGTTAAAAACACAGTGTGTAAAAAACACGTTGTTGTAATACCACATTGTATTTTGTATTTTAGACACATATCAACATTTTTTTTTCTTTTAATTCGTATTATTTCCCGCAGGACATTCGCTTCCAGGCGGAATCGGAGCAGGTGCAGAACGGCCAGAGGCCCAATGGCCTGGACCTGCCCATTTGTCCTGCCGCCAGTGGCGATGCCATCCACACTCTGGTCCTGGCCAGCGACGGTTCCCTCTCCCCGCAGCGCAATCAGTCCTTCATCGCCGCCGTCATCGGTGCCATTCGCCAGGCCACCACCCATTCCGGCAAGCGGTTGTCCCTGCGACAGGCGGGAAAGAGGAACGGAGTGGGTTCGGGATCAGCTCAAGCCGTTACTACGGGCACCACGGGTCATGAGGCTCACGGGAATGGAGGTAGTAGGAAAATGCTGTATTTAATAGCTTATAAACTCATATTTTTTCCTTTAGATGATTCAGACTCCACTGAGATGCTGGACTCCGAGACGGAACCCTGCCTGCTGATGATGGACAACGTGCTGGAGGATGTGGTCCACCCGGATTCGCATTCGCACAACATGGTCTCCTCCTGCACGGGCATGATCTCCCAAATAGAGCTGCCCACGGAATTGATTAGTCAGTGTAGCCATCAAAACAACCTAAACCTAAATGGGATAGCAGGCGGGGATGACTCGCTGCAGCAGTTGTCCCAGGCCATCACCAATCGCCAGCAAATGGAGCTGCATATGCACAAGATGAACGGCATGCCGATGAAGTAGGTTGCTAGGGATTATCTTTTATAGCTGACTTATAACTTTAATTTCAGTCCTCGCGATCAGTGCAACACGGAGGAGCTGAGTTGCCACGATTCGCTGGCGGAACTGGCTGAGCTGCCCTCGCTGATGGAATACAGCACCGCACAGGCTGTGGTGGACCAGGTGATCGAGGTGGACACCCTGGTGACCAAGTTGCTCAAGGTCTTGAGACTGGTTCAGCTGGACAACGACAACTGCATACAGCAATTGATAGTTGACAAGTGGGTTTCTTATTTGAACTCTTAATGAATTTAAATTAATTATAAAACTATTTTAAGGAACAAACTGCAGCAGCACAAGGAGGACATGCTGGAGAAACTAAAAGACTTGGAGGACGTCAATCTGAAGCTGCAGGACGAACTCATGGACGCCACCCAGGAGCTGATGATCAAGGGCAGCGACCTCGGGGGCGCCAAGGCCGAAATGCAGCGCCATCGCAACGAGATCGACGTAAGATTTTGAGATTTGATCGCCGCCGAGAGCTATTTTGTGGACTTTTTCTGTTGCGCATCCTTCGAAGACATTTCTATATATCTCTATATCAGATATATTCTCATATGTTGTACACCAATCTCGATCGCGATCTTATACTATTATTTGATTGATTTAGTTTAGTTGTAGTATTATTATTTTTGAATAAATTACTTGGCCTATTTATAACTTGAGTTGCTGTGTAGCTGTAGCTGTTCGATCGATCTTCCGATATAATTTGTTTCACCTTATTTCATCATCACCACAATCATCAAACATCAAACGACATCTCGATGGTACGACAGTCCCAAATCAAGTTCAAAAGTGCACTATTTCGTTTAAAATGAGACCCCAAACTAATTGTAACCACCACGCTGCTGCTTCTCCACCTATACCAAAAAACACCATCCGATAATCCTGACCAGCGTCTCAACGAGGACATTTGCACGCTGAGCACACTCTGCAGCAGCTACAAGAAGCTGTCGCCCACCACGGAGTTCCCGCCCATGCGCCTGCTTTCCCCCAACCAGGACTCCGAGCAGGGCGATGTCCTGGGAATCCTGAACCTGCTCAAGATGTGGCAAGCGGGTGGCCAGCTGAAGGACCCGCGAGTTCGTGGATACCTCGAAATGGTTAATGGCAGTCAGGTATGGGCACCAAAATAATACGTTCTGGAGTGGCTCTACAAATCTCTAATAGCAGATCCAAAACCCGCCTCAGGATAACAACAATGTGGAACGCCTTAGGATCTACGCCAATCAACTGGAGCACGTATCCCGTGTCTTGGACGACGGACTGCCCATGGAGCTGCCTGCACCGCTTCGTCAGCTGCGCCAGGACATCGAGGTGGTCAGGACGAATGCCAACTGGACTCAGCTGCTCGAATCAAACGAAACGGATCACAATGCCAACGGCGATGTGGCCGCGCCTTGAATTGTGTCAAAAACTGTTGTTAAAATTGTCTAGTTAACTATTAGATCTTGAGCGTTGTTTACTTTTACGTAGTTAGTTACAAATGTTTGCGTCCAATTCAGAGCGAAACTGCGCATGAGAGGCATCGATGTTTTAACCGCGTCCAAAAGATGTAATATTTTAACGAAATCATTCCATTCCACAAAGCAACTAGACTTCTTTAGGCCACTAGTAATTACATTTCAGTTTGTTTTTGCATTTAGCTTACATTGCATACCCCACAGCATTTGATATTTCCGTGCTGCATACTTTTCGTCGTAAAATCTTTTACTGCAGCCCTGTCCAAAATTAATGGGTAAACAGGTATTCGGACCCAAGTATTATTGAAATTACTAGAGTTAAATTTATCCTAGAGTTGGGTTCAACTTTGTTGAGTAGCACCTCAAAACGAAAAGCTCCATAAAGCCAGACAAGCAGATTTAGAATTAATTTAGTTTTGCTTATAAGCAAACGCCTCAAACGGAATTCCTTGCCGCATTGCCAAAATTATGATTACAGCTACAATTTTGCCATTCAGTCATTAGTGGGAGGTGAAAAAGGGGGGTGAAAAGCCCCCTGTACTGAAAAATAACTAAAGCATTCGAATTTGAAAGCAAGCTGTTTGTTTAATACACGTACAATAAATAAGCATAAACTAATACATATGTATAAAAATCAACTATAAATGAAGAAAACAATTTCGCAAAATTTTTTAAATCCCTTGAAATGGTAAGTACACGCTAGATAAGTCTAAGGTATATATAGATATATAAGAATAATATATATATGTATAGGGTGTGTATATATAGATTAGAGCCCTGCATGAATGGATTCAATGAATTATTTTGAATTTTTTCTTTTATATGAATGAATTAATTAGAATTTTGAGTTTAATAGAATTGAATGAATGAATGGCATGAATTCCGAAATAATTCAAACGACAATTTATTTTGAAGAAGAAAGGGCCATAATTTTGTGATTAAATCTGCCTGAATTTTATTTACTATGCAGTTAACATTGATTTGTTAAAAATTTTCCACTTTTTGTTCTCAAAAGAAAGCACAAAAAAAATCTGGAAAATTCAAAAAATTCATAAAATAATTCATTCAATTCATTCAATTCTAAATGAATTAGAATAACATTCAATTTATTTCACATAGAATTGAATTAAACAAATCAGAAATTTCATGGCATACTATGATAAAACAAAAATTGAATGATTCATGCAGGGCTCTAATATAGATCGCCGATCCTTTGTCTGTTTGTCTTTTGTGTGTTGCCGTTGCTCTGTCTTTACATTTACAAATAATCTCACATTGGGGTTGGTTGGTTGGTTGGTTGGATGGTTGGGATGGCATCCTTGCATCCTAGAATCCTAGAAGGAGGGCTTGCTGCTGCCCATGCTGCGGGCCGGCAAGCTATTCGTTTTGGCCGTGGGATTGTCGCGGGCCTGCGAGTGGGCAACCACGATGCTGAGGCACTGCACCCACTCCTCGGCATTCTTGCCGTCCTTCGGCTTGAGTATTAACGTCTGGTCGGCGGTGAAGATCTCGAAGGCCTTGGGTATGTTGCGGGCACCCCGCGACACCTTCACAGATCGGATCTGGTTCACATCGATGCTCTCACCACCGCTCTGAAATTGGAATTTAGTAATGCTTAGGACTAAATATTATTGAAATACTTACAGATCCCTTGCAGGACAAATGCGCTCCGGAAAGTGTAAAGTAGCGCGTTCGCCAGCGTCTGAAAAGTCGCCACTTGCCCTTCTTCTCCTTCAGCTGACCCTCTATCATGGGCTGATTGCTGCCATTGAGGAAGCCCACAGCCTTGTCCGGATGATTGCACAGGAAGCAGCCCCACTGGTACTCCAACTCGTTGCAGTTCGGGTTGGACTTGTCCGTCTTGGAGACCTCGAACACGTCCAGGAAGCCCGAGTGACGCAGCTCGTTCACCAGGATCTCGCGGTCCTGAAAGATTAAAAATGAATGGGTTTTAAAAAGGTTTTTACAATTTTTCAGCTGAAATAATTTAGATATTAAAGCTATACCGTTAAAATTTAGTTAAAAACAAAAGGTTTTCTAGAGAAGATTTTCGATTTAATATTGTTCAGATAAAAGATGAATATAAACAATCAACGATCTTAATAGAAAAATACGGAAATGTAATAGTAACCCGTTTTCCTGAGGATAGTGGATAAAATTTAATAAATAGGCACTTTTGAAGATCCCATAGTTTCTAATTAAAAAGCAATAAACCCACCTTGACCTGAGGAAACTGGCTGGTGACCAGTTCGGTGAAGCTGCGGTTCTCGCACTTGAGTATCTGCCAGATATTCTTGAGATTACTGATGCCGGACTCACGCGTGCTCAGCACGCACTTCTCCTTCACCTGGAAAAATTACAAATAAAACACAGTTAGAAGGGGATTTTTCGTAGCTCGGAAATACAGAGTACTCACAAAATGGCGCACTTGAAAGTCCAGGAACATCATATGTATCCAGGTCTTGGGATTCCGAGTTCGCATCGTGAAGCAAGTTTTGGAGTAGAGGCAATGGGGTCCGCGTATCTGGCAGGCAAAGTGCAGTTTGGCCACCTTTTTGGTCCGACGCTCTGCGAATTCATTGGAAACTGTGTGATGTGTGTGTTTGGTGTGGGGTATGTGTGTGTGTTGTTGTGGGGGATGGATGGGGAGAGGAGTTAGAGATTGAGGGAGAAGGATCTACAGAGACTTACCCTCGATGCTGCAGCGCGTGGGCGGCGGCAAATGCTGCGAAACCTCATCCATATAGGACTTAATCGAATTGAAGTTCTTCTCGCAGAACTGCTGGACGGGATCTCGCATTATCTGGTATGGCTCGAAGGTGCTCATCCGCTGGTCCATCACACTGTTGGCATTTAGTAGGGTCCTGCTGGTATTATCGCTACGTCGAGGTGCCACATTGGTGGTGGGTCCCGAAACAATCACTTCGCTCTGTAATTAAGTTTTTAAATTAATTGCTATATTCATTATTTTTAAGGGTACACACAACGAAAAGCACACAGAGAAAATTATACGAAGTTTTAAGTGCCGTTTCCTTGTAAAAAATTTTTGAAAATAAAAATGAAAACGTTTTAGAAATCTAAAGTAAAATACAATTTTTATGAAGCGTTACATTTTTTAAAATGTTGCACCTAAAACTTTTGATAATTTTCTTTGTGCATGTTTCCGTAAAATCGATATGGCCATGTAAATTTCATATATCGTTTTTACATGAAATACTCTTTTCGACCAGGTCAAATTTACCTGGCTACATATCAAAATAAAATTGATCTTAAATGATGTAAAATCGATCTACGTTTCATATCAATTTTTTTTTGGGTGTAGGTATATCTTACATTTCCGTTGACCGGCAGCTTCATCACCGACTTGGCATTGCCATTACTAACGGATTGTGGCAGCGCCGGCGAGGCATGGTGCACGGAAACCGCATTCTGCGTCTGCGCCTGCGTCTGCGGTTGCAAACTGGCCGCCGTCGAAGGAGCCTGCGGTATGGAGATCGAGCCCACCGACTGATTCAGTGCGTCCGTGCTGTACTTCATCAGCACCGTGCTCGAGTTGAGCAGCGTGGAGGGTCCTTGGGAGTGCGGTCGCACCTTCGAGGGCGAAGTGGTGACTGTCACGCCGCCGGAAGTCACAGGAATGCCGTGTCGATTGTGTCCCGTGATCACTACATTATTACTCAGCGGCGGCACTGGTGTCACGGGCGGATTGCTGAACGCAGTCGGTGTCTTTGGGGTGGCCCCTCCCGATTGCACCACCACATTGCCGTTGGAGCTGCCACCGGGCTGCTGGTTAATCTGCGAGTTGCTCAGCCGCGTCATGCTCTTGTGGAGTCCACCCACCGATCCGCTGGCCACATTCAACCGGGTCACACTCCGGTGCGTGTTGCTGGCGGGATGCAGGCGACCCGTGCTCCTAGAATCTCCCAGTTTCACCCGCCGCGTGTAGCCGGCATGCTGCTGGGTGGGCGTGGCAGCGGCCGTGGGCGTGGAGGTGGCAATGGGCGCAGAGGCAGAGGCGGGAGGAGCTGTGGGCGTGGCACTGGTCACGATGGCCGGCTGGTTGATCGTCGTGTTGACGGAGGGCGCAACAATGGGAGCTGCAAGGCATTTAACTTGATTATTACATAACGCTATAGTCGACTATCTAATACCCTTACGATATATACAATTTTGATTGCTCATATTTTTTTAAAGAATGGTCCGATTTGAAAAATGTCTTCTACATTTCGATAGGTATAAATATACACAACAAAATTGCATTTATACATCTCGGAAATCTTTAAAGATGTGGGCGCAAGACACATTTTAAAATCGTTAGAGGGCGTTTGTTAGAGGGGGCGTGGCGCTCGGCTGAAATAAACTTGCGCTGCGTAGAAAGCCCAAGAATATGTGTGGGAAATCTCAACCTTCTAGCTTTTGTAGTTTCCGAGATCTCAGCGTTCATACAGACGGACAGACAGACAGACGGACAGACAGATCAAGAATATATATACTTTATGGGGTCGGAAACGCTTTCTTCTAGCTGTTACACACTTTTGCACGAATATAGTATACCCTTTTACTCTACGAGTAACGGGTATACAAATTAGAATACCTGGCTTCAGCGGCGGACTGGGACTGGAGCTGTTCAGGCTGACAATGGTGACGCCACCGGAGGTCTTGTTGCCCAGGCCATTGCCCACATCCTGCTGCGAGCTCAGGGCGGCGTTCTTCTGTCGCACACAGGCCAGGACCTTGTCGGTGAACAGAACCGGATAGGCGGAGCACAGGCGAGTGGCCTCCTGCTGCAGGAGTGCCTGGGTGGGCAGGTGCTCGAGGACAAAGTCCAGAGCCTGCTGGGCCGTCTCCTTGCTGCCAATTCCCGCGGTAGTCATGATCTGGGCGCAGAGCGGAATCGTTCCGGGATTCGTCTTGGCCGCCAGACGCAACTGCTCAAAGTGATCGACGAGCAGATTGGGCGAGTGCTGCGACAGCTTCAGCAGGATCTGCATGGTGATGCTGGAGGTGTCGCTGTCCAGCAGAAAGCCACAGAGCTGTGGAACGCACGACTCCAGGACCTCGGGTGACTTCTGCACAATCAGCAGGTACAACTGGAAGACCGCCATCCGCTCCTGGGAATCACACTGCGGCAGCAGGGGTATCAAAAGTGGGGCATGTGGCGTCACCTCTTCCGGAGCCACCTCGTAAACCTGGGAGAGCACGCGGAGTAGACCATAATTCCCAGACAGGATGGACTCCATGACGGAATCCGTGTGGGGACTCAGCAGGAAGGCGTGATCGATGGCCGCCAGGGACAAGTAGCTGGCCAGGTTTCTAGACAGCTCACGGTTTCCTTTCGGCAAAAACTGCACGGCGACGGGAAGGGCTATTTTCATCAGTTCTTTTTTGTCGTAGTTCTGTTGGAAAACAAAAAAGGATGTTACAAAATTAATTATAACATTTTCCTTAACCCAATCTTACCAGAAAAATGCTAGAAATAATATCGGCGGCAATCTTGGCATGGGGTGGCTCTTCTTTTGTGGTTCCCGAGGGTTGGAGGTTCCACAGCAGGCAGGTCTTCAGGAGATCCACCAGAGCAGCACAATACCGCTCCGCAGTCCGCGTTTCCCGGATGCAGGACAGCACCCTCGTTACACAGATTTCCACCACACTCTGATCATTGTTGTTCTTCACATAGTCCGCATGCGAGATGATGGGACTAATCTCGGAGAGCTTGAATGGATATACCAAAATTAGTTTAGATTTTGGGAAATAACCAGGCGATAACCTACCACCTCCGTGATGTCGTCGACAATATCTGCATCCGGCACGGAGAAGAGATCTCCGGCTCGGGAGAGATCGCGCTTGGCGAGCACTTTGTTAAAGAGTTCGTGCATCGTGTAGGATTCTCCCAATCAGGATTGTTCAATGCTCATCATCTGTGGCAACTGAAAAAAAGAGAAGATTTTTCATTGAAAAATGTGCAATTTGGATTTACAGATACTTTAAAAATTATATATTTAAGAAAAGCAAAAGTGCTCATTGAAAAATATGCAATATGGTTTTATAGATACCTACTTTAAAATTATATGTTACACTTCGTTATAATAAATATTTAAGAAAATTCTATTTTTAATTTACTCTGATTTTAATGGGAGCAAATCAACAACAATTTCGTAGAATTACAAGAATTATAACCACTTTTTGACTCCGTTTGGACAAAGTTCTTTAAGGTTTCGAATGGTTTTCTTTATCGGTTCAGCTGATGTCGTTGAATTTAGTAAAAACTCTACTAAAATCTCTAACAAAAGAACTCACACCCCTTGGGAATGCTTCGAATAAGCCAAATGAGAATTAGTCGGGTGTATTTGTTTATTTTAGTCACTGCACTTTTTCATTGCCATGTTTGGAATTGGCCCATTGCCAAAGTTCAGGCGCCTCTGGCGGCCACTTTTTATCTTATCGCCGGGCAGTTGCAAATGCGAACTAGTCCGCGGGTAGAGTTCCAGAGCAGTTCTATTCTCGTGTTCCCCGAAAGTGCACATTTAGTTGTATAAATATAGATATTCCGCGGACACTCGAATACTTGTTGCATTGCCTCGCCGCTTATCTTAGACACTCGCAGCGAGATGCCCTTGCACAGCCTCTGATGGAGTTTATATAAAAGCACTTGTAGACCTAGTGATACCAGAAATCCTAGCGAATTATGATTGGCCATAACACCTATCTTTATGGGTCGATTATCTTTATGGAACCTTCAAATAATTGGCAATGGGTACAGGTTTTGGCCCACATTAATTGCCCAGGCCCGTTTTGTTTACCCAAGAATCTGCACACCGTATGGCCAGGCATCAATTCCGCTAAATGATTCGGTTCTGTTTTCCGTGGGGTTTCCCGCAAACGGTGTTTGTATTTGTGTTTGCCCACTTGCACTTGGCCGCTTGTTTGCCACTCTGATAGCCCGGTAAATTCTTGGCCAACTTGCCGTCGACTTCTTTGGACATTCGCGGAATGCAGGTCTTTTGATTAGATGCGCAAAATTCCGGCAAGGGATTAGCGATTAGCCGCGACTTAGCGGATCACCCGGGAATTTGCTGGCTGGCCAAATGAGTGGGCGCTTGAAAAGCTGGCAGAAAAGTCATTTCTCGCGGCTGTCGCGCCATCAAGGAAGCAGACGCCAACGCCAACGCCCGGGTTATTAATTTTTTCAAATAAAAACCAAAACCAAAACCAAGAGTTGCATAATCCATAGAGGCCAGTCAGGCAGCTCTGCACGCGAATTGCAGACGGTTTGGCTTGGGTTTGGCTATGTGTTTGTGTTTGGGCCCCTCGACTGACGGACAAACGGACAAACGGACGGACGGACAGACATTTGCTTCCTGGAAACCGGGACAGAAGACACAAGACAGCGACTGGGCTGCTGTGGTTGTTGTTATTTATGGCTCATTCGCGCTCAGGTTGCAGCACCAACAACAAACAGAAAAACTGGTTAAAAAATAAATAAAGAAGCAGCAACAAGTCGCAGCAGCAACAGCAGCAGCAGCAACTTTGAGCGCCTGAGAGAAAATTAAAAGAGAAATAGAAACACACATATGTACGGGCAGCAGTACGGGTTCGGGTTCGGGTATAAGTAATGGATGATGGCGTTGGCTAAAACATAAACCGAAACCGGTGCGGCAGGTTAATACACACGAAGCCCCGGGCCCCAGACCCGAGAGGGGGAAGGCAAAGGGAAAGGGGCACGGGTTTTGGGGGCTCCGTGGTCTCCAGATTTCGGAGACAGAGTGGGAACAAAGGCTGTGCCAAAATTCAAAGACCCATAATTCTCCGCTTAGATTCTATTTGCATTGCTCCACAAAATGGCAGAGTTCAGAAATGGAATCAGCTTAGTCACTAAATATATCAGTTCGTTAAGCCTCTTTATTACAGTCGAACTTCTTTAATCAAACTACATTTGGGATCTATAATTGTGGATAATTTTGATACTCATGAATGCAATTTTTAACTTAACCGAATCACAAACATAAATAATGCCACTCTAATAAAAAGGTTTTAAATCCTTAAAACAAATTTATAATCTATACTACCTAATTGGGTTAATAAATAACTATTTAATTTATTATTAATTCCTTAAGAATTTTCCCAATACTGAAAGAACGGCTTTATAAAATGTGTAATACTTGATGATGCACACTTCATTAATGTTCAGAGTAAGAGTGATCTGCACGCATTTCGTAGATCTCAAACGTGACAAGATCGCCGTTCGATTTACAGAAGTTGGTCTGTATTTCATAAGAGCGTGCGAATGACTCAATTCTGCGACGAAGCCAGGGCAGAGATGCTTCGCTATGAGTAACCCTACCTGTTGGCCAGGGCTGGCTCAACCGACCAAGTGGCACGGCGGCCTCCAAATCTCCTTGTCGGGAGTTTCCGCGAACCGGGAAGCCGGCTCACATAGCCGTCACACTGGACGTATACGTATTCCGATCCAGCGAGCATTCCGCTTTTCCGAAACCGAGTCGCATTGCGTGCTTGGCAAGTGTTTGGTTCTTGTTTGTGCATTCCATTGTCATACCTGGCCAATCGAGGAGCCCGGAGGAGCTTCAAGTGTCTCGGCAGCCCGCCAGTGGCCACTTGCAACCTGCAACCTGCAACTTGCAACTTGCGACTGCAATTACACGTCGGTTCAAAGTCTGCCAACGGCGGACGGGGGAAAGGAGTTTTTGGCGGCGGGCAGTCGCAAAACATAACTAGTATTAGTCGCTGTCGGAGAACTCGTTTTCCACTCACTACCTCGAACAGTCCGTTTCTGTTTGTGTTTCTGACTACCCTACGCATGCGCAGACAGTCATCGCCACCGCTGGGTGGGATGGGTGGTCAGAATGGCTCTGAATGATAATGTATTTGTCTGGAGTCTGAAATCTGGGTTGCAGATGTCATCGGTAATTATTGGCTACCGGTGGGTAAAGGGTGGGGGAATCGCAAATGTGTGGAAGCGATCCAAATCACTCAAATTAGGGAGTCACCTATCAAAGAATATACAATAATCCTTTTAAACTCTATATATAAAAAGACCGAAAAGTATTTGACATTTGTCGGTCTATCACAGCGAAGGAAAGCTATTTAAAAGGAAGTAAACAAAATGTATCTCCCTAGAAAAGAACAATATTAATTACAACCAATTCAGCATAAATTGATCCCAGATTAAACAAACTTAAGAAATCTGGCTGCGTTCATGCTTGGAAGGTTTTATTCTGAATATCGGTAGTAAATTCATGATTTATCAAAAAATTAATAAAAGAATATTGAAAATCAATCATCGAAGTTCTTCGACAATTCTGTAAGCATATTGCATCACCAGTTAAATTATGTTATCTACCTCACCGAAAGCGAAAGACTACCTACATGTACGAATTAGCAAAAAATAATAACTTACTCGTCCCGCTTGCCCCATTGCCAGTATTTTTGGGGACTGCGAAAAGTAAAGACAACATCAACACGGTAATCCGATCCCGAGACGAGGTGGTTCGGGGACAGGAGTGCGAGTATGTTGAAAAATGAGCGGCGCGTGAAACTTATTAATGAAAAGGCCGCGAACGAAGAAATTGCCGCGAATTAGCACAACAACAAGAAAATATACAAATACCGCCACTAATACTGGTGCACAGGTTTTGGCACTTTTAAACGGCTTTTGCGGAGCCTGTGATCGCCAATTCTCTAGGGTTGCTACCTGGTTAACTTTTTACCTGCCCTGTTGACTGGAGAAATTACGTTGTTTTAACAAAAATATATCGAAGTTTTCCATTGGTTATACATGAATTTATTTAAATTTTAAGAACTATACCATGGTTATTTTTAAGGTAAAGGAGATATTAATGAAGAATGTTAAAAAGATAGTTTACTAATATTAAATTGGTTCTAAAATGGTCTTTTATCGAATCTTAGCTACTCAAAATCGTAAATGTCAATTCAGATTATAAAAAGCCATTTAAGATCATTTAAATTTAAAAGTTACCATATCAATCCACTACATTATTTGAATTTTGGATATGAAAGCAATCTGAATAAGATTTCTGAATAATACTATTGATTGTATCTAATAACTACTCTATCCTATACATTTAAAAACCATATCATAAGGTTTAGATGGGTTAAAAACTAAAATCCAATCGAAAGCCACCCAGGTTAACTTAAATGGTATCTTTAAGCCTCAAATTTGAATGCGGCAACGGTGAATGGGCGAAACTCACCGGATTGCATCTGCGGCTGCTGGCAGACAGCTGGTCATATCAGTATCACTTCGGGTAACTGGAACTGGTCGAAGTCGGAGTGGAAATGGAAGTCGGAGTTAAGCCCGATCTGGCGCTCTCTTTGTCTGCGGTTCCTGCTCTCCGGATCTCTCTATCTATATCTCTCTTGCAGCAGCAACAAAAACAAAAAACACTTGAAAAGGTAAAAAAAAGGTAGACAACGTTTATGGTTGTTGCTGTTGCTGCTCTTGTGTTGTATTTTTTTTTTATGGCTGCTACTTTTGTTAACTTTGGGTGTAGTTCAATATTAATTTAATTGTTGCTGCTGTTGCCGATAAAGCACAAAATTCAGAATTGTCGTTGGCGTTATTTATTTTTTACGGCCGTGCTTTGTTGCCGCGCCAGCGCATTGCTTTTTATGCAAATTTTCGCATTTCGTGTATATCTTTAAAGATTTGTTTTTCGGTTTTTTATTATTACTATTTTTTATTTATGTGCGCTGCCGTTACCGTTGACTGTTGTTTCAGCCACAATGCCTTGTTCCACAATGCCTGATTTCTTTGTATTTTTGCTAATCACATTTTGTTAACACACAAACACACACACACACTCGCACACACGTAGGCGCACGCACACACACTCGAAAGGCGAGAAGAGAGTGCGAGCGAGGGGGCGGAGGGGGGGCGGCAGCGGAGTGACGAGCGCGCTGGCCAAGCGAACGCGTTTGGGCCCGAATGAAGACTGAACTGAAACCGAAACTGAGCGGAATGGAATGGCAACGCAAAAGCAAAGGCCCAGTTGTCAGACTGGCTGACACCGACTGGTTGTTGTTGTTGTTGCTGTGGTTGTTGTTGCTGCTGCCTTTGCTGCTGTTGCCTGTTTGTTTTGCACGATCGCTCGCTCGCTCTCTCTCGCTGGCTCTCTCTCCATCGGCCAAGTTCTCAGCGACTCTCCATCGGGCTACCTTTCTTGTCGAAGTACCTTTGCTACCCTGTCCTTTTTAGACAGGTGTATCGGTTCCTTGAACTCCGTGAAGGATTAAACCCAGGACTTTTTATTTAGCCACATATACTTAAATTAGAACATTTGGAAAACAAGTACAACATGAATAAAAAGTTTATTTAAATCAAGCAAATTGGTCAAATAAATATAGAAATTCTTAGTCAATGAGATAAGAGCCCCAAATAACTCTTTTTAGTATTTGCCTAAAAGTATACTGTAAAAACGACATCTTTGGCACTTCCGGTTTGAAAAATATAGCACATATCCTGGCGCTTTAAGACGTCAAATTTCTGTGTTATTTGCGAAATTAAATTGTTTTTAAAACAGAAAGCAAACAATATTAGAACAAGCATAAAATGTGATTAAGTATACATACAATATTTATAAAATTTTAGAAAATTTGAACATCATTTATATTAAACTTAATGCTTTTAAAACCGTAGAAATTAATCCGTATTAAAGTAATTACCAATAAAAAATATATGTGTATTTGAGAATACTCGCAGCAAGATAACAAAAGAGTTTAGGTTTCTGTTTTTCCAGGAATCATATTAGATTTTGTAGGGTATCTGCTCATCGAACCCACACAATTACCCTAGTTAGCTGCTCTTTTTGCCCGCACACCAGTTTATCGCCGTTTTGCCTTTGCGCTTTTCATTCATAAACAAAAAACGCAGGCGGCATTGTTGTTGTTCTGATATCCTCTCTCTTTTCGTGCTTGCTTCTTCTTCTGCTTCGCTTCTGCTTCACCTGTTGCTTCAGCAATTGGCAACTAGCAACATGTTGCTGCCGGCAGTTGTGATGTTGCTGATGCATTTAAAGTGTTGCAATGCAGATAAAACATTTTTAATTTAAATGCCATTTAAATCACGGAAAATCGTGGCCTATTATCGCGAGCTTTTCGTTAATTTCCAGCACGCCTCAAGCGGATATAGATGGATGCCTCAAGGTCGCAGATTTCGGAAATCTTCCCCTCGCGGAGAATTTGAACCCAGTCGAGGAGGTTTGGGCAAACACACTCGAAGATCCATTAACGATGCGCCGCTAACAAGCGCCACTGGCGGTTCAAAGTACAGAAAATCGGTGCAGCCACTTCCTCTATTTACCGGGTAAATAGCCCCGGGGCTAAGCGAATGCAACACTTGAGTCACTGGGGTCAACATCTTTTAGTACAAAATTAACATACAAAGTTTGTTCCGCATTATAGGTAACATTAGTGTGTATAGTCTCTAGCTGGTTTTAGGATCGCTAATTGTTGGTTGGATTTTCGGGGACCTAAGCGTACTTGGCCACCAGGCTGGCCACGAAGGTGACGTACTCCTGCTGGGCGGCCTCGCTGCTCTTGCCCTTCTGCTTGTTCCAGGCCTCCCACTTGGCCTTGCCCTTGAGGTCCAGGAGTCCCGGCTTGGCGGTCTCGTTGTCGCCCACGCTGGCCTGCTTGAACAGGGCGTACAGCTCCAGGAACTCGTCGTCGCTGGGACGCTTGGTCAGGCTCTTCACCTTCTCGGCGGCGGCGTTGAATTGCTAGGAAAAAAAATAATTTTATATATTAGTTTTTAATTTTAAATATATATAGGGTTCTTAATTATATAGTATTTAAACTGAAATGCTCAAAAATTTAATTTGTTTATTTAAAAAACCTTTGCACTTTCATTCTTAGTTTCCTAAAGAATAGTATAATAACATTTAAATTAAAAAGATACCAACTGAAAGTGTTGAAGAATCATTGAATATTCCCCAAAGACTTTGCTCAAGGAATAATTTATAATTCAAATAAAGTTTTACTTATAAAAAAAAATACAATAAAGTCCCATAAGAAGATTAATATTAGCACGTATTAACTCAAGTTTAATCTTATCTCTTTTCACGATTTTAAGAATGAAGTGCTTCCTTAACAAAAATAACTTATGTTTTCTCAGTGTACGAGCAATCGAACAGGTGATTAGCAGCAGGCTTATCGCACCGCCAAGGGCGACCTAAATTTAGTAGACTGATGCGATCGGAGCGCCATCTTTCGGGGGAAGTACTTACCTCGGAGAGGGACATTCTGGGTTAGATTTTATCTGCAAGAAGCGGAATTGTACAAGAGTTAAATTAGTCATGTTTATAAAGCGCTTAGTTTTATGTTTATTGTCATAATAATTAAAACCAGTTTCGAGTGGAGAGGCTGGCGTGTGCCAAACAGAGCCAGGTGGGCCTGAACTTTGCCCCCGTCGGGCGATCTCGAAGAACTGATGAATGTTTGCTAATGTGTTTTGTGTTTGTCGGGCCTCACACATGTCTGACTTTCTCCCAGCAGAAATACATAACTTTACTAGAACTTGGAAATTATGCTGCGGAAGCAGAAGTCGCAAATATTTGTCTCTGGGCCGAGATTTTTTCGAAAGGGAGCGGACAACCGTTAGCGGCCGCTTTTGGCCGGCGAATTTTGACCAATATGGTTTCGGGCGTGGGCTCTGTACGTGTCGAGCACTGAGCGAAATACCTGCCAAATATGGTCATGCAAATTTATGGTTACAATCCGAAAATACTCATTAGCTTTATGGGCGTAAATTTATGGTAAATTACGAATGGCAAAAGTCAAAGTGACTTGCCGGTAAACAAGTTCTAGATCGTATGTTCCACAATATATATTTTGAAATTTTAAATTCACAGCTAGATTTTTCCTCAGTGCTTATCGCTTTGTAAATTTCCATTATAGTTCTGTTGCAGGTGTCCAAATTCGCACAAGTTGGCTCTATCTAAATGAGTACTTTATGTGTCACAAGCACAATTAGTGGGCACCGATAGGTGGATAGGGCTTTTGGGGTAATTGAATGCAGACCGCGGGCAATTTAAACTGGGCACTTACTCTTGTGTTGGCTGTCACAGAACTAAACAGTGTCTGAATTCCAATCTGGCGGTGACTTTCAATTTAAGTCATTCCATATCGCACGATCGCCCTCAACGAGAAAGCTTCTCCCTCCGTTGAGAACTACAGAGAGAGAGGGAAAGAGAGAAATTCTCGCTGGATCATGGAGCTTTCGCTCGAGTGGGTTAGGCAATCGGGGTGGTGATACTGCAGGCCCACTGATAACAGGCCCGATTCCCTGATAAACCATTAGACCAAACCGAGGCACAGCCACGTAATCGTGTTCGGATCGAAGTTCGAGCAGCCCTCCTATCGCAAACACCCACCCACCGAACCGCCAGGGGTCAGGGGGAGGGGCCGAAATGCACGAAAGCTCCAATAAAATGCCGCTCAGCCGGACAAACACCTCATTATTGCTCATATCTCGGATTATCTTTATTGTTCAACTAAGTAGTGGCAGGTGCATGGGGGGTCCGGAATCGGAAACCGTACTTTAGGCGTACTTGGGGGCGTACTTCTCGTACACCTTCACGTAGGCCTCCTTGGCGGCCTCCTTCGACAGACCCTTGTTGGAGCTCCAGGCCTCGAACTTGGCCTTCTCCTTCAGGGCCAAAGCGCCGGGCTTCTCGATGTTCACATCGCCAACGGTGGCCTGCTTGAAGAGACCGTAGAACTCCAGGAACTCGGCATCGGTGGGCTTCTTGGTGAACTTCTTGGCGAGTTCAGAGGCTTCTTCGAACTGCAGGACAATGGGAAAGCCCAGTTAGTTAAATCAATCTATCGTCATTACTTTAAGACTATCCTAACTCAAAGAAAACTCTTTAATTTCATTATCAAAGTAGGTTTATCCTTGTTTTTGTGTTTTTCCGTTAGGATAGTCTCTTAGTTTAATATATCCATCGTGTAAAATACTTACGGACACCATATTGTCAGAATTGGATTCTTGTTGGTAATGCTGGAGTTGAAAATAAATGAATTCGTTATTAGGTGTAGTTCAACTAGAAGGATCCTTCGCTTGTGTGCTTACCACTGGAAAAGGCAATGACGATTGAATACTTCTAGGCCTTTCAGTCGCGCTTATAAAGCTTTCAAACCCTTTCATTTTTCGGTCGGTTTATTGGGGCAAGTCTAATATTCCCATTTTGCTGGTAATCAGCAGATATCGATATCTTTATTTCGCTAATTTCGTTGCCCAACTACAAGCGGACGACATTGTCAAAGGTAGCGATATTGGAGATAGCCCCCGGATACACTTATCGTTTATTGCTTGTTTTAGGTCCCAAGGGCGCTTTTTAGGCGGATTCACTTGCGAATTCGTCTCTGGACAGGAACACTTTTATGATAAGCCATAAATTATGACAAATTTGTTACCTCAATACGAGGCTATAATCTAAAAGATTATAAAGTGGTATATAAATCTATTACTGTAGCATATACGTGGCTTCTTGGTCAGCATCACCTGTTTATTGCAGGATTGTCCTCTTTTTTATAGGGAGTTTAGTAGCTGGAAATAGTTATATAAATTATGTTGTACTCCCTTGTTAATAATATATTAAATTACAGAAAGGTTGCAAATAGCTTTCTTTTGATGGTTAATTTAGTTTTTCGCTCACATAATTTAATAGAATATATCACTTTTATTGATCGCTTAAAAATCATTTTGAATTAAGGTGTTAATGGATGTAGTTAGAAGACAAAAAGTTAAAGTTTTCTTCATACGTACATTTTCGTTTTAAATCATCGAAATTTTAGCTTACACCTTTTTTAATGCAACCTCCTAAAAGAATACTATCATTTCTTGTTAATTACTAAATCGATTTGTATAAAATGAGTAAATAAGTTACGTTACATACATATTTTGTCAAATCAAAATAACACTTGATAATCATAATTGTAAAATTAAAAATGAATGTTTTTGTGGATAATAAACATAAGATAATTAAGATGACTAAGAATTAATTTTACCCAAACTCTTTGTTGATACCAATTTATTAAACACTTGGTTTCTTTATTTAACCGGAAATACTTACTTTATCTTCATGTTGATTATATTTATTAAATTCGTTGAATCATATCAATATGAACGAAATCTTCGACATGAGTAACTTGTACCGAAATATACTAAAAAGATTATGTCAAAAGCGGACATTTTGATAAATCTATTTTTCGAAGAAACTATAGCTATATTTATTTGAACTTTTGTATATGTACTTACAAAATACTTACAAAACTTTGTGATTAAAACTTTTAAAAATTTGATGATTTTCCTTATGAACGGTAAAGATATACAAAAAAGTGTTTTTATAAAGAGTACCGGAAACAACTTCAAACTTTTGAAAGTATTAATCACCATTGGCACCACAACTTAATTAATTTTTGGAACTTTGTGATCAGATGAACATGTCACATTGCATATCAAGCCAAATGAACCAAGCAGTTAAATATTGGTTATGTCTTAAGTTTATTCCAAACAAATTTATTTAGCTATTGTATGAAATAAATTAAGTTTATGGCTTTTTTTATTTACAATCATAAAATGCTTTCTATAGGAAAACTACATCAAATAAAGATTTATGTTGCCATATTTTTACTTCCACTTTACAAGGAAGCCGTTCACCGAAATCCGATAGCGCCTAATCAGATTAAGATAGGTATGGAGTGGGTCATACGATCGCATTCGGCAGCTCGAGTGGAAAGTTAGGAATTGATAAAGGTTCCGTTCGTTTTAAATGCATAAGTGTTTGGTTTATTATAAAATTACAATAAATACAGCGAGTTACAACAAATATCCACATGCATCATTAGAGGGGTCACAGGAAAGGGCTAGGACTAGAGAAATGCACTGCTTATTCGTACTGGGGAGCGTACTTCTTGTAGACCTCGATGTAGTAGGCCTTGGCATCATCGGCGGTCAGACCGGCCTTGCTCTTCCAGGCATTGTAGCGGGCCTTCTTCTCCTCATCCTCCGGCTCCTCAATGTTGCAGTCGCCGACGGTGGCCTGCTTGTAGTAGCCGTAGAACTCGAGGAACTCCTCCTTGCTGGGCAGGTTCTTGAAGTTCTTGGCCTTCTCGACGATCTCCTCAAACTGAAAGTGATATATAGAAATATTTACACAATCGAACGGCTGCTTTGGAGGTGTAAAACTTACGGTGGGCATGTTGGCGGCTAGTTGGTTTCGGTAAACAAAAACAATCTGTGCGGATTTCGATGCGAACACCGTTTATATATTGGCAAACATGGATCACGCCTTTCGCTAATCTTATCGGGGCCCCCACTGCAATTGTGGTTCCCACTTGGCCTTATCGAAAAACTATATATATTTGGGTAATCATGAAAAGTGAGAGTTCCTCTTAGGGGCACTGAAGTATATAATTAGTCAGACGGCGGCTTATCAGCGCTCTTGCACTTGCCAAAAATTGAATTGGGCATATGCATAAAAAAAGCCATGTACCTATTATCTGATTGATTGATTAGGCCGAGCCCCGAAACTGATGAGTTGGCCAGCATATACAGAAATCTGGATAGCCAACAGCCCAATAACTTAATTAATGGCTAGCCCCGATTTTCAACAGTCATCGATTCATAGTTCACGTGAGTCAGGCCATATCATGTGTTATCATGGTGAAGTCGCACGATCTGGAACTAAGAATAGTGCTTCGGCCTTCGGTGGAGATAGTATTATCTACCTTTAGCGCTGCCAACAAAAAAAAATATTAATTAAACTTTTCAAACGGCATTTGTGGTCTCCAAATGTAGATACAGAATTGGCCAATGCACCTGGCCATATTCAAATTAATTAAATTTCGTAATACCAACTGAAGGGGGCCTATAAAAGGCAGCCGTCGGAGGGGAAAAATAACTTAGTATCACTCGTAAATCCAGCAACATGGTCAGTTTTGAGGAAGCCGCCGAACTCGCCAAGAACTTCTCCAAGAAGCCCACCGACTCCGAGTTCCTGGAGTTCTACGGCCTGTTCAAGCAGTCCACCGTCGGCGATGTGAACATCGACAGGCCCGGCATCCTGGATCTCAAGAAGAAGGCCATGTACGAGGCCTGGAACGCCCACAAGGGTCTGTCGAAGGAGGCCGCCAAGGAGGCCTACGTGAAGGTGTACGAGAAGTACGCCCCCAAGTACGCCTAAGGCCTAGGATTACTCTTCATCTGCCAAATAAACTCGAAATCTTATTATGAAAATTATTTAGAAGGCTGCCTCGGATTGGGGCATTGAAACGGCGGCTGCAATGAGGGGTTTGGCCTGACCAGCCTTCATTAGCATAACCCGAATCAGGGAGTTATCCGGGGTTAGGCTGGCCGGAGGCAGTTTGTCCATGGGATCCAGCACGGCCACCACTTCGAAGTCCACTCGCAGGGGCACCCCGGGCAGCACACTGGGCAATCGAGCCAAGGTCTGCGGAATGGTGTAGTGCCGTCTGTCCGCGTGGAGCAGGACCACCAGATTGGAGGCCATTTTGAAGGTGGACAGGTTTTGGACGGTGAGGTAGAGGCGAAATGCGGGTCCACTGCCGCAGACCTCGGCGGATAGTTTCACGGGGGCGTGGGTTAGGTCCCCCGATATCGTGCTCTCCGAGGAGTTTATGGCATCGATGGTGGCCCGAGCTGCCGTGTGGCGTAGGCGCCAGAGTTCCACCTGAAAACTTCCATAGGTTGCTGAAAGAGAGTATTTTTAAATATTATTCTTAATGTAAAATAAAATAAAATACGAGAGATTTGGCTTAGTGATAAAGTTATTCGAACTTGAACATTAATTTAAAAAGGTGCGATTACCTAGTTCTGGGATTTTTAGGAACCTGAATCATTCTTTAATCTAAATTCATGGGTATTTCTACTGCTATCATATCTGTGGGTAAACTACTCATGGAAAATAACCAGGGATCGTAAATAACAGTTATTTGTGATTTTTATTTTAAAAAGACTACTGTGATACTTGGTTTTAAACGTCAAAAATAACGTTCTTTTTACTCTTGCCCACAAAGTATATGCATTTCAACAAATCTGGAAAGCAAATTAACTGTTATTTGTTCATGTCTATAACGTGCAAAAGAACCAGTTAAATTGTTAATTAAAACTTGTACAAATCTCAGTAGGCCTTTTAAAATGAAAATCACAAATAACTGTTATTTACGTTCCCTGAAAATAACTCTACCTAATATTAAAGGCAATATTTTTGGACAAGAACTTAAGAAATAATGTTTTCCTTTTTAATTACATTACTTGCAAAATTTTTTTAAATTTTAAATATAATATTTTCTTTGAAATATTATCTTATATCTTACACTTTGCCTGCTGCTTCTCCCGTGCCGCCTGTTCCACAAAGATGGAGCTCTTTTTGGGTTTGTCCAGAATCGAGGAATCCACGATGGCCTTGTGATCGCTGCCCGTTCGCTGCTTTCCCAGCTCTCCGGGCTTGGGCTCGAAGCGAGACACCCGCCTCAGGATCTTGACCACGATCCGGCCGGATTGAGTGACGAGGCTGAGGACGTGATCCTCCATGCCCATCCGTCCGTACACCATGGCGTCCACCGTCTCGTCCAGGGCGAACTCATCGACCAGATAGCGCTGCAGATAGAACTTGACCACGCCGCCCCGCAGGGCAATGGCCACCAGGGTGAGTCCCAGGTGGGTCATGGGCAGCGGAAGGAGGCAGACGGGCAGGTCGGCCAGCTGCACCTGATGCAGCAGCTTGCCGCGCTTCGAGTAGCACAGATAGCGATTGTCCATCGTGGAGGCGAGGATCGTCTGATCGATGGGCAGGAGTAGAACTCCGGTAAGGGGGATGCCCAGCTTGAAGATCTCCTGCCCCTCGGATTGGGTCTTGCGCAGCAGGTAGACACCGCCGTTTCTGGTGGCCACCACAATGCAGAAGTCCGTCTCGAAGGTTCCCTGCACGGAGATGTGGCTCGGCACGGCGGTCTCGTCGTCGCAGGTCCTGCCCTCGAACACCAGGTTGAAGCCCTGCGGCTCCAGGATCAGGATGTGTCCGGTATCGGTGGCTAGTACCAAGTGCGAGGGCGGATTGGCATCGCTGGAGATGCGCTTCAGGCAGCACATGGCCACAATGCTGCCCACTCGACCCACCGGCGAGTCCTTGTGGATGGCAATGAAGCCTTCGCGCTCCTCCTCGCCCATTTGCAGCAGGCGCTGCGATTTCCGCGACAGCTTGGAGTGGTCAATGTTCCGCAGGGAGTCCAGCAGGCCAGGATGTGCACTCGACTTCATCACCGGCAGCTTGCGCCACACCTCCAGCTCGAGATCCTCGGAGTCCAGGGCGGGAATTGTGTACTTGAAGTACGGCTTCAGGTGGCGATAGAAGAGCACTGACTCGGCGATGGCCACGGCAATAACTAGATTGATATGAAATATTTTAATTAATATCAGGGCATTTAATATTAAAAAAACTATCAATATTGTTAAAATTGTAGGCTCAGTACTAAACTTAATTAAAAAACATTTAAAATAAAAATTACTATACGAAAATAAGGCAAAACATTTTTGAGATTTTAAATTTTCATGTTTTTTCTGGGGAATTGGTTTTTTAGAATGGTTTAACCTCTTATACTAAACCAATTTTTCTATATAGCAGTGCTTGTTCTTACCCGGCGTTTTGGGCTCCGTTTCATCGATGTACAGACTTTCGATGGCCGTGGGAATCCCCGGCAGCGGCTGCTCCTGCTTGAGCTTGAGTCCCCGGAAAACCTTCAAGGTGGCACTGGGCTCTTCGGCGGCGTCGTCCAGGGAAATGTCCGCCGCCAGAAGCCGCACATATCCGTCGCACTGCACATCGCTCAAGGCCATGCAGCTGGAGAGGGTGGTGAGATGCGGCGAAGGACCCTCGTCCTCCGTGTCCACATGGAGCCAGTTGGGAGCACCGGCCATGGCAGGATTTTGCGGAATAACTGGCAGGACAGTGTGAAAACGAACAGATGATTCAGGACATGCCTTTGTTTTGGTTTTCCTTGTCCCTAGCAACCAGGATGACCGTATTTTCGTGTATATTGCTAGCTTTTCTCTTCGGAAATCGAAATTCATTTTCTATAAATGTTAATTTATTATTTTTTTATAGTTCAAAACAACTACGATATCTGTAATTCTTTAACCTTTTCGTTTTCTTTTTAACTGCTTTAATTTTAATAAATTAAAAAGACGTTCGCTAAGATTTTAGTATGCTTTCGCGGGACATTCAAACTTAAGAAAGCTACGCTAAAACACAACCTGGGTATCCTTTACACTGTTGATATTTTTTTGGAATATTTCATTTTATTATGTTTTTAAATTCAACATTTTTGTCGAACGGTACTATCGATGGAGGGCCTAATATTCGATATTCAAACATTTTTTACCATCGATTTCGATTCCAATGCATATTGATTTTTTAAAATCTTAAAATGTCGAACTATTTTTAAGTACAACATTATACGAAATATTTTTTTTGTTTGATTTAAAATAAGTTTTTATAACTAAACACAAATTCTAGTTAAAAATACGATAGTACGTAAGATCGAATAGGTCGGAGGCTGCCAGAAGCCGATTTTTCAGCAGCTCTACGACATGTGTTCCAGCTGTTTGGACTCAGAAGTAGATAAGAGATGACTAAAAAACATCTCTCAAAACTTGGTTTCAGACATTTAAAGTAGAATACAAATTGAACTGTACACAAACTAATGAATATGGATGAGGAAGAGACCACGGATCTGGAGAATAGTGAAGAGGACTCTGAAGAGGACTCTGAAGAGTCCTTTAGCAGCTACAATGAGTTTTCTTCTGAGGTAGCATTACACGAGATTTTGACAACCATGCCAGCCAGTTCATTACAAACTATTACTAATAATTACTATCATTACTATACTATCATACTATTCTATCACAATTAATGTATCTTTTCTTTCAGGAAGATGACTCAATCTTTAGAGTAAGTAAACTTTTTAAAGGGAAAACAACTAACATTAAATATTCACCTTATTTTCCAAAGTCTTCTGATGAAGACGAAAAGTTCTTTCATAAAACCGAGTCCAGTGTACAATTGGAACATAGCGAAGGAGCTGATGCATCGGGAGCACAACATTATCAATAGAATTGGATGGCGTGGTGGCCACACCTCGGACCAGAGCTTCGGCCAAGGATTCTACGGCTCCCGCCAGGCAGTGGAACATTTAATTCTCATCAAAACGCTAAAGACCCGTTTAACCTGTAGCCTGAACTTCAACCGTGACGGCGACCTTTTGGGCACCGGAGACGAAAGCGGAAATGTTACTGTCTGGGATTGGGAAAATAATAGGGCGCTGCACAGGTTTTGCCCAGCCCCTAGGAATGTCGAGCAGACCAAGTTCATGGACAGCACCGGTTTTCTGGGCATCATGTCCTCCAATCTGACTGGCGAGGTGTTTCTCACTATCATTCCACCCTCTGGAGGAGACACCAGGAGCCAGTGCCTCTACAAACACAAAGGTTCCACAAACGACTTTTTAATAGTCCCACAATGTCCTTACGAGGTAATGAGCGTAGGAGAATATGGAGCCGTCAATCATTTTGATGTGCGTACGAGCGACGAGGCCACGACTATGGTGAACTGCGTCGACCAGGAGCAAAAGGCTTTATGCCTGCGCACCATAGCCCATCATCCGTTTTCGCCGGAGTTCTGCGTTGGGGGAGATGACTTCAAACTGCGCGTTTTTGACAAACGCAAACTTACGGAGCCTTTCCATGAAAAGACTCCCAACCTTGTAAAGAAATGGTACCGTACAGAGGGCATCACTTGCATTGTCTACAATCACAGCGGCAGCGAGATTCTTGCTTGTTTTCATGATGGTGGCATTTTCCTGTACGACAGCCGGAACTACAACAAAACGGAATTTTTACACTTCTACGAGAAGCATTAGTAAGTAATCCATTTCCCCTAATGTCCTCCTCTCACCCTCTCAAATATTAAGTTCCGAGATAAATTTCTTTGGACCCCGATCGGAGTACATTGTCACCAGCGACAGCAGAAGTATGTATTTCTACGACAAGAAAACGGAAGCCATCATTAGCGAAAGTAAGTTCAAGGATTGGTCGCCGGATGTTTTCGTAAAACCTCATCCCTGGAAGCCACTGCTAGCCACTGCTCACTTCTTTGGGCCAGGCGTCAAAATCTGGACTCCAAATGGCCAAACCTGATAGCATCGGATTGTCGATCAATTCCGAAATCGGACCCACGAATTCTTTTATTTCTCTAATATTAAATTATATTAATTTGAAATACACATAATAATTTGATTTTATTTTATAACTTTGCCCATTCCATTAACACCCATTCCTTCCATTTCCTAATCAAAATTCATTTTTGTGGATTTTTGAAGAATGATTTTTTACCCGATTCAAGCGCTTTATTCCTGGCTATATTTATTTTTTAGAAAAATATTGAAACTTTAACTAATTAAACTTTATTTAAAGTCCGAAAAATATTGGATTAATTAATTATATGTAAAATAGTAACGGTTCCCTCACAAAAATCAAATATGCTAAGAAAATATTAAAAATGTCAGTATGCTTTCCTCTTCGGAAATCGAAATTAATTTGTTCATAAATATTTACTTATTATTTTTTGATATAGTTAAAAACAACTACAATATCTGTATATAACCTTTACGGTTTTTATTTAACTGCTTAAATGTTATAAATAAGAAAGACGTACGCTAGAACACAACCTGGGTATCCTTTAAACTGTTAAAATTTTTTTGGAATATTTCGTTTTGTTATGTTTTCAAATGCAACATTTTTGTCGATTGGTATTATCGACGGAGAGCTAAATATTCGATATTCAAACATTTTCATACCATCGATTGTTACTTGACCCCATTTTTATTTTTTATGTTATTATGTTATTTTTAAGAACAACATTGTACGAAATAATATTTTGTTTAATTTAAAATAAATTTTAATAACTAAATTCAATTTTAGCAAAATTTGTTAAAAAACGCGATAGAACGTAAGATCGAATAGATCGGATGCTGCCAGAAGTCGATTTATTACCAGCCCTACGACCCCTATGTTCCAGCTATTTGGTCTCGGAAGTAGATAAGATATGACTAATCTCAAAACTAGGGTTCAGACATTGAAATTAGAATAAAAATTAAACTGTACGCAAACATACTGATGAACATGGACGAGGAGGAGACTTTCCGGCAAGACCCCGACGATCTGGAGAATAATGAAGAGGACTCTGCAGAGTCTCTCAGCAGCAACGATGACTTTTCTTCGGAGGTAGCATTGCATTACAAACTTCTTAACCTAACGATATTTTAATAACCATTCCAGCTGTACATAAGTTCAATACAAACTATCACTATAGTGATTATCCCATCATTATAGTGATTATAATCATCACTATCATCACTATACTATCCCTATCATTCTATCCCTATCACAATTAATTTATCTTTTATTTCAGGAAGATGACTCATTCGTTGAAGTAAGCAACATTTTTTTTTAGAGAAAATCAATTAACATAAAATAGTCCACTTATTTTCGGGTGCCTTCTGATGACGAAGAGTTCTTTCATAAAACTGAGGACGACCCGAATCCAGTGTACAATTGGAACATAGCGAGGGAGCTGATGCATCGGGAGCACAACATTATCAATAGAATTGGATGGCGTGGTGGCCACACCTCGGACCAGAGCTTCGGCCAAGGATTCTACAGCTCCCGCCAGGCAGTGGAACATTTAATCCTCGTCAAAAGGCTGAAGACCAATTCTATCTCTAGCCTGAACTTCAACCGTGACGGCGACCTCTTGTGCACCGGAAACGAAAGCGGAAATGTTACTGTCTGGGATTGGGAAAATAATAAAGAGCTGCACAGATTTTGCCCAGACCCTAGCGAACTTACGCAGACCAAGTTCATTGACAGCACCGGCTTTCTGGGCATCATGTCCTCCAATCTGACTGGCGAGGTGTTTTTCACCCCTATTTTACCCTCTGGAGGAGCCACCAGGAGCAAGTGCCTCTACAAACACAAAAAGGGTCCCGCACACGACTTTTTAATAGTACCGCAATGTCCCAACGAGGTAATGAGCGTAGGCGAAGATGGAGCCGTCAATCATTTTGATTTGCGTACGAGCGACGAGGTCACGACTTTGGTGAAATGCGTCGACCAAAAGAAAAGGGCTTTATGCCTGCGCACCATAGCTCATCATCCATTTTCGCCGGAGTTCTGCGTTGGCGGAAATGACTTTAAACTGCGCGTTTATGACAAGCGCAAACTGACGGAGCCTGCCCATGAAAAGACTCCCCACCTTGTTTGGAAATTTCACTGTACAGCGTTCATCCCTTGCATTGTCTACAATCACAGCGGAAGCGAGATTCTTGCTTGCTTTTTTAAAATTGGCATTTTCCTGTTCGACAGCCGCAACTACACGGAAGACGAATTTTTACACTACTATAAGAAGCATTAGTAAGTAGCCCATCCCGAATAATGTCATCCACTTACCCTCTCAAATTTTAAGTTTACATATGAATTTCTTTGGACCCCGATCGGAGTACATTGTCACCAGCAACGGCTTATGTATGTCTATCTACGACAAGGAAACGGAAGCCATAATTAGCGAAAATAGGTTCGCGAATTGCGCGCTGGATGTTCACCTAAAACCTCATCCCTGGAAGCCAGTGCTAGCCACGGCTACCTTTTCTCGGCCAGTCGTCAAAATATGGACTCCGAATGGCCAATGGCCGATCAATTCGGAAATCGTACTCGTCTAAACGTCACGAAACCCATTAATTCTTTTATTTCTTTTAATATTAAAGTGACGTAGGTATTTGCGCCATTTTCATTTTTAAAATTTTAATTTATTTTATACTTTTATATATTTTTAATATTCTCATATGGAAAAAATAAATTTTTGTGGATTTTTGAAGAATTATTTTGTATTCGCTTTAAGCTCTTTTTCCGTAAGTGTTATGTTTATTTTCTAGAAAAAATTTGGAAACTTTAACAAATTAATCTTTACTTTAAAACGTAAAAATATTGGATTAATTAGATATATGTAATGTAGTAACGGTTCCCGCATAAATATCAAATATGCTAAGATAACTTCGAAAATGCCAGTATGTTTCTCCCGATATCGATTTTTTAGCGTGACCGTTCGGAATACTTTCGGTATATTTGAAAAGGTATTTTCAGTGGGCTGTTTTTAAATTTTAAAGCCATCTGGTAACACTGAGGACGCCAGAATTGAATATTTACCGTTTTTCTAGAATTAAGTGAATTATTTAACCTTTGTTTTGCTCAAGTGATGACGGAGCTCAGGGACGAGACGCCGATTTTCCACAAGGGCGAGATAGTCCTTTGCTACGAGCCGGATAAATCGAAAGCTCGAGTGCTTTACACCAGCAAGGTACGCGCACGCACACCAGCACACACGCAAACACGAGCGTGGAAACGTCAAACAAACGTCAGAAGCGCAGTTTTCACGGCTGATTTTCCCAACAAACAAACATTTTCCGCCCCCGTTGCAGGTCCTAAACGTCTTCGAGCGCCGCAACGAACATGGCCTGAGGTACTACGACTACAAGATCCACTTCCAGGGCTGGCGGCCCTCCTACGATCGCTGCGTTCGCGCCCCCGTCCTGGTGAAGGACACCGAGGAGAACCGCCAGTTGCAGCGCGAGTTGGCCGAAGCGGCTCAGCTGCAGATGTAACTATATAGTCATATATATCCTGTTAAATCCTAGCTAATCCTCTATTTGACCTGCAGCCGTGGCGACTACTCCTACAAGGGCACGCCCGACAAGCCGCTGGCCAAGAAGAAGCGCGGCGGACGCGGAGGCGCGGCCCACGTGGAGGATCCCCTGGTGGACCCACTGGACACGGGACACCCGACCGCCGAGCACGAGATGCCGCCCACCCAGCGCTCGGCTGGCAATCGGACGCGGGACAACAGCGGCGGCAACCGAAAGGAGAAGGCCAATCCCGCCGACGGACGACTAAAGGCCAACCGGGGACGCCACACGGAGGTTGTGCATCACAACGAGCCGCTGGCGGATCCTGCCGCCGATCGATTTGTGCCCCAGGAGGATCGCATCATGATGCGCGTCAGCGAGCGGCTGCGCGAGCTAATTGAGTACGATCGGAACATGGTCAAGATACTGGGCAAACAGCACGCCCTGCCCGCTCGCGTGCCCATCGTCACAATCATGGAGAACTTCATCAAGCAGCGGGCCGTGGAGCTGGCCATTGGCATCAAGCAGGACAGCTCGCGGGCCAGGAACACGCAGAGCCGCAATGCCCGCATGGAGCGGGAATACGATCGCGTGATGTCCAAGTGGGTAACCCTTGAAATAATCCCTTAGCAGTCTGCTAATCCTATTTCCCCCACAGCGTCTGCATGCTCAAGGAGGTGGTGGATGGGCTGCGCATCTACTTCGAGTTCCACCTGGACGATCACCTGCTGTACAAGGAGGAGAAGGAGTACATCCACAACTATCTCACCGACGACAACATGCGCAACTGCAGTTTGATCCTGAACAAGTCGTACGACTTTATCAATCCGAGTGGCGAATCGGAACTGATCTCGTTGGACGGCACGCCAGTGGGCGGGGGACCGGGCAAGACCAACGGGCAGATCGAAGGCGGCATTCTTGGGGGCACAGAGTACGAGAAGCAGTTGCAGAAGTGCCTGCTGTACATCGTCACCAGCAGCGGAAAGAATACGGCACAGGCCTATGACCGCTCGTCGCCGTACACGGCTGCCTACAAACTGCCCACCGAGATGCGCGAGTATCTCCACGAAACATTCCAGTGGCGTCTTCTCTCGGCGGAATCTCCGCCCGAAAAGTCCATGGTCTTTGGTGCTCCCCATTTGGCTAGACTGATGAGTAGGTTCTGTGCTTTTTCCACCTTTCTGCTTAGCTAATTATGTTCTGTTTTTTCAGTAAAAATGCCCATGTTCTTGAACGCCTCGCCAATTAGCAATAAGAAGCTGGAGGATCTGCTGCCCCACCTCGACAGCTTTATCAAGTAGGTCTGATAAGTCACTGGGCCTATAACCCAACTAATGTGTTATTTTTACAGCTACCTAGAGAACCACAGGGAGTGGTTCGACAAGGAGAACTATGCAAATCCCACCGCCGTGGCCCAGGACACCTTGCAGCGGGAGCTGCTGGAATCCCTGGATGGCATAGCTGCTTAGGCTTAGCTGATCGTAGTTATCTAGTTTATTTATTATGAAGATTAAAGCTTATGTTCTTTTATTTTAACGATTTGTAATTGTCGTTTTGGTTTCTTCAACTACACAATTTGTAAACAACGCGCTTCTATAAAAAAGTCTCCTAACGTGATCGTATAATCGAATAATGCCTACAACTAAATGTTAAATATGGAAAATACGAGTTTAACATTTCTTCTTTTTTTTTGCTTATCCTAAGTTTTAGTTGAGTAGTACATGCTAGTATTTTTGTCTTCTTTTTTTTGTGCTCAAATAAATTTAAGAGTTTGAAAGTTTTTGTCTTTTTAAGGATCTGCGGACCTTCAGTTGGAATGTGCAGGGAATTCTTTAGATTTGTATAACTTCTGAAAATATTTCAACTGTAACAATTACGAGTGTTGCTTTGTGTTTCAGATCCTGCTTGGAAATTCGAAATTGTCGCTTGGACGGCTTGGAGTTGGATGCATTCGCGTTTGTAACATGTGTAAACTAGGGACGTTAACTTGGACTTCACTTCTGCCGCTTGGTGGCACTGCTGGCCGTGGGTCGCATGAAACTGCTGACGGATCGACTGCTGCTGCTGCTGCTCCTTGGCTGCGGACTCGAGGTTGTCGCATTCATCCTGGCCTGCTGCTGCTGGTTGAGGGCATTCTTCACCAGCACCACGCTCCGAGCGGCACTCATGCGGGACTGTTGGGACTGTGACTGCGACTGATTCTCCTTGAAACTGGTGCTTCCGTTGATATTCGACCTTGGAGCAGTGCTGCTCATCTTGCTGCGCACCAGGATCACACTGGGACCCACGCTGGAACCACTGCTGCTGCTCCTGCTGGCCGGCACTCCGCGTCCTGCCGTGGGTCGCACATTCTGGGCAGCCAGGGGTCGCTTGCTGGGCGAGGAATCCACGGATACAGTGGCTCCCGTTCGCTGGACGGCCGGCAGGCGTCGCACCACCGTCTGCGTGGAGGCCCCACTGTTGATGGAGGATCGCGAGGAGCGCAGACTGTTCCGCGAACTGCTCCGCTCCACTCCGGCCAGGACCTGTTGCTCCTGCGGCGAGCGTCTCACGGCGGATGCGGATCTCAATGGCGCCGCACTGACCAGCGGCTGACCATTGGGCATGCGCAGCGGTCGGCTGGCGGAGAGACTCCTCTTGACCTGCGTCGCCGATTGCGAGGCAGGGATTTGGTTTTGTGACTTGCTGCTGGCGGAAGCTGATCCCGCGGATCCGGAACCGGAGCCCTTCAGCCTGGCCTGCTGCAGGCGATCGGCCAGGCGACTGCCCAGCTGGGTGATCGAGGGCTTCTGCTTCTGCAGCGGACGCTGGCGGGCCGGCGTTTCGCTGACTCCCTCGTTGCAGGAGGAGTTGGTGCTCTCGCCCTTCCCGTGGGAGGGCGTGTCGGAGACCAGGCTCTGGGTCTCCTCGAAGCCCTCGTCGTTGAGCTCGTGGTGACCGCTGGCCGAGAGCTTCAGCTTGGAGGGCGTAATCTCCCTTGGCGGACTCCATGGACGCTCGGGTGTTCCTGTTGGAGATTTAAGATTCCGAATGGCCTCCCTCACGTCCTCCTGGTTGATGGAGCTGATGTGGCGACCCACCTTCTCCAGCTTGTTGATCGTGCGCTCCTTCTGCTTGGACTTCTCTGGCGCGGGTTGCTCCTGCTTTGAGGGCGAGGCCTTCGCCTCCGGTGTGCTGGTGGTCAGGAGCTCCTCGTTGCCGCTGCTGTAGTCCGTGGGTCTCTTGTAGCGACGCGTGCGACGGGCCAGGGAGTGACGATCGAAGTGACCCGGGGCATCCTGTTCCGCCGAGATGATCTTCTCCTCCGTCAGCGACGCCTTCGGCTTGTCCGTCATGCTCACCGTGACCACTGTGGTGGTGGGCGTGGCTAACACCCGACGGCTCACCGGAGGCGTCTCTATGTTGTCCGCATCCACGTCCTTGGAGGAGGCCGGCATCTCGTTCTGGCTCTTGTGGTGGCTCAGCAGGCTGGCAAAGGTGTCGTCCGACACCTGAGCTTGCTCCTCCGGTTTCGCCGGCTGCAAATCCCGGCTGGAGGATCTCCTGATCTCGCCCAGCTTCTGGATCAGCGACTTTCGGCGATCTTCCTCGGCTATCGACTGGAGGGCTATGGGACTGGACTGATCCTGCGACCGCTGGCGGCGATACTGACGCAGTGCATCCTGGGATGGCTGGGCATCGGCAATGGCCTGCAGATTGGCCACCACGTCCGTCTGCTCCAGCGTCTTAGAGGGCTTCCAGTCGGCGTAGACGCGCTGGTACTTCCCGGCATCCTGATCCTGCCTGTTATGTGAGTTATGGGGATTAGTGGTCGTGGGCGTGTTCGTTGGCGTAGCCGTCGTCGTCGAGGGCAGGATCTTCTCCTCCGGCAGAGGGTCCAGTTTTCGTTCGTTTTCTGTGGAAAGAGAGGGGTTATATCTGGTATCCATTGGGTTATCCATTCTAGGAGGAGGACTCTCACCAGTTTCGTTTTCGAGCGATCGCCGATTGGCGTTGACCAGACGACGCTTCCGCCGGTACTCCTCGTTCTGCTTCTCGTCGCTCTCGTTGGACTGCAACCAGGTCTCGATCTTCTGGCGCCACTCACGGGATATTCTGGAATAGAAAGGGTTAAATGATATTAAATGGTTCCTCTAATTATCTTATCAATAATATAGAAATGGTTGCGGATTACATATGGAAAAGTTAACTATGATACCTAAGAAAAAAATAAACAGTTTGATAAACATATCTTATAGAAATTATATGAAATATTTTGATATTCTTATTTTTTGTTGGGGAATTGATAAGTGGAAAATGGACTATACCCCTAATCTTAACATTCGAATACAAGGAAGCTTTGTTAAGAAATTGAAAATCCGAAAATCAAAATTAGTTTCAGCTTAAATCTAATTTTTAATTTAGAATAACCATTTATCTTTAATCAAACTTCTCTTAAAAATAAGATCTGAAAAGGATTTTAGCATAGTCCGACTTTGGCGTCGAATTCCAAAAACATGGCCAATGATTCACAATAGAGACTATTGTTTAGGAATGCCTTGATGTATCAAGAGCGGTTTTAGTGAAAATAATTAAAGTAAGTCCAATTATAAAGGCCACATAATTCGAAATGTCGGCAAACATCGGTTTTTTTGTATTCTTAGCTATACCGCAGAACCTGTTTGTATGGGACTTTTACTCAAGAGCACCCAATTATCATGGAAAACTAGAAATGGTTCGTGGAAACTTCACAATGTTCATTTTTGTGTTCCTGTGTAATAACATATTAATTCAATTTTTAACAAAAGTTTTAGGTTTGTTAAAAACTATGTATTTTTTTTTAATTCTTACCTTGGTTTCGCATCCTCGTTGACGGGCTGCGTCTGCGCAATCGCCGGTCCACTGCCCGTGGGCGTATTGGCCGCCGTTGTGGGCGTGCCAGCTGCACTGGCCAATGGCGATTGGAGGCGCTCCTGCGCCTGCTGCTGTTGCTGCTGAAGAAGAGGAGCCGGGGAGCTGGCCCGCTCGCGATCCAGGCCAAAATCGATGTTGAGCAAATCGGGACGCTTGCGACTGGAACTTCCCGAACGAGCGCGACGGGCCCACGAGCGATCCAAACTGCCGTAGGCCGCCTTTCGCTCCCGGCTGTTGTGCCCATCGTGAGGACCCGTCGAGCTCCGCAGGAACTCCATGAGGTCATCCTCCTCGGCCAGCACTCGACTACGCCGGCGCCGCAGACTCCCATTGGGCGTGATGTCCGGAGACGCGCCGTCCTGTTCCAGGCGGATGAAACCATTGCTGATCTCACCGGATCCCAAGTGCCTGCGACTCAGAGCGGGACTGGCCCGGGGATCGAAGAGAGCATCGCCCAGGAAGGAGTGCTCCGAATCGGACACGGGGGTTCCAGCTGGACCAACTGTAAAATAAATATTAGGTTCATTAAATATTAATTTATTAAAACTTTCAAAATATGCAAACAAATTTGTTTATATTTCTTAATTGAACTAAAAATCGTTCAAGTTCAAAACTTAAAATTTAGTATATCGGATAGAGCTTGAAAATGATCGATATTTTCGATATATTTACATTATCGATACGATAATATCGATGTTTTCAATATTAATTTATTTAAACTTTAAAAATATGCAAACAAATTTATTTATTTATTTATATCTCTTAATTTATTTTAAAAATTGTTCAAGTTCAAAACTTAATTTTAAGTATATCGAATAGAGCTTGAAAATGATCGATGTTTTCGATATATTTACATTATCGATTCGATAATATCGATGTTTTTAAGGGAAATTCTCCTTTTACATATCGAGAATAGCAAACTGTCGATATATTTAAATCTCTAATTTCGGATGCACTTACTCTGCCTGGCTCTCCTCGCCAACTGCTCTTCGCGCTGTTTTCTCCTCAAAGTAGCCTGCTGCTCCTGCTGCTGGCGGCGCTCGTTCTCCTTGACCGCCTGCTTGAATTTATCACAGAAGTTCTGGAAGATCTTGAAGCACTCCTCCAGGCGGAAGGTGGCCGCATCGTCGCAGAAGAACTCGGACATTTTGAGGCGCATGGCTTCAACTTGTTTCATGCCCGCTTGAAGGACTGCCAACTCGGATTCGGCGGCCTGCAGGAAGTCGGCCATCTGCTCTTTGATGTCCACATCCGTGGCCGGTTGCTCGATCTGCCTGGCTATCCTCCTGATCCTGCCGTCCAGCGTGTTGATTTCATTGTTGATCTGCTCTGAAGTGGTTCTAAGGAGGAAATTAAATAAATTAAATGAACATGGTAATTACTAATAGGATTTGCCGATCACTTACTTGCTGGCACTTTCAAGGGTGCTCAGTTGTCCTGTGAATTGCAGCAGCTCGGGATTGCGTTTTTCCGCCTGAAGCGCCACAAAGTGAATGAGGTTCATCCCGGGCTTATTGGCCCTAATATCTGTGAGTTTCTGCAGTGAGGATAGCTTTACACCCGCTGCATTTCCCGCATAGCCGCCGGAATTAAGAAAGTTTCCAGCCACAACGACCATGTAGAGAACCTCTTGAAGGGTCTTATTGTTGAGCAGATCGTCGCCGGCATACAGCATGGCATTTATACAGGGCTCCAGATAGGCCACATTCGCCGCGAACTCCTCCTTGAGCAACATGCTCTCAATGCGCAATTTGTAGCTGTAAAAAAAACATAAATATTATAATATTATTATTTGATAATTTTATACTACCTAGAAATTAATTTAACATTAATCTAAATTTTATCGTTATAGTTCAGAATTTATATAACTATTGCAAAGTCCATATCGAATTTTTAAAATATCTTTTATCGATATTCTTTAATATAACCCTATTGCATTTTTAATTTTATTATCAAAAAGTCGAATGGATTTTTTACAATTATTTATACACGTGTTTTTAATTTAATCTAGCAAAATTGAAAAAAATATCTAGGAATATTAATTCGATCTTTATACTCCTTTTTAATTTCAGTCTCAAAGGGCTCAATAGATAAGTATTAAACTAAGTACTTACTTGGGGACCTCCAGCAGCTGTAGGAGGAACTTCTCGGCATTGCCCAGTCGTCCCTTGTCCCCGTTGAAGCCCTTCAGCATGTCCAGCTCATCCACCTCGGGCATTATCTTCAGCAGACCCCTCAGTCGCTCCGCTCCGATCTCCTCGTGGGCTCCCTGCCTTATCAACTGGATGATGTCGTCGTTGCTGGTGCGGAACTGCTTGAGGAATATGTTGACATTCAGACTCCTCTTTCCGTCCAGCAGCGTGATCTCCGTGCTCTCCTTCTTTGACTTTCGATCTAAAGTATCGCATCCATTGGAGCCGGACGTAGATTGGCTGCCATCCCTTCCCAACTTCGGTGATCCCTGGGCACTGGCCGTTTGCAGGCAGAAGAGACCCTCCATCTCGTTCCAGTCGATGTCCTGCATGGGGCTGTCCTGGTGATTACTCGCCACGATGCTCCAGATGTTCTGCTTGCCAAGGACCTTGTTGTGCGGAATCTTGCCCCAGTTGATGGTCTTCATCTTGGCCTTGGGCGCGGGTGTGTCCTGTTGTGGCAGCAAAATGGCAGTGGCCACCGTTTCCGCGGCCAAAGGATCAGGTGTCCGTGGGCGGGAAGCCATTTGCATCGAGGGCGGAGGCGGCGGAGGAGGCAGGGCGCCACCGTTGATCATGGGCGGCGGCGGGGGAGGCGGTGCTCTGCCATTTATCGGCGGAGGCGGGGGCGGTGGTGCTGCGGCTGCCATGGGTGGCGGGGGTGGCGGAGGCGTCGGCGTCGCCGTCGACTTGGCTGCCACGCCCACCGGCTGGGAGGGCTTGCGGGTGGGGCTGCTGGCATCGCTGCCGCGACAACTCTGGCAGGCGAACTTCTGGCTACTGGGCGTGCGCAGCAGTCGCACCGAGTCCTCGTGACTTTCGAGGAGCGTGGCGCGGTGGACCAGGCGCTCTGTGGTGTCCCAGATGATGTCGCTGAGCGGCTCCTTGGGATCGATGCGCAGCAGGTGCTGCAGAATGTTGAGGAATGGCACTTCCTGCGGCGTGTCAGCCACCTGAAGAATATCATAAAAAATCATAAAAGTCAATGGATTAAAGAAAGATAGAAAAAAAGAATTAGGAAATTGTAATAATTTATTTTATATAAATTCGAATCGGGCAAGAACTTGGTTAAATGAGATTTTAGGGACACTCTTTATAATAAAAAACTACTTTAAATCCAACTTTTTCCATAAGAAATTTTAATTATTGCTGTATAAAATATTTTAAAATTATATGTAAAATTTGTGCATTATATTAAAATATTGTAATTATTTAAACTGTTTTTAATACCAAATATTAGTCTGGAAAATCAGTAAATTTAAAGTTCTTAGTGGTCATTATTAGCATGCAAGCAATGTCCTTGATTTCCCTGCATGGCCATAGCCTTGGTCAAGTCTTAACGACCACTTTGCGTATACGTAACCCTGTCGAAATTTCGCATACGCTATGTTGCACTCACCTGTCGCAGAATCGCGTAGAAGACATCAAGATGCGAGTTGAGATTGATGCCATCGGGCGCCTGAAGGCTCTGGGCCTCGTCGCATTCCTGCTGCTCCACGAATACGTCCAATTGTACGATGATATCGCCCACACTTTGTGCGACTTTTCTGTAATGAGAAAGTCAGAAAATCAGGCCACTTTGGCATTAGTGGGTTAATCGCCTTTCCGTCCGTCAGTCCGCTCTAATTATTCAAGCCAGTTGCAGTTGGCAATTTGTAGCTTGTAGGTTTTTGTTTGTTTTGCATGCCGTTGACAATTCACACAGCGTTTTAATTGATTTCCTATTTATGCAGAGTTATTTACGATATATGGGGGAATAGATAAATACATTTATATGGTCCACAAGTAGTTGAGGCTTGCCAGAATCGATAGAGAACAACAAACTCCTCGCCTGACATTGAGTAACCTCCGGAGGCTGGGAGAGAAAAACCCCACAAAAAAGGACGAAATATCCTCAACCGAACGACCGACTCACTTGAGATTCTGCACCAGTTGCAAGGCGGCGCAGCTGTAACGGGACAGCGAGCCGCAGAATGTCAGCCGCCGCTGCAGGTGCAACGGCGATGGCGATGGCGTCACAGAGGCGGAAGCGGAAACGGATGACGTCGCCGAGGAAGCGGACGCCGACGAGAGGGATGGCGGCGGCGAGGGCGATGCTGAGGACTCCACGTTGCCTGCCTGGCGCAGCCTTGGCAATCAAAACAAAAGTTCTCACTGGCACACCATTTCTCCGTTCAGCGGCGTGCAAAATCGTTAGCCTTGCGCAATGTCCTTGCTGGCAGCTCCGCTTTTGGCCTTTTGGCAATTGATACAATCCCAAAACATCGACTGGCACTTTTTAATTGCTTCCCCGAAATCGCCAAGTTGCGGTTCGAACGAGAGAACGGCCAGAATGGCAATAACGAGGACGAGACAGCCTGGCACGACGACTCATATTTGAGCTATGGTCACGATTTTCCGTGCCTCGGAGCCAAAATCCGAGTCCTTGTTGTTTTTGGCGGCCACGTGCTGCGCGCGCAGGAGTTTTCCGCATTATCCGCGGCGGCCTCTTTCCTTTCACTTTGTCGAGCAACTTCGTCAACATCCATCCATCGGGCACATTGGACACCCGGACACTTGCACGTGATTCTCCATGGCTTTGTTGTTTGGCCAGCAGTTTCTATTTTGGTCCGTCACGGAAGTTGTTACGGGCTTATCGAGTTGCGGGCGCCTATTTGCAGGGCCAAGGAAATTGGGTAACCAAAACGCCAAATTACAATCTTTAAACGGAAGCCAAAACTAACTGAGAAAAGGTTAAAGGTGCCGCCGCTTGGGAGCAAAACTTTGAGTATTTTTTGTCTTTGCGGAACTTAGGAAATAAAATGTTTAAAAAAAAAAACCAATAAGATAAATTTCAAAAATGCCCTTTAAGTCTTTTACCAAATAACAAGCTAAATTAAAACTTTAATTGGATGCGGCAAAGTTATGGTTAGTCTGGAATGTAAATATTTTTTGTTGTTTAATGAATACATTTTTTGTATCACTTCAAATGTTATATTTTAAATAAATAAGTAGGAATTTCGATGGGACTTTATTATTCTGAAACTGAAGGCTTCAACTTTACAACATTTTAAAGTTAAATTGCAAAATATCTTTGCTAAGAAAGGGAGTTTTTCAAGCCATACCTTTCATAAGCTATCAAAAAACTGTCTTTTATTTTGAAATTTTTTTTTTCAATCTGAAGAGCTTTGGTCTGAAGAATATTGTTTCCAATTCAATTTCCGACTTCCCATAAATATACTTCGGCAATCGAAAATGTCTATTCTTGACACGGTTCTAATAATCCCCCCGAAAGGCGATACTTTGGAGTTTATTTTTAGCAGACATTTACGAGTTTGTCGGTAATTCGATACTAGCACACATCCATCATTCTCGGGTTGATAAACAACTTTGATTCGGATTTCGATTCGATTAGAACTCATTATGAGGAGAACAATTAAAATCCGCTTAAAGCATCGGGGCAGCTTCCAAGCTACGCAGAATCTCAATGGTCTCCTCCCCCCTTCAAAAGCGGTCTCAAATCAAAGCGCGTTGTGGCTGAATGAAAACGTTTAAAGCGATTCGAAATTCCAAATAAATTAAATAGCGCCAGAAACTACGCATTTCGTTGATGTGTGCGCGTTAAAATTTTAATAACAATAGAACTGAAGGGGGTCCTCACTCACAGAATGGAAAAATGCCACAAGACAAATGGGCCGGGACAATCAATTAGTCAACTCTGCTCCGAGCTGACAAGCTGAGGAATCTGCCAATGCGGACAGCTTGTTTGTTATTGTTCGCTTTTGGGCTTGAACTATTTCAGAAATTAATTTAATTTGCTAGTTTCTCTCGTTTGCGAGCCGGCGTCGCAGAGCCACAAATTTGTCAACCAGAGGGCCATAAATAAACCCGTTTTGAAGGGTGAGTCGGAGATCCGACTAATTGATTTATTGTTGACTAATTAAATATTGAATTAATTGGTTGACTCGAATGCGGCGCAAATTATTTGCATAAGACCCGATGATCGGGCATTCGAATGGCCAACTCCTCCAGTTTGACGAATCTTTTGACAAGCGTTTGAGCAGCGTCTTGAGCGGTCATTAGCGATCCGCCCCCAGATCCTCTTCTGTCTTTTATTTTTTAGCAGAAAACCAAACCTTACCGAAAATCAGCGAATACCTTGATCTTGTCTTGTTGGTCGTCTCGTCATGTAGTCGCATGCAAATTAAATGTGCGTCCGATTCGAATAAAGCATAAAAGCGGCAAACGGCAAATGGCAATCGTTAAACTGTTTGTGATACTCATTTGCCTGATTGTGGGAGACTTTCAGGGTTTTTCACCCAACTCGCGGTCTTCACACGCTCGAAACGGAATACCAACGACGCCCTCAGCAAAACTGGGTGCTTAGAAATGTCTCGTCGTTGGGTTTTTATTGAGCGTCCTCCTGATCGCTGCACTTCAGCACTCACCTTAGGTTATTCAGCAGCGGCAAAACTTTGAGACCTGCAAGAGAAAGGAGAAAATTATTAGTCGAGTAAAAAGTGTTTAAATAAAAAGAATAAGTACTTTTTTAACTGGAATTTTTGTGTTTACAAAATGAACTGTGTTTCTGACCAATAAATACAAAGAAATACAAAGAAAGAAATAAATAAGTAATAAAATATTAAGCAAATTGTAAAATACAATTTTCCAATAAAAAACGAGGACGGAAGCTAACTTCGGCAAGCCGAAGTTTTAATACCCTTGCAGATTTTAAGAATTAAAACTTGACTAGACTAGCAACATGAATTAATAAACAACAAAATATTTTATAATTGAAAAAATAAAATTTTAAAATTTTTCACCCTATTGTTCCTATGGGAGCTATAGGATATAGACGCCCGATCGGCACGCGCGTTTACCCTAATGAAGGTACGCACAAAAAAATACGATTTGGAAAGTTTCATGGGAATAGCTAATATTTTGCGCGAAATATCCTGAAAAACGTCAAATTTTGACCGATTTCACCCTATTGTTCCTATGGGAGCTATAAGATATAGACGTCCGATCGGCACGCGCTTTTACCCTGATCAAGGTACGCACAAAAAAATACGATTTAGAAAGATTCATGCCAATAGCTCTTACACTGAGCGAAATATCTTCATTTTTGTGAAAGCTATATCCGATTGTTCCTATGGGAGCTATAGGATATAGATGTCCGATCGGGTCGGCTTTCAAACTTGATCTGCGTACACATGTTTTAGGACGACTGTGAAAGTTTCAAGGCGCTAGCTTTTAAACTGAGCTCGCAAACGGTATTGAAACAGACATACAGACGGACAGACGGACAGACGGACAGACGGACAGACGGACAGACGGTCAGACGGACAGACGGACAGACGGACAGACGGACATGGCTATATCGACTCCCCTATTGATCCTGATCAAGAATATATATACTTTATGGGGTCGGAAACGTCTCCTTCACTGCGTTACAAACTTCTGACCAAAATTATAATACCCTCTGCAAGGGTATAAAAACATACAAAAGAGAATAACCATGAACCTAAACATTTATAGTATTATACATTTTAATAAAATTTTATAGAGCGATCAAAAAATAAATTAAGGACAATGCTCTAATAAATTACCATTTAATGGTAAGGTTTGAATAAAATCCAAATATTATTATACCCGTTACTCGTAGAGTAAAAGGGTATATTGTATTCGTGCAAAAGTATGTAACAGGTAGAAGGAAGCGTTTCCGACCCCATAAAGTATATATATTCTTGATCAGGATCACTAGCCGAGTCGATCTAGCCATGTCCGTCTGTCCGTCTGTCCGTCTGTCTGTCTGTCCGTCTGTCCGTATGAACGCTGAGATCTCGGAAACTATAAAAGCTAGAAGATTGGCATTTTGCATGCAGATTCTGGGAGTTCCTACGCAGCGCAAGTTTATTTCAAAAAGGTGCCACGCCCCCTCTAACGCCCACTAGCCCTCTCTATCGCCCACAGTTTTGAAGCTATTATGAAAATAGTAACTGATATGTATTTGTTTCGTCAATACATATCGATTGGCCAAGTAAAAGTTTGCCACGCCCACTCTAACGCCCGCAAAACCCATTTAACGCTTAAACCTGTCTAGCGCCTACATTTCCGCCTTTCATGGCCAGTAGTACCAATATCTTGGGGTAGATGGCTCAATTCAATATACAATAGCGCCATCTATTCAGATGGTTAATTTGAACTTTTTGTCCTTTTTTTCTGTGGTCACACTAATTCACAATATGTTATTGCAAATTTTAAATTATTTGAAAAGGGCGCGCATTTTGTCTCTTTTTGCTCGTATTCGTTTTTCACAAGTGCATTCACCTGCGCTAGAGAGAGACGGAAGATGTGCTAGGCAGAATTGAAAGTTTTAGAAGGCCTCCACGTGGAGTTCCCTGGGTAAAAAACGGGAGCTAATTCCAGCTTCGAAAAACAAAAAAGGAGGCATATTTCTATTAAGTTGTTTAGCTGAGTAACGGGTATCTAATAGTCGAGGCACTCGATTATAGCGTTCTCTCTTGTTTTAAATAGTGTTATGTTCAGAAAACTTAGGTTGATTATTCCCATTGTTTAGTCTGGCCCTCTTGCCCACTTGTGACTAATGTGTAGATGATATGTTGCCGCCCCTCTACCGACCAGCGGGATTTCCATAGACGGCGAGTCAACTAAGGCCCGCCCAATGTCCCCTGAATCCCGACCGACTTCCGGTCAAGCTCGTTTTTTCGCCTTTTTGCTTTTATTCGCGCACTCACCAATCAATTTATGCACTCGTACACAGAGGCACACTTCTATCCGTGAGTTGTAAATACAAATAATAATAATAATAACAATAAAAAGTTAATTACGAAAAGCTCGTGAAAGTCGTTGTCGCTTCTGTGCTACATGTCCCTCAGATCCCCTCGATCCGCCTTATTTGGTGCCTTGACGTTCATAATTTCGTTTTACGACTTCGCTCCGCTGTCATTTTATTTGTTTGAAATTGAAATCCATAAAAGGCGTACAATTAAAATGCGTGTGCGATTCTGTGTGTGAGTGTGTAGTAAAAGTTTCTTTGTCCCGATCTTTGTCTTAAATTTTTGGATATTCGGAAGTTGTGAGATCTTAACTAGAAGGAGAGATAGCTGATCGGTATAGTCATGCTCATATCTGTATTTTAGTTTTTGTTCTGTGTAGAGGTCGTCCATCTATGCCCTACAGCCAAAAGAGCGGGGATTTATGTACATATAGCACAATAGTTAAGATCGGGGACACGCCCAAGTCCACAATTAATTGTTTAATAACATGCCAGGCAAAGAAACTCAACAAACTCAACAGTTCGAAAATCAATTCTCTCGCAAACGATTTAAATATTTCACTCAGCACTGTAAATCTGTTGATGATTTATAAATCAATTGAAATTGAATTTTGCCAGCGAAACAGTTGAGCAAATAAATTTATGGTCGACTATGGGAAAAACTGTTGCGTGCCAAAGTGGAAAATCATGGGGCATAAATCAGTGGCAAGCAAATGCCTCCCAGCCTGACAGATGACATACGGCAGATATGATGGCTATATGGTCTGTGGTCGGTCGGTGGGTCGGAGAATGGGAATGATTCCGTTCCGTTCGGAGCCGATAATTGGGCACTTAAGTGGCATTAGCGAGAGCCTCGCAGAGTTTTTGAATTGAAAAATGCAAATATTTGTGGGGCGTTGTTGGCTCTTGTTCCTGGAAGTCCAAACAGAGAGCAGAAAAAACTGAAAAACTGAAAAGAACTGAATCAGTGACAGAAGACAAAGTCAAAGTCGGGCCAACAGCCTTGAAACTGAATACTTCGTTTCATTGCCAAACAAAATGCGGCCGTTGCTTGTCAAATGTGTCGTTCAGGAATGCCCCAGGAATCGGTTTGGGATCGAAAATGGAAGTGGAATCGAAGTGGGGGGATTTACGGGGGCGCTGACTTGCGGCGTGACTTACATTTTGTCGCAGCCGTTGAGATTTCGAATTTGTCTTGCTACTTCTTTGCCTTGTCACTGGGCTCTTGTTCTTGTAATGCTGAAAAAGCGCAGCTCAATTTATTTTAATTAAGAACAATAAAAACGCCGCTTCTCAGTAAAGTAAACCCTCCCCATTTCCCCTGCTTTTTCAGGCAAGTGCAGCCGCAGGCATTCAGTGCACCACATTTCGGTGGTGTTGCGTCTGCGCAGAAGGAAACAACGAAAACAACAGCCACCACGCACGCACAACCGCGCTCAATCAAAGTCAGAAACTCGGGTTGACGACTGCCGAGTACAGTGGTAGTTGCCTATAGCAAACGAAGTTATGTTGGAAAATTTTTTAAATTTAATTTATTTTAAAAGACAAAAAAATGTTAAATTTTTGTTAAAGATTAAAGTAAAAAGTTATAAAGATCAATCATAAAATAATATTTAAACAATTTAAAAGATATTTAAAAAAAATAAAAAGAAATATTTAGAAGAGTGTTATTTATTATTATTTGTTTTAATTTTTTTAGGAAAACATCGAAGAAAAAAAGTGATAAAAATAAATCATCAATATTTATAAATAGGAAGTTCGAGCAATGGAAATTCTACTGTATTAAAGGGGGAATGCTAGCGGAGATGGAGGTCGAGCTGGGGGTTGGTGGAGTTCGGAGGCAGTTCATGAACTTTGAACAACTAGGGTCCCTCAGCTGAAAGGGGGAGGGGCATCTGCCACTGACAGGATGTAAATGAGTCCCTTGTTTGTCAACAGACATCTTGTTACATATTAAGTACATTTTGTTTATTGGGCGCTCATTCTCTCCTTCGTTCTCATCTGTAGATGTGGCAAAAATAAATTTTAAAGTGTTCTTGCAGCAGTTTTGAGGCACGTTCGAAACATATTAAAATCTAACTACAAACACGAATTGGTGTTCAACTCTTTGGCTTCAAGCTAGAAAAACATAATCTATGCCAACCAGATAAAAGTCTGTCACGTTTCATAGATTTATCCCTTTGTCGTAAAACTTTTAAGCTATTTTAAAACTCGGACAAAACAGCCATTAATGTTTTAATTTTGTTTAATAACTGTTATTATTCGCATATTCTAGGCATCTTTATAATCTGTATCTCCTAAAAAGTACTGCTAACTTTAAAAAAAAAAAACACTTTCGTATCGAATAAATCTGTAGATTATAAAAAATTACAAGCAAAAGTAGATCAACAAAGATCAATGAGATGGATAAGTGCATAATGGCAGTTTTACGAGTCATTAAGGTGTAAATGAGCATTAAAAAGTCTTGCAGTTAGCCAGCGAAATAACGATTTCGTTTTTGAAATCTTTGTTTGGAATCAAAACGTCCTCAATGACCCGACAACTTTTGCCACAATTATTAAATCAGCAATAAGTAAACAATGTTCGTTTGACCGATTTTCCCAGTTCCAGTTCAAATGGCTCGGAGAGCAATTACTGGCTTAAAGACGCGCCTCTAAATCGCCGGCACGTGCTAAGGTTACTCGGCCCCTCAAAGGCGATTTGGCATTTTGGGCTCTTCGAACCTATCATTATCTAACCTCAAGTCAACGAGCAGCCCCCGAGGGTCGCTGGTGTGGCTGCCTGAAAACCGAAAAATGAAAACCGGGGACTTGAGTCGCTGCGACATGCAAACAGTGGATGTATTGAATTCGTATATGTATTTTGGCCAAACAGACAGCCGGGCACATACGGTCAAGGGCACTGGCACTGGATCAGCGGGCACATCAATCAAATCAATGAAATCGAAGACAGCACCAATGGCACAGACAATCGCAGGGGAACAACCCGTTGACTTTTGCGGGTTTATCTCCATTGTTGCGAATTGAGACTCTTTTTTTTCCTTCTTGATATTAGATGGTGGGAATCGCTCTTACCTATAAATTCGTTGCGAATGCGAATCCGCTCCTGTAAAGTGGCCGCCGAAATGATGACGCAGTTGATGAAGGCCAGCAGGGCGGCCTGGTAGTCCAGGGGCGGTTGGGCGGCGGCACTCGACAGCTCCAGTTCGTTGATGACAATCTTGAAGCGGTATCGCTGCTTCTTGAGATTCTGCAAGGGATTCAAGAAGGGATTTCAGTTAAGGTTTAAATTTATGTTTAATTTAAATTAGAATATACAGTGTCTTAAAATGTCCCCTATTCAAATTATAATATGTAATTTGTGAATTCTAACAAGATAGTTTATCTAGGGTTTCTTGGAAATGTTCTTTAAATACAATAAAAGAGCCGAATTCAGCCTAATCATAAGTATAATTTATGTATAACTAAGGGCCGTTTTCCCGTCCGCCTGTTAAATTTAAAGGAAGCTTTAAACTCTGATTTCCCATACGATTTCAAGGTTTTATCCCTACTTTAAATTTAACAAACGGACTAGAAAACAGCCCTTAATTATTATTTTAAGTTGAGACAAAATTAAAAATATCCTAATAAAAGATAAAATAATGGTTTAACAAATTATTCGAGGTCAGTAAAAAATGGTGAAAATGATCTGTTAATTATCCGGTAATTATTTTCTTCTCTGATTTTGAATTTTTCCTTCAAAAGAATATAACATAAGACAGATAAATACTCAGGACCTGTAAATCACCCTCTATCGCTATTCCTTATCCTTTTTCCACCATTACCTAGACGTAATCCCCTTAAACTCACCTTGTAAAATTCTAGGGTTTCGATGGCACGCGCATAGCCGTCGGGGCTGTAGGCGCACAGCGCCGAGAGCAGCTCGAAGACCTGCTTCTTGACAGTGGCATTCTGCGTGTCCAGGGCAGCGCCCAGCTTGGCAATGTAGTCACGATTCTCGACAATGTAGTCCAGGCCGATGCGTGAGTCCATCGTGGCTTTTTGGGTTTTTGGTTTGGTTTTGGTTCTACTTTTTCGGGGGCTTCTCCTCTCGGGGCTGATCACGTCCCCGGAGCGGACGCTTTTCGGGGGCAATCGGATCGAATCGGGGCGAGACGATCGATTGGGGCGGCTAGTTGCAAAGGTTTCGGTTCTCGCATGGAATATCTGAGCAGTTCACGTCATGCCGAACGCTCCTCGTGCTCTGAATCTGAAAAATAGGAAAATGGGAAAATTCAGTTAGTTGCTGAGTGGAAGTCGGGACCTGGGCCCTTCAATTGTTGTCCCATATCTAGAGGGCTTTGCAGACCGAATACCGATTTTATTAATTTACGATCGGTTCTCTGGGCCTCGGGCCGCAATTGTCATAAATTAATTTGGACCGACCCAACGCCAGGGGGGCGTAACAGATTTGGAATTTTTTCCGATTTTCAATTTCTGATTTTCGATTTTGGGATAACGCTTTCGGAGGCACGATCAAAGGCAACCTTTGGCGAATGGCGGCGGGTTCCGCCTTCTAGATCGACATCGGCATCTCAATTACCAGCAAACGATCTCGTTAATTTGCTTACACTCGCCGCAGTCGTCGATACTTTCGATTAGTCGCCGTCTAAACTGCCGACAAAGTCTGTCATTTAGGTTGCCGCATATTAAAAGGCGATTTTTCATTAAAATACAACAAAAAGCGCCGATAAAATGCTTAACATTTTTGTTAAGAGCTCTGATCTCGAGTGGCACTTTGCGTTATTTGAAATTATAATTTGTGTGTGCGCTAAATGCTCATGTTATTGCCATTGTTGCTATTGTTTTGCTGTGCCCTGTCTCATCGAGTTGACTTTTGAAAACGCCGAGATAGGCTGTGGGATCCGATCGGCATTCGCCGTTCTGAGGCGGCGCTAATGAAATCACATACAACGACTTCAAATTAATGGACACACATCACAGAGTGACATCCTTGCGATATGCCTTATTGTCGGTCGTCACTTAACATGATATTTCCGATAATTCCCGCAAAGTGCTCGGCTCGAGTGGATGGATGTTGGATTCTCTGGAGAAAAACAAAAAACAAGTTCTCAATCACTTTGTATCTTGTTCTCTGCCTGGCTTTCTCATTGGGACCGCGCTGAATGTGGATCTACACTGTGTCACACAACTGGGCTATGAGCTTTACCAATTAGCGAATGATAGTAATCTCGCAGTTAACCTATGTAAATTTCGCTCTTTAAAGTTTCAGTGTTTTTTTACTGCGATTCAGTAGATAAAAAACAGGGAATTTTGCCATGCCATTGTGAAATGGAACAGATTAATGTGACAGATAAATATTATTAATTTTCATGATATGGATGGATGATATTTTACATATCTGAGAGATTGGTATAATTGATAATTTCAATAGTTAGAGTTTGCAAATAATTAAGCGAATACTATTAATAATTTTCAAAGGCAGGGTTGATATTTTACAAATCTTAGAAATTGCTATAATTGATTATTTTAATAGTTATAATTAGCAAATGCTTTAGAAATATGAAATACATGGAATAATAATATTTTTAAAAGATTTAAAAGTTTTTCAAACAATTTGTATTATTTTAATGGATATGAAACACATATTTTACCTCAACTATTTAACTCATGGTTATAACCATCTATAATAACCATATCTATAGATAAGCCATTGCTTAAATTTAAATCTATTTTAACTAATCTAGAATTTTGTGAGCTAGTGTGGACAGGCCGAGCGTGCTGCAAATGGGCTCTAGATAACTTAGCACAACACCCGCACACCGGCAACATCCGAGAGTGATAGGACGATAAATTAATAATGCTTATCTCTAAACTGGTTCCATTAGCCCAGCCAACCAACCAACCAGCCATCGTGCTGGACATCGCATTATTGTTGCTATTTATTGCGAAACAGCAGCCACCTAAAAGTCAATTGAGTTGTTGAAAGCTGAGAGAATAGGGAACCGAACTGCCTTTGGCTTGGGAATCGAATTCGGATTGGAATGGAAATGGTCCAGCCGAAATGTTAATGAACCCGCCCATAACTAAAGGGGGAGCCTAATTAGAATTTGACTGAAAACTGAAACCCAATGCCTGGTTGCCCATTTATCTTGCCACACGGAGTACCTGGCGGTAAAAATCGTTTGGGGCGTTGACAGGCGCAAATGACTTGCCCCCTGTGAAAACAGAGGACAGGGGACAGCGGACAGGTGGCGAGGGCGACTCGCTGGCGTCGTCAATAAAATGTCAACCACATGCCCACAAATTGCCCGCCCCGCCGCTGCCATTGTGGAAATATTTCCGTCGTCATCGCCTCGCTCGCAGCCATGCTAAAGTGCAAGTAATAATTCACGAATTTCAAAAGTTTTCAGTCGCCGTCTCGCGATCGTTTTCAATGTCTCGCGACATTATAATATTGTTTGTATAAATTATGTTGTGGACCGCGGGGCGTATGTCGAATGGCTAAATGTGATTAAATGTTGTGCAAAGTGCATGTTTCTGGGCTGGGCTGAGCTGGGATTTTCGAGAAAAACGAGCTGGGTTGGGCAGGTGAGTGGGGCTCATCAGCAGGAAAATAGGTATTTGGTTATCTGGCAGCTAGGACACTTGACCAACTTGAAAGACAAATCAAGACGAGTGCCACAAAGGTAAACAGCTGAAGATCAACTACCGTAGCGGCGGCATTAAAATGCACAACATCTGTTGCAATAGGCGCAAGGTCGTTCCACATCTATGTTTCTGATGTGTTTTCTGGTTTTCTGGTTTGGTTTGGTCCGTCTGCCACCTGTAACAAATTGTAGCAAATGAAGCAGCAGCTCGTCTCTGGGTTTTTCTATCCACATTTTCAACGGGTGTGTCCGCAGCTCTAATCTCGCAGCAACTGCACAGTTTTCATAAATTTTTATTGAATTTTTATGGCTGCAGGCAGCCGTCATCGTTGCTTTGAATTTGCATGCTGATGTGTATACACAAAAGCACACAAAATAAATAAACATAAAAAATAAAATAAACAGTCATTGAGAAAAGTGTTTTGCACTTAATAATAAATGCTGCTGATAGAAGAGCTACGAAAATGGAAACTTGGTGAAAAAGTATCATTAGGCTAATAGCATCATTTATCCCTGTCACCCCGGCGAACATCTTGATCTCTTGGTTCATATAGTTTAATCTGTGTTTGGGCTCTGGGCCACTTCAACTGAGTTGTTTATAAGCTGCCTTATCAACAAACTGAGAAAATGTGTCTGGGAACCAAACTGAAAACAGAACAGACGCTTTGTTGCAGCTTTCGATTTGAGAAAATGAAAATGGAAAAAAACACAAAAACAGACTTGGAGTCAGAGAAAAGACAGAACGAGTCATAACACTTGACAACAGCAACATCGCAGCACAGCAGCAACATCGCAACACGACGATGTCTCCCCGGCTTCGAGCTGCAATCAAAACACGATCTTGGCGCTCAGCATTGACCTTATGACTTCTAAAATCGGTAAAAACATCTTTACAGCTCCATGTGGCACTGCCGATGTGTTTCCAATATGAGCTAAAAATACGAAAATCAAGCTGAGCGGCGGCGTACTTGAAATTGGGATACATTTTATAGCCTTTATATATTGCCATTTTCAATTCATGAGGCGAAAAAGTGGAAGGCACTCGTGAGCTGTACAATAATTTTAAAGGATACTGCCTTGCACATTTTCGGTTATATGTCAAGTTTAAGTGGCAGACGCGAAGGTCGCTGCGGCAACTCGAAGGCGTCGCGAATTGAGCAATTAGGGCGTGGCCGAGTACGCCTCATTTGCACTTACTTGACTTAATTCGTCAATTAGCCGGGGCTAAGGTAATCACGGCTCCAGCTGCTTGGACCAGCTGGCCAGCTGGGAAACTGGACAGCCTCATCCACTTCAGATCCACAGATTCCGATTCAGATTCAGATACAGTCGCTCGTGGGCGTTCAACAGCCAAATTCAAGAGCCACAACAAAGCGAATAAGTTTAATGATTTGGTTCGTGTATGTATTGTATGGTCAACAAAGAACATTTGACTACGAAAATAAATAAAATGCAGCCCACGGACCAGAAAACAGACGAAAAATTAGTAAATGGTGCGTAGGTTTTGCATTTTGATGATGACCACTGCGATGAAAACCGACCGCATAACCACAAAGACCGCACAACTAGCCGAGCACGTTTAAAACTATATGATTCTATTTGGATAGAGGTTCAGCCGAAAGGTGATGACTCTGTAAACCGACGTAATCGACCAGAAATATATTTTTAAGTGGCTTAAACAATAACAAAAAGTACGCCTTGTGTCTTGTAACAATAATAATATTTACCAAAATAACATTTGTACACTTGGGATATATGTTTGTAATTCCTATTATGGTTATTTTAAATTTTGTATATTTATAGAATACTTTCGGAAATCAAAAAAATAAATAGAAGAACCTTAAACCTCTTCCCATTTTATTCCAATTTTTGTTTCTGAATAACATGCTTCACATCTATACATTTTTTTGACTTAGTAAAAATGAAATGTTACATTTCTATTAATATCCATTCTTTTCGAAGCCCCTCTCCCCACTTAAAAAAGGGAGATTATCCGAGACTCCCTTGATTGAATTTCATTGAGTTCGCCGCGTGGCGCTAGTTGACATATGACAGCAGAAGCGGGCAGTGTCACATTTTCGGGAATAAACGCTGGGAAACTCCCCCAACTCTGTTTGCCATTGATGAGAATTTATGAACGGTCACAGGCTTTCGGGTTAAATAGACTCAACTGGCAATGACGGGGCTCTGTGCTCTTGGAACCCCATGAAAAACCCATCGAAAGTGTCAAAAGCCGCTTCATTGGAAAATCTTCTATTGTTTTACGGTCTGTCGTTTTCGGGTACGAATTCGGGGGACTTTGCGCAAGCGCCGCGAAGTGTGAAAATGAACAGCGAACAGGTTGGCTATCAGGAATTGGGTCTGGGCCTATGGATTGTTTTGTAAGCCTATAAAATATAAGGCGCTAATGGGCAATTTTCACGCTTATTTACACAATGGAAAAGCGAAAGTTTCGGTTTATGGCGGGTCATGGATTTCGACTGCTCGCATGCAGCTGGCCGATTCCAGGTGCTGGAAATTCTACGGCCACCAAAGTGCATAAATATGTTCAATAGCTTGCATTTATGACAGCCAAATGCACCCAAAACATGCAACAAGT